CAGACAAACCAGTTAGGGCAACAATATGTGTTTTTAGAATAGCATGATTAAATGTGTCCATGCACTTTTATGGGAAACTGACTTTTATTACACTGTAAGATCATTATAAAATGAACTAGAGACCCAGTGCATGAAATTCGTGAATGGGGCAGGAGAAGGGGTATCCCTCAGCCCAGCCTGCACCCTCTCCAATCTGAGATGCCTCGAGGAATGTCCTACTAGGATTGGGCCTAAATAAGCAGTCAGACATCCCTTTCACAATCTAGGACTGCTGGCTCCCAACTGCTCGCCTGCCTGCCTTCCTGATTGCCTCTAACTGCTTCTGCTTGCCAGCCTGATCACCCCCTAACCACTCCCCGCCAGCCTGGTTGATGCCTAACTGCCCCCTCCCCTTATTGCCCTCCCCTGCAGGCCTGGCCACCCCTAACTGCCCTTCCCTACAGGCCTGGTCCCCCCAACTGCTCTCCCCTGCAGACCTGGGTCCCTCCCCCTTCCTCAACTGCCCTTCCCTGCAGTCCCAGTTGCCTCAAATTCCCTCCTCTGCTGGCCTGGTCACCCCTAACTGCCCTCCCCTGAAGACTTGATATCCCCAACTGCCCTCCCCTGCTGGCCTGATTGCCCTCAACTATCTTTCCTTGTAGGCCTGGTCCCTACCAAGTGTTTCCCCTGCTGGCCATCTTGTGATGGCCATCTTGTATCCACATGGGGGCAGCCATCTTTGACCACATGGGGCAGCCATCTTGTGTGTTGGAGTGATGGTCAATTTGCATATTACTCTTTTATTAGATATCTATTCCTAAACTTCTTAATAGAGTCAAAAGAAGAGTGAAGAAAGGTTTTCATCATTTTTTTAAAAACATGGGTCATTATTGTAGAAATATGCAGAAGGCCACACAATAATAAAAAAGCACCAGCCATTTTCAAAAACAAGCATGGAGTGAAACACTTTTTAAACAAGTTGACCAAAAAAAGCTGACAAGAGCCAAAAAAATTAAAGCAATTAAAAACAGGTATACAGATATACAAGATGTTTTCACTGATTTTAACAAGTTATTTGAAAGATATGAGAATAGAGTATATTACATTGCAGTGTTTCATTCTCTGTTTCATCCATCACTAACTAATTAAACTTTTGCTGAACTTATTACTGGCCTGATAAACTTAAGCAAAGTCTTGGATTTTTATTAGAAGACAGAGGTTTTTCACCCCTGTTTCCTAAGACAATTAAGTAATGAACTGTTCCTGAAACATAATCTAAATTTTTTCTGAAATTATAAATCCCTTTCTTGCAAATGCTCCATGAAAAACTTGAACCTAAATTAAAGTGTTAGACTCTCTTGGCAATAGATGTTTCAGAAATAAAGATTAAAACATTATTTAAATGAGAAATCAGCCCTAACCAGTTTGGCTCAGTGGATAGAGCTTCAGCCTGCAGAAGGCAGCTGATCCATTTTCTCTCTCTTCGATGTTTCTAACTTTCTATCCCTCTCACTTCCTCTCTGTAAAAAATAAATAAAATATATTTTTTAAAAACATAAGTGAGAAATCAATGACAATGTTTGTAAAATACTTTTCAGAAAAAAATTTTTTACTCTGTGATATATTAACTATATAATATAAATGTGATTTTAAGGTAATGAAACTGATTTTCAGCTTAGATCCTGTAATTTACAGTCACATCTCATACATGTTATATTTATTACAATTTGACTCCTGAGTGGAGGGTGGAAGTGAACCATTTTGGAAAAAGGTTTCTGAATATTAAACATAATAGAATTTTAAAAATAGAACTTGAGAAAGTTTGGACATTAAAGTTAACAGAATATTAACAAAATAGAACTTGACAGAGTCCTTTGTATCCATGCTTAGGTAGAGCAGTGGGCAGTGGAGGGACAGCCAGATTGCAAAGTTTCTGAGGGTAAGTGGACTTGATTTGGTGACTGAATGAGGGTACTAGTACATGAGAGAGTACTGGAAATAGATTTTCTGCTCTGCTTTGGGTAGTGGATGGACTGTAAGAAAGACAGAAACTAAAGGAGGCAGATCATATTTGTGCAGTATAGAAATTCAGTTTGACAGATTCACTTTTTATTGCTTCTTTGAATTCACCTCCAGATGGAATGAATATCTAGCAGCTAGCTGGATGCATATGTCTGGAACTAAGGAGAAATACTTTGTTTTGTTTTATATATAACCTATGTAATAACATTATTGTATTTTAAAATGATATAAATTAGTTACTAAGTTAATTTTTTTCAAAAACTATTTAGTATTGGTGTACACCATGGCATTAGAAGGCCATGATACTCTCAATTAAATGATCATCCTCAAGTTACAGAAATCAAGATTAATACCTTGAAAGGAAACTTCCTCTTCCTACGTCAAAGAACTTCCTTTGTATGGGGCTACAACTTACAGTTTCTATAAATGAACACTTGTTAAAAAATCATTCACCTATTTCCCAAATTTTTAAGTAAATCTTTGCTCCTTAAATAAATTTTTCATTGCTCCCTGTACTAGATATATATCTACACTAATAAAAGAAAAACATCCAAATTGACCATACTGCCGAAACTGGTTTGGCTCAATGGATAGAGCATCGGCCTGCGGACTGAAAGGTCCCTGGTTCGATTCCAGTCAAGGGCATGTACCTGGGTTGCGGGCACATCCCCAGTAGAGGATGTGCAAGAGGCAGCTGATTGATGAGTCTCTCATCGATGTTTCTAACTCTCTATCCCTCTCTCTTCCTCTCTGTAAAAAAATCAATAAAATATTAAAAACAAATAAACAAACAAATTGACCGTACCTCTGATGCACTCACAATTCACGCCTACAAGCCAATCAGGAGCGAATATACAAATTAACCCAACCAAGATGGCTGTGGCCATGGAGTGAGCAGGAGGCTTGAGTTTCCCTGGTGATGGAGGAAGCCAGCTTGCTGGCCAGCCCTGGCCTCCACTCAAGGCTACAAAGTTTCAATTATAGAAGATAAATAAATCTCAACAAAAATGGCAGCAGCCATAGAGCTGAAGCAAGCAAGAGGCTTGGGTTGCCCCCAGTGATGGAGAAAGCCAAGCTTCCTGGCCAGCCCTGGCCTCTGCTCAGGGCTACAATGTTTCAATCATGGAAGATAAATACTAAATCCCAAATACCAGGGCCTCCACTTGAGTCACCAGGGGGCGTGGCTGGCCTGCAAACCACCACAGGTCCCTCGCCCTGGCTGCCCCATGCCCCAAGGCCGTGGTTGGCAAACTACAGCTCATGAGCCACATGTGGCTCTATGGCCCTTGAGTGTGGCTCTTCCCAAAATACCATGGCCTGGGCAAGTCTATTTTGAAGTGGCATAAGAAGAAGTTTAAGTTTAAAAAATCTGGCTCTCTAAAGAAATTTTAATCCTTGTACTGTTGATATTTGGCTCTGTTGACTAATGAGTTTGCCAACCACTGCCACAAGGGAACCCTCACCCTGATCCGGGACACCCTTCAGGGCAAACCAGCTGGCCCCCACCTATTCACCAGACCTCTATTATATTTTATCCTATCTAATAAAAGAGTAATATGCAAATTGACCATCACTCCAACACACAAGATGGCTGCCCCATGTGGTCAAAGATGGCTGCCCCTAAATGGACATAAGATGGCTGCCACAGGATGGCCAGCAGGGGAGGGCAGTTGGGAGGGCCCATGTCTACAAGGGAGGGCAGATGGGGGCAATCAGGCTAGCAGGGTAGGGAAGTTGGGAGCGACTGGGCCTACAGGGAATGGTAGTTGGAGGGGACCCAGGCCTACAAGGGAGAGCAGTTGGGAGGACCAGGCCTTAGGGGAGGGCGTTAGGGGCAATCAGGCTGGCAGGGGAGCAGTTAGGCATCAATCAGGCTGGCAGGAGAATGGTTAGAGGGTAATCAGGCTGGCAAGCAGAAGCAGTTGGGGCAATCAGGAAGGCAAGCAGGCAAGCAGTTGGGAGCCAGCAGTCCTAGATTGTGAGAGGGATGTCTGACTGCCTGTTTAGGATCGGGCCTAAACAGGCAGTTGGACATCTCTCAAGGCGTCCCAGATTGGAGAGGGTGCAGGATGGACTGAGGGATACACACCCCCACGCATGAATTTCATGCACCAGTCCTCTAGTATATGTATAATATTGATTTCAGAGAGGGAGAACAATATATTGATAGAAACATCAATGAGGAGAATCATTGATTGGCTGCTTTTTGCATATCCCATTGGGGATCAAGCATGCAACCCAGGTATGTGTCCTGACCAGGAATCAAGCCATGACTTCCTGGTTCACAGGTCAACGCTCAACCACTGAGCCATGCTGCCCAGGCTATACTAGTTATTTATTACTGCATAACAAATTATCCCCAAAACTTAGTGGCTTAAAACAACACATTGATTATTTCACAGATTTTGTGGGCCAGGAATTCGGGTCCTCTGCTTCAGAGTCTCTCATAAAGCTGCAATCAAAGTGTTGGCCAGGAATAAGGTCTTATCTGAAAGTTCAACTGAGGATGGATCAACTTCTAATATTAAACAATAGTTTTTGGCATTTAGTTTCTTATGGGACTGAGGCTCTCTATTCCTTATTACTTGTTGGCTGGAAGCCATCCTCAGTTCCTTGCCAAGTGACACTCCTAAATGACAGCTTGCTCTATCAACAAATGCAGTAGAAGGCTGCTAGCAAGACAGAATTCATGATCTTTTGTAACCTAATGGCATAAATGGTATCTAATCAACCTTTTCTTAATCTATTGGCTGGGACAAGTCATTAGGTCCAGGGGATGTGATTACACAAGGGCATCAATACCAGGACATGATCATTTTATTTTTATTCCTCACCCGAGGATACCTCCCTTCTTTTTTTTTCTTTTTTTTTTTTTTTTTTTAGAGAGAGAGAGAGTGTGTGTAAGAGAGAGGGAAAGACAAAGAGAAATACTGATTATTGATGTGAGAGAAACACATTAATTGGCTGCCTCCTGCACATGTCCTGACCAAAGCCTGGGCCAGGGAGGAGCCTGCAACCGATGTATTTACCCTTAACCAGAATCGAACCTGGAACCTTTCAGTCTGCAGGCCTAAACTCTATCCACTGAGCCAAACCAACTAGGGCTCATTTAGACGTTTTAAAAGTCTGCCTACCATACTCACTAATATTTTATCAATCTACAAGGTCAACACAAAAAGAGTTAAAACCAATAAAAGCTAATTTTTCTGTATAGAGTTATATGATGATATAATTCTCTGGGCCTTTTAAAATGTTGATTTCTCAATGAAAATAACTAATCATTAAAGTGTTTGCTTAGTACTCTAGAGGTCAAGAAATACAAAAAATATATAGAACAATTTTTAAAATAAAAAGTGTGTTTCTGTCTAAAGTTACTTGGAAACTCTAGTGGAGACTTTTTTAAATGTGCTTTTTAGAGCAATTCTTCCAAGACTGCCTTTTAAAATGACTGTCAAGACTCCTTTTTTTTTTTTTTTTTTGACAAATACAAATTTCCCAACATCTGTCAAAGTGTAACTTAGAATACTTTACAATGAACTTACAAATGTTGCACTGAAAACAAGTATTTCTTGTAGTCTGCCAAATTTCTGCCACATTGGAAAATATGCAGATGATTGCTTAACACTGTGTGCCACTAGGCAGGAATTATATTTCACATCTTAATGAGAAAATACTCTCTTTTAAACTTAAAATTAATTAGTAATTCAACCATTTTAAACTATTTTAAATACCAACAGACACAAAGTGGTTTTCAATTCCACGAAGAGCAAAATCTAAAAATGGATTTTCAGAATATAATTTTATCATTTTTTAAAAAAAATCTGATTACCAAATTAAGAGAAATAAAAAAGCATAATCCCACCCCCAAGAAATAACCATTATTAAGTATTTTGGTATATAGTACAGGTATGGATGTATATAACTGTATCTAAATCTATGCTATTAGACATAAATATATATTTTTAGACATTTAAATGTGTGTATTTTACCACAAATGAGATCATATTCCTTTTTTATTATTTATGAAATCTTTACAAAACAAAGATTTAACAGAGCAACTGATTTTTAATAAGACATTGCTAAACATGTTCTAGCAAAGTAATGGCAAAAGCAGCTTCAGTGAGTGCTACAAACAGCAATGAGACAGCCCTGTATACATTACTAAAGCTGTTGTTCGCAAAGGAATGGTCTACAAAATAGGTAAGAAGGGCATCTGCTCTGTGTCGTAGTGTTTTAGGCATTTTATTTTGATCGTATTTTTCTTCTTCATGTCCTTCTGTAGCTTTTTATTCTGTTAGGTAACGCCCTCCTTAAACTCTTTCCCCAGTGTCCCAATCTAAATTATGTGTTTCCCAATCACAGAATTACTATTTGTTCTCAGAACATATATCCCACTTCTCATGAATCTTTTTCTGACATCTTAACCGGTTTTGCTTCCCTCTTCCATCAAAACTAGTTGGCATAGTTACTGGCTTGCTACATTACTCTTTTCCCTACTTGCTCCCTCACTACTATTTTGGCCTCCTGGGTTCGATGATTAGTTTTATTCTGGAAACTACTGAACCTATGTCATCTCATATATGTGCCAACCAAACTCATCTACTTCCCCTCAAGTTACTTGCCTTCTTTCCTTTTTCTTCAGTATTGTTTCTTTATCCTAACAAATACCTGATAATTATCTTCTCCCTCCCTTTCTCCTATCAGATCTCTCTATTAAATCCTGCTCTAAGATGCCTCCTAAATTTGTTCATTTCTTGCCCCTCTCTTTGCCTTCACACTAATCCAGGCCAAAACTGCCTACAACTTGACTTATCATCAATGCCCTGAATAGGTTAGGGTTCACCTGTCCCCCGTCCCTCTGTCCCTCTTTCTAGGCACTCTTACAGTCAGTGAGATAGAAGGAAAGAGGACCTGAGCTTGAAATCAGGAGCCCAAGGGTAAATTCCTTCTCTGCCACCTCAGTTGTGACCTTCAGCCTATTTCCTTCCTATCTCTAGGCCTGGGAGTTTCCAAACTGGGCTTAGAGTCCACATGGGCTCTAAGCTGCCTTGTGACTCTAACAATCTCCTCTGGCCCTTCTTTGCTAAAGGAGCAGCAATGACTTTCCCAGCATGCCCCCTCCTCCTTAGACCATAGCGGTCACCCACTGTCTTATGGCTTTCACTGTCCCTTACATCCAGTTTGCTCACATTAGCATATCCCTAATGAGTCCCAGTCTTTCCACTAAGTGTCAGTTCCTTCTTCTATTGTTCTTCTTCTCCTGCATTTATAAATTTCTTTAACCAACACTTACGGAGTGGCTGCTAATCTAGGAAGCACTTTGCCAAGTCCCAGGGGAATAGCAAGATAAAAGACACAATCCTTGCTCTTAAAGAATTTACCGTTTTATTAAAGATATGGGTAACTAACAAACATACAGTAGTGTGGTTAAGTATTGTACTAAAGAATTTAATATATCCTAGTTGTTTGGGGACAGAAAGCAGTCATTACTTAACAAGACCCAGTATCTAGAAAGGCTTCAGAAAGGATGTGTGCTCATCCCAAGCCGAGTCCTTCAGTCTTAAAAGGGAAAATAAGAATTAAGGGGGGAGGGGAAGGAGTGTGTTCTATTGCTACTTTGAGGTGAGGAGAGAAGGTGAAGTTTATTAAGACAAGACATATTGTGCCAAGTGCCAGATTAGAATACTGAAGTCTAGAGGGCAAGAGAAGACAAGCAGTGAGGCTGGCCAAGATGAATGGACTGCAATGTCACCCTAACAAGTTTGGATTTTGTTGGAGTAAAGGGCTGTACTTGGACTTAAACAATTTATTTTCCTAGTCTGTTATTGGGGAAAGATGGTGGGTTTGGGGCACTGAAAGTTCAACACTGATGGCAAGGAAAATCCAGGAGAGGGAAACAATGACCTGCCAAAAATGGTCCTGGTAGGAAGGCTGGCCCAGTAACACGGCAAGGAGCCTTGCCGCCTCCTCAAGCTGCCTGCCTTCACTCAGACCCTGTCCAGGGCCACCCTCCCGCCAGGCGTCATAGAGATCAGGACCCCGCCACGCCACAGAGGAGTGCGCTTCGAGAAACCTCGCGAGATCTCTCCTGAGCCACGAACAGACCAAGCGTGTCTGGTCGCCTGGCAACCACAGGTGGGCAGCCGAGGAACCTGACTCCGGAGAAACTTACCAAACCGGAGTGACTAACCCGGCTTGTCCTGGACCGGTGAGGCGCGCTCAGGGAAGAAGCGTGGGGACCCAGGGAACCCTGGAGCCAGGTTTCTCACACTTGCCGGCCAGTAAGACTTTCCTGGGGGCACTTGTAATGCAGATCCCTCAGCCCGTATCTCTAGACCTCTAGAACTTCTAGGAAAAAATCTGGAAATCTGTGTTTTAAACAAATGGCTATAGTCAGGCAAGATTGGGAAACAGCTCTGGGAGAGGGAGACAGGTAGAGAGGGGTGGCCGCGGAGCGGAGGGAGCGGGATCTGCGGGTGCGGACCTGAGTCTGGAAAGGGGAAAGTCTGAGAGCATGAGCGAATGAGAGCATCTGGGAGCCAGTGAGCCTGGGGCTAGCTAAGAGAAATACACAGTCTCAGTCTGAAAAGCATCTAGCCAGTAGGAGCCGCGAGATGATGAAAGCCAAGGGGTATCTCTCCTCCCCCCACCGCCCTTACACACACACACACACACACACACACGGGTTCCTGGAGTGCCAGTAAAGCAGTTCCAAGTGCCCCTGGCAAGTGAAGCCCCGAGATAACAGAGATATCTACTATGGAAAAGCATTTTCTCACCCTAGTCCGTTGCCCAGGTTGCCCAGTGGCTAAGGTGCAAGCCTGAGGACTGAAGGGTCCCCGTTGATTCCCAGTAGGGGACGTGCAGGAGGCAGCGGACCAATGATTCTATCTCATCATTGACTGTCTCTCTCTCTCTCTCTCTCTCTCTCTCTCTCTCTCTCTCTCTCTCTCTCTCTCTCTCTCTCTCTCTCCTTCCCTCCCTCCCTCCCTCTTTCTCCCTTCCTCTCTGAAAGCAATAAAAATAAATTTTTAAAAAAAGTTTATCAGACTTTGGAAAATAAGGGACCTTTTTAGAAATATATATTTTATTGATTTTTTACAGGGAGGAAGAGAGAGGGATAGAGAGTTAGAAACATTGATGAGAATCAGCTGCCTCTTGCACACCCCCTACTGGGAATGTGCCCGCAGCCAAGATACATGCCCTTGACCAGAATCGAACCTGGGACCTTTCAGTCTGCAGGCCAACGCTCTGAACACTGAGCCAAACCGGTTTTGACGGGACCTTTTTTAAAAAGAAAACCAAGGACACCCCACATGTGTTGACATAATTATTTTTATTATAATGTTCTAAAATGTACTCAAATCCAACCTAAGTTTACTTTAAACTCCTGAAGCTTATAATTTCTCTAAAACAAACTATAATGCCAATGAAGTTTAAAATTATTATATGAAATTTAAACATGGTAAATAGTGGTGTTTTGGTGAAATAATTCTCTTTTGTGGATCTGACTGTTGCAATGCAAATTCTTTTGATTAATAGCCTCTATTATTGTACTAGAGGCATGGTGCACGAAATTCATGCACAGGGAGTGGGGGGGAGTCCCTCAGCCTGGCCTGCACCCTTTCCAAACCAGGACATCCCTCTCACAATCTGGGACCGCTGGCTCCTAACCGCTCACCTGCCTGCCTGCCTGATTGCCCCCTAATTGCTCCCCTGCTGGCCTGATCACCCTCAACTGCCCTCCCCTGCCAGCCTGATTGCCCACAACTGCCTTTCACTGCCAGACCTGCCTCCTCCACTGGGACCAGACTCCTCCGGACCACACAGAACCACGGGACTCCCAGGCCTCACCACACAGAGCAGCCATCTTGTGGTGGCCATCTTTTGGCAGCCATCTTGTGACAATGTTGCACAAGGGCATTGCACAGGGGCATGACACCACCTAGGCTTTTATTATATAGGATGATTCAATTTTCTCCCTTTCCACATTTGAGCCTCTGGAAAGTTTTCCTATAATTTGCTAAAGAGGACCATTGACCTTCTCTTGGTTTAATAAATCATGTATGTATAATGTTTGCCTCTTTCATTTTCTAATTACCTGAGAGAATTAAATTTATGTCTATACAAACCAATTAGTGTAATGGAACTTAGAAATAAAATCCATTTATAATGTGGTCATTCATGAGAATTCATATGATCTAAAATGTTTCTTTTGCCGAAACCTGTTTGGCTCAGTGGTAGAGCGTCAGTCTGCGGACTGAAGGGTCCCAGGTTCAATTCTGGTCAAGGGCATATACCTTGGTTATGGGCACATCCCCAGTAGGGAGTGTGCAAGAGGCAGCCGATCGATGTTTTTCGCTCATTGATGTTTCTAACTCTCTATCCTTCTCTCTTCCTCTCTGTAAAAAATCAATAAAATATATTTTAAAAATAAAATAAAATGTTTCTTTTAGCCTAGGTTAGAAAGCAGAGCCTGAAGCAAAAACTCTGTGATAACAGTTTCTGGGGGCTGTTATCACAGGGAAACAGGAGAGACAGGACAAAAATAAATAAATAATTAAATAATTAAATAATTAAATAAAATCAGACAGAGATGGAGAGAGCAAAACGTTCTAAACATGATTTCAGAGGGACATTTTGAAATGGTTGTGCCTCCTAAAAGTCCATGCGGGGAAGAAGGGAGAATAAATCTTTCATGGCTCTGGTCTCCCATTGGTCAGTTACCCACAGGACATCACATCCCTCCTGGTACAGGGTTGCTCCTGTGTGGCCACTTGCACAGCAGTCTCCTGCCTCAGCTGTAAGGGAGAAGCCCTGTTGTGTAAAACCTCTTTAAGATCTGCATTTCAGCACAGTTTTCAGTGTAAAAAAATATATTTGAAATTTCCAGAAAAAGTTCTAACATTTTTAAATAGCAGCCAAAGAAATCATATTTTCAATATGTGCAACCCTGAAGTGGCCATCACTAGTTTTAAACCCTACAAAAGCTCTTGCAAATATGCTAAGATTATATATATATATATATATATATACATACACACACACACACACACACACACACTAGAATCATAAGAGCAACATTGTAAAAGCAAAAAAATTAAAACACCCAAAGATTTATCATTACACTAAATTTCTTACAATGGAATATTATAGAGCATTGCAAATATTTTAGAGCCATTTTTAGGCTTTCCAACCCTGAAAAGTCTCACACAAAAAAATTAAGCAAAGAAGAAAACTGGAATCAGAATAATGTCATTTATGACAGGTAAAAAATAATACTATATGTTGTTTAGATATTCACACATATGTAGTAAAAGTATAAAGACAAACAGGAATGTCTAAAGTTATGATAAACTAAATTTAAAACCATGGAGAGGGAGAAAAGTATAGATCTGGGTTCCAAATATACTTGTAATGTTCATGGGTGTGGTGTTATTCTTTATACTTTTATGATGATATATTTTATGAAGTATTTTAGGCAAAATTAAGAAAAGTTATCTTAATTAGTAACTTTGTTCATAATATTATTATTATTATTTTAAAATATATTTTATTGATTTTTCACAGAGAGGAACAGAGAGGGATAGAGAGTTAGAAACATCCATGAAAGAGAATCATTGATCAGCTGCCTCCTGCACACCCCCTACTGGGGATGTGCCCGCAACCAAGGTACATACCCCTGACTGGAATCGAACCCGGGACCCTTCAGTCCACAGGCCAACGCTCTATCCACTGAGCCAAACCGGTTTTGGCTGTTCATAATATTATTGTCGCAATTGAAATTTGATCTGTCAACACTAATCTTTCATGCTCAGAATACCACACAAATTGAGGTGTTTGGTTGGTGAAATCCCAGATACATCTTATATAATAAAAGCCTAATATGCTAAATATCCAGTCAGCCGGTCAGCAGGTCAACCATTCAACCAATTAAAGCTTAATATGCTAATGATATGCTAAGGTTGCTCAACCACTCACTATGACGTGTACTAACTACCAGGGGGCAGCCAGTCAACCAGTCGCTATGATGTGTACTGATCACCAGGGTGCAGATGCTCTGACCAGTAGGTTAGCTTGCTGTTGGGGTTGACTGAGTGAGATCGACTGGACATACCTTGGAGCCCCATAGTCCCTTCCAGGTGGTCCCTTCCCAGCCCTGATTGTGCCTGGCCTGTGCCCTCTCACAATCCGGGAGCCCTTGGGTGATGTCAGAGAACCCGTTTTGGCCCAATCCCACAGGCCAAGCCAAGGAACCCACTGATGCTTGGCATCAAAAGCAAAATTGGAGAAACTGGAGTATGTATCACTTAAATGACTACAAAAAGTAGATTATCTCAAACTATGGACCACATATGCATATCTTACATAGAGCAATATTTGATTAATAGCATGTTCCCCTTATTTAATAACTCTAATATAGGGTGTCCCCCCAAAAATGTTATACACTTTGTTTTTTATTTTGTTTTTTGATGTTTATAATAACTTTAATCACAGTTGCCAAAACTTGGAAAACACACTCTAAATGATTATAAAGTCAGTGTTTAACATATAATTCATTTTCAAAATTTAAAATAATCGACAAAAAAATAATTTGTTTTGTGTGTCAATGCCTATTTTCAAACTGATGATCGTTCTGGTCTAGGCACTGCTGATAATGCAAAAACAATGGAATCACAAATATCAAGAATCATTTGGCTTGGTATTTGTGCACCCTCAATTTGTCAACTATTTATGATTTTGTACTGTTAACTTTATCTTTTATGTATCCCTATTAAAAAAAAAGTCTAATGGATAAATTTTATTTTTCTTTTAATATTTTTATTGGGTTTTTTTTTTTGGTTTTTTTTTTAGAGGAAGGGAGAGGAAGAGAGAGAGAGAAACATCAATGATGCAAGAGAATCATTGTTTGGCTGCCCTCCTGTACCTCCCCTACTGGGGATTGAGCCTGCAATCCAGGTATGTGCTGGAATCGAACCTGGGACCCTTCAGTCCACAGGCTAATGCTCTATCCACTGAGCCAAACCAGCTAGGGCTAAATTTTCTTTATTCAAAGCTTAGTCGGGCTTCACCCATTATTTTGAATCAGTTAAGCCTCAAGAGGTGTGAAAATTAAGTGAGTTATCAACTGTTAAAGTATGTACATATTATTTGTGTCCCCCAAAAAATGTATATATACTTTGAATAATTATAAAGGCAGTGTTTGTACTTCAACTGCGTTTTCAAACTTCTAGTGGCATTTTAAGATGAATTTTCTTTGTTCAAAGCTTAGTCTGGCTGAAAAGAAAGACACATCAATTGAGCTATCAGCTGTTAAAGTGTGTGTACATGTTTTGGGGACACTCTGTATTCCAGATGAAATAGTAAAGTGACTAGTGTTTGCCTTATCTGTGAAGAAAATAATAGAATAATGATGATGACAAACATTATTGGCCTATGTACTAGGCACTGTGTAGAATACTCTATACATGACTAACTCCTGTAATCTTCATACTATCCCTTGGATATTGGCCTAATTTGATAAGAAATTGAGGTGACATGCACTAGATTTCCCAACTGATGAGCAGTGGAGTGAAAGTTTGAAACTAGGCTGTCTGGATTGAGAAATGTTGCATTATTACCTGTTTGTGGATTACTAGAGGCCTGATGCACGAAATTCGCAGCTGCAGCAGCTTGCCTCGGCCCTTACTAGCCTGTCTTTGTGCAGAAGGTCATCCAGAAAGACATCTAAAAGGTCGTTTGTCTGACCAATCTAATTAGCATATTACATTTTTATTATTATAGATAGTTGTACAATAGTAGCATAACAAAATTTCAACGCCAGCCCCATTTTCAAGTATTTTGCACCACTCTCTTATGTATATATTCAGAGTTCTCACACCATTTGTTCTGATTTGGGATTTAGTAAATATGATCACAACAGACATAATGGAAAAGGAGCCAGGAGACCTGCTCTTATTCCTACATGCCACTCGTTGAGTAGTTTCAGACAAATCTTTGAACCTTAGTTTCTTCACGTGACAACACTAGATGATAATCCTTGAGAATCCTTTCTACTTCAAGAGAGAAAAATGGTATTTTAACAGATGGCCACAATAAAAATTCAATTCTAGAGAGAGGGAAAGACTTAAAAGTAAATGAGCCTTGTGTATTTAATTTTGGTGTTTTTAATTTTTTAATAAAATAATTTGGTCTATAAACTTAGAAAATACCTAAATGTCCCTGAAAATGTCTATGTACTAGCTACGTAATCAAATAGTTTTATATAAGAAACTTAAAATGTCAAAATGATTTTTTCTAAATATTCCTTTTTTTTCCTTCAATTTTTAGAAAGTTGGGCATAAAGCGATACCTAAAACTGCTTCTTGGCATGGCATCAGAACGGAGCTAAAGTACTAATTTGATTTAGACCAAAATCATGGTTCGACTGACCTTGGATCTAATTGCCAAAAACAGCAACTTTAAACCCAGAAAAGAAGAAACCACCTTACAATACCTTAGGAAACTAACTCATATAAATTTTTCAGACAGAAATATAGAAGCAATTGTAAGAACTCAGAAATTATTTCTAATTTTTATATAATTAACCATGTAAAGTTTAGAAATTGTTGTCAAGATATACCTTCTTATTAACTGTATTTTGATTATACTTATTAACTATATTTTCATTAGCTGTATATTGTGTTATTTAATTTCCTGCTTATGTTAAACTTTTTAAAATTAACTTTCTATAAAATATACCATTGTGGTTGTTAAATATATGTGTTAAATATATATGTTCTTCTAAAATACTCTACTGTATAGCAAACTAGATTTAAAAGCACACGTTGGAAAATAATTTCAAAGATAATTACTCATATGTAATTCCCTAACCTTGAAATATGAATTTTAACATATAAAAATAGTAAAAATTAACTATGTGATTACCATATTTCAAAAGTTTAACAGGGAAATCTTTTCCCCACAGAATTTAATGGTTATACTCTTTCAGTTACATCAGACAAGATTTTGTTCACTTGGATATACTCTGAAATTACATTTTCTCTGTGTTAAGATCGTTCTTGACTTTAATTTGGGAAACTTTAAAGACAACAATAACCCATTTGGGCCATTTGTATTGGTATCCATTATCTATAATAAAATACTAAAGACTAGATGAGAGGAAATTTCTTGGAAACATATAACCCACATGAGGGCAGGGAATATGTTTATTTTCTTCACATCACTCTGAATTCCCCATCCAATACTGTGCCTGTTTCATTTTAAGTGCTTAATAAATATTTACTGAATGAATGAATACATTTTGAAAACACCAAAGCCCCAAGCAATATTGTCAATTAAGACAACGGAAGTTTTGTTTGTTTGTTTTTTCAGAGACCATACCCAGTTCCCATTCTATATCTTTTTCCAGTTTTCTGGTGATCCTTCTCTCATGAACCCAATGGCCCAAATCTCACGTTTCTCTTTGGTTGGCCAAAGCTCTCTACTTCACCATACTATATTTAGGCTGCTTTCTCCAGTACCTCCCTTTAAAGTTGTTTGGCCCCTTCACAATCAATGCTCCTTCAGTATGGATGTTAGGAGGAAAGTAAACTGATGTAAGGCAATTTACACTGAGAATAACTTGTAAACTTAAAGTTACCAAGATGTGGTTGTATTTTAGAAGATCATAACAAAAGCTGAGCTATTTTTGAGCAAAACTTCACTCTATCTCTTGCCTATTCAGTCTAGGCTGACTTTACCAGCACACAAGAAATGACAGCCTTTTAAAATACCTTTAATTATTTTTCTTATCTCAACTGTAACTGGTGTTCATTTGTATAAAATACATATGAAAAGAAAGAAACTGACTAATTTTACCATGTAGAGAAAATCACTATTAACATTTAGGAAAATGTCCTTCCAGTATTTATTCTAGGCATACATTCATGTGATTTTATAATAGTGGTTCACAATAGAATGTACTATTCTCATTCTATTATGAAATCTATAAGATATCACTAAAGAAACTAAAGGATATTTAATGGCTATATGGTATTTCTTTCAATGGCATTATCATAGTTTCTTTATCAGTCCATTGTTCTTGAATATCTAAGCTGATTTCCAATTTTCAGTATTATAAATCACAACACTTACTTCAAATCCTATAGAAAGACTAAGAAGACCTGATTTCTTTCATTAAAAAAAATATATATATATATTTTATTGATTTTTTACAAAGAGGAAGGGAGAGAGATAGAGAGCTAGAAATGTCAATGAGAGAGAAACATCGACCAGCTGCCTCTTGCACACCCCCTGTCGGGGATGTGCAGGCAACCAAGGTACACGCCCTTGACCGGAATCAAACCCAGGACCTTTCAGTCCACAGACCGACGCTCTACCACTGAGCCAAATCGGTTTCGGCAGAATATCTGATTTCTAATGTTAGAGCAATAATTTTTGAAATGCTTCAACTTCCAGAGAAGCCTAATTGCTTCTAAGAAAAATTGGTTGCACTGGGAAAATATTTCTTAACAAATACAATTTTATAGATATAGTTACAGAATACTAAAACCTAGAACTAATTTTGTAGTTACTTTAGTCTTGTTTTGACTGTGCTAAGAAGATATATTGTTCTTTTATATTAAACTTATTAATATTACAAAATGATTTAAGTGAAAAACTATCTTAAAAACAAACAAGTTTTCAAGAAAAATTAAGTATGACCTGTTTTTGTTTTTATTTTAGGATGATCTCTCTCTTTGTAAAAATCTTAGTGTTTTATATTTGTACGATAACCATATTAGTCAAATAACTAACTTGAATTTTGCCACAAATCTGACTCACCTGTACCTACAAAACAATTGTATTTCCTGTATAGAGAACCTCAGTTCATTAAAGAAACTGGAAAAACTGTAAGTGCTTTTATTTAATTGTCATCATTACAGCAATATTTTTGCATGCAGGTATTTCCATTATCTGTTTTTTTTTGTGGAACAGGCCACAATTTTTATTCTCTTTTAGTAGTATTAATACAAAATAATTGTTTCAAATGTAATATCAAACAATCTGTGTTTTATAAAGTCTGTTATACTTTTCTTTTGCAGGAGGTTGTCTTAAGGGCTTATAGAAAAACCTAAAGACATCATTGTGTAGGCTCAAATAGTGAGAAAAGTTTCCATAGAATTCAAATGAGTTTTGTGCCTTTCAGAATCACATTTCTGAAAAGGACAGGGTCATAAAATGAATGCTGATGTAGGCTTCATTATAAAAAGGCATTTACTCTGCCTATAATGATTTTAATTAAACAATGAAAACTGGTGGATCCAGTTTCCCCAGACTAAAAGAACTATCAGTGCTTCTCAAAAAGTGGGCCAAGGGCCTTAGAATGGGGAGCGGACAGTGGGGTGGGAAATGCTGGATTCTTTTAGGGGTGTCGAACTCAATCAGAGAAGGGGCCAAAATCTAAAATCCAGCCTAAATCGCGGGCCGAATGGTTTACTGAACAGTCATAAACTGTCATTGTGATGGAAACGCAGCGGAGTGCAGTGATGACAGCGCAGTGCGGGCCACATTGCAAGGCCTGGCGGGACGGATTTGGCCCGCGGGCCTTGTGTTTGACACATGTGCTTTAGATAGTCAAACCAGAATATCTGCGGGTTAGGCCCAGAAATCTTCATTTTTAAATCTACAACCCTAGGTGAGTCTTCTGCACTCTATATCTGAGGAGTATGGGTAAATAGTTTAATAAGGATTATTACCATTCTCTCCCTTAAAAAAAAATTTCTTAGACTAAATTACATGTAAAAATAATATAAACTTTTCATTAATTCAGTATAAAGAAAACATTGTATGTATAATTTTCACACAGTTCAATGATTTTGTTATATTTTTATCATATTTAAAGACCATGGTGTTCATAGAATGTCTAGTTAAAATTATGTCTTCTATTTTGCAGGTATCTGGGAGGCAATTACATTGCTGTCATAGAAGGTCTAGAAGGATTAGAAGGACTAAGAGAGCTCCACGTTGAGAGTCAGAAGCTTCCCCTTGGAGAAAAGCTTCTGTTTGATCCAAGAAGTCTTCACTCTCTGGCAGTAAGGCTACATTTGAGTATTCTAACAGAGAATGTCATAATTAAGTTATGGACCAGGAAGGTGGTGAAGATTTATTTGGATATGTAGATTCTCTGAATAGTTACAGGCCAACTGAGAGTTAGTTTGAGGACTAAAACTAATTTTTCCCACATAATTCCTCAGAGACTCAGCAGCTATAAAGTGAGGATAAAATCTACTTCTAGGGCTATTGGAAGAATCAAAAGAAGGATATTAACAGATTATGTATAGTATGAAGTCCTAACAATGTTAATTCACTCATAATTTTAACCTTGTTGATTATCATAACTCAAAAAGCCTAAGGAAAGCCAAAACTGGTTTGGCTCAGTGGATAGAGCGTCGGCCTGCAGACTGAAGGGTCCCGGGTTCGATTCCGGTCAAGGGCATGTACCTTGGTTGCGGGCACATCCCCAGTGGGGGTGTGCAGGAGGCAGCTGATGGATGTTTCTCTCTCATTGATGTTTCTAACACTCTATTCCTCTCCCTTCCTCTCTGTAAAAAAAAAAAAATCAATAAAATATATATTTTTTAAAAGCCTAAGGAAAGAGGAGTGCACATTTGGAAAATTTTAAACAACCTAGAAAATCATTACAAGTCATTTTTTCGCTGAATTCTGATTTGATTGTAGAGTGCGCTACATATGGCTGTGCAGATAGATCTGAGAGCGCTGGATTTGATGCTCCAGCTGACACCTGACATCACATGGAAGTGTCACAATGAGTTGAGCAAGCAGAGGGCGCCATAGAGGCTTTTGCTAATCCTCAAAGCAGGATTTGTTAGAGGAAAACTAAGCTTCCTTTGGTTCTGGGCAATGGAACATGGTTGTTATATTTACAGATCTCGTTGGTTTTATTTCAGAGGGCCAAGAAATGGAGGGCAGTATAAGATTTTTGAACCAAACATATAATAATGAAAGGATAGTGCTTTAAATAGGAAAAGAAAGAGGTGACTTGGTTTCTATCCTATCCCTCTATCCTTCCCATAGAATCAACTGTGTCTGAGCTCAACGTCAACTGATCCAAGTAGACTGACAACATTGTGGGAATGGATAGTTTTACTATAAAACACTGCTGAAAATATTTTTCCTTACTCAATTTTTGCATATATTCAAGCAGATTCTGAAATTCTAAATATAAGGCATAATTTTTAAATCTATATTTCAAGTCTTAAAAAGTGCCAGGAAGTATCTTCTCTATGTTATCTGTGTGTGGATACAATCTTTGTAGAGAATCCTGGACTTAGATTTTAAGATGGCTTTTATTCAGTGTTGCTGTGTTGTATATTTATGTCCTCATTAATAGCTGATGTTGAAATTCTTTTAAATTAGCTTATTATTCTAAGTAGCTTTGGAACATATGGATTGTTAAGAGAAAACTACATAGAGAGATAAAGATAAATTAATTCTTTAACGATGTTTAATTAATTCCTTAAGTCTTGGTCAGTGTTTTCTACCTAGAAAAACAGACAAAAAAATTCTTCGTATGAGAGTACAAATTTTAGTGACTTTTAACACAAAATAGTAACTTACTCAAACTGAAATATGTTTTCTACATTGTTATCATTTGTTCATTGGGATACCTTTTCTTTTCTTTGCTTCTTGACTCTTAGCTTCTTTTTTCTATAAATTTCTCTTATGCCTTGATTAACCTTACAAAATACTAGAGGCCCAGTGCACGAAATTTATGCATTGGTGGTGGGGGGGTGTTCTTCTCACAATCCGACCTGCACCCTCTCACAATCTGGAGCCCTCAGGGGATGCTCCAGCTGTCACCTAACATCACATGGAGGTGACTGAGTGGGCCTAAGTTGGCAGTAGGGCTGCTGCAGAGGTGGGAGAGGCTCTCACCACTGCCACCACCCACGAGCCCAGATTCTGGCTGAGCTCCTACATTGAGTGTCTGCCCCCTAGTGGTCAGTGCACGTCATAGCAACCAGTCATTCCACTGTTCAGTCAATTTGCATATTAGCCTTTTATTATATAGGACTAGAGGCCTGGTGCATGAAATTCATGCACGAGGGGGGAGGTGGGGAAAGGGTGGGGAGGCGGAGAAAGGGTAGGGGAGCCCCTCAGCCCAGCCTGCCTGTACCCTCTCAAATCCAGGATCTTTCAGGGGAGGTCTGACCACCAGTTTAGACCCATTCCCGGGGATTGGGCCTAAACCGGTAGTAAGACATCCCTCTTACAATCCTGAACCACTGGCTCCTAATTGCTTACCTGTTTGTCTGCCTGGTCACTCCCAACTGCACCCCCCCCACCGGCCTGGACACCACTAACTGCCACCCCTTGCCAGCCGGGTCACCCCCAACTCCCCTCCCCGTGCCAGCCTGGTCACCCCCAACTGCCCCCCCATGGCCTGGTAGTCCCCCCCCCGGCCCCCCCCGGGCCCCCCCCCCCCCCCGCCAGCCAAGTCATCTCTCATGGCCCCCCCCTGCCGGCCTGGTCTCCCCAAGCAGCCTGCTTATTCAGTTGTTTGGTCATCCCTCACTAACCCCCCTGCTGGCCTGGTTGTAGGCAGCCATCTTGTGAGTGCATGAGGGTTCATTTGTATAATATTTCTTTATTAAATAGGATAGGTAAGTTTTATCACAATTTCTATAGTTCTAAACATTATATATGAAAAAATATATAACATAGAAACAAAATCTTCATAGATTTTTATTTTCTTGCCTAAAGAGCAAAATAAACTGAACAATCTTAAAATTTTCACAAATTAGGATTTCTGGTTCCTATATATAGCACTTAATTAGATTGTTTACTAATGCTAATTTAATTATTTCCTTACAGAAATCCCTCTCTATATTGAATATCAGCAATAATAATATTGATGACATAAAAGACTTAGAAATACTGGAAAATCTTAATGAGCTTATAGCAGTTGACAATCAACTTCTGAATGTGAAGGTAGTATAAAGAAATTTTAATTTAAAAATATTTACTTGAAATTGCTATAAAATGTATTACTGTAAAAACTGTTCTGATTTGTTCTAAAAACTAGCTTATTAATTTTTGCTTCTTAGTATACTTATTTGTATAATTATGCCCTCTTATCTGATTTTCTCTTCTATATACAATGCTTCCAACACTCACCAACTGAAAAAAAGTTTCTCTGAGTAGGAAGTTATGCTTTTCCCTCTGTTATATTTTCCACTGAATATTCCCCTCTAGAACTAGATTTCTTGTCCCTTACCTCTGATCCCCCAATGCATGAGACCTGAATTTTCTGCTCCTTGGGGGAACCATCTCCCTTGTGTAGCTTTTTCTGAACCTTCTCATCAAATTGATGACTATTCAAAATGATGACTGTGTGTCCCAGGTCCTATTTTAGACCCCTGGAGAAACATTTTCTAGGCACTGGGGATACAATGATAAATAAGACAAGTTATCTACCCTCAAGGAGCTTACATTACAGTGAGACAGGGGAGGGGATCAGGAAAAAATAAGGAGAGAAGATTGTGAAAAGCACTCTGAAGAAATTAGGTAGATGACATAATGGGACATTCAGGTTATCAAGAAAGGCCTCTGAGCAAATGACACTTACACTGAGATCTAAAGGATGAGAAAGAAGAAATCTGAGAAGAGAGCTAATAAAGAACATGCTGGGCATAGGGGACAAAAAATACAAAGGTTCTGAGTCCAAAGAGAGCTTAAAGTGTCCCAGAAACAAAAAACAGGCCAGTTTACTGTGATATGACCTCAGAATCTAGCTCAGTTTCTAAAATGTTGGCAAAAGTAATTTTTGAATGAATAGAAAACAGTATAACATGAGATTAGGAAGGAACGTATAGGAGCCAAATCATAAAGGTCCTTTTAGGCCATGGTCATGAGCTTGATTTTAAGTGCAATAGGAAGTCACTCGAAGGATTATACTGTATTTTTATTTTTTTAAATATATTTTATTGATTTTTGTACAGAGAGGAAGAGAGAGAGATAGAGAGCTAGAAACATTGATGAGAGAGAGTCATCGATCAGCTGCCTCTTGCACACCCCCTACAGGGGATATGCCCGCAACCAAGGTACATGCCCTTGACCGGAATCGAACCTAGGACCCTTCAGTCCCCAAGCCGACGCTCTATCCATTGAGCCAAACTGGCTTCAGCTTGAAGGATTATAGTTTAACAGAATTCTTTATCAGCAGTGAAGAATAATTGCAAGAATGACAGTAGCCCTAGCCTGGCTCCTGAATAGAGTGTTGACCTGAGGAATGAAGGTTCTCGGGTTCGATTCTGGTCAACGGCATGTTCCTAGGTTGCAGGCTAGATTCTCGGCCCCAGTATGTGATGTTCAAGTGGCAGCCAATCAATGTGTTTCTTTCACATCAATGTTTCTATCTCTTTGTCTTTTCCCCTCTCTTCCACTTTCTCTAAAAGATCAATGGAAAAATATCCTTGAATAAGGATTAACAACAACAAAGAATGACAGTAAAGTGACCAGATGGGAGACTACCATAGAGGTTAGATATGAGAAGATAGCTGCTTGGAGATGAAAAGGAATGAATGAATTACAGGTTGAACCCATAGAACTTGCCTATTGAATAGGATATGTAGTAATAAAAAAAATAAAAATAAAAAAAAGAATCAAGGATGACTCCTAGCTCCTATGTGAGGAACTGGGGAGATAGTGGTACCCTGTAAAGGCTGGGGAATACAAGGGAGGAATAAAATAATTCCTTCTATTGAAATATCTATTGGACATTGAAATGGATATGTCAAGTAGGTATTCTGAAGTTTAAAGGAGAAATAAGATTGGAAAGTTTGGGAGTCAACAGCATTTATATGATATTTAGAACCATGCAACTGGGTAAAAGATAGTAGAGACAAAAAATAAATGAGGCTAATATTAAGCACAGAAACAATCCAATACTTTAGATGAGAAGGCACCAGAAGCCAATGATGCAAGAGAAGACAAGAGAAAAAAGAACTTCTAGAAAGAGGGAATGGCCACTTGCACTGAATGCTATTGAATGGTTGACATGAGAGCAGATAAGATGTTAATAAAAATGCATTCGATTTAACAACAAACTAAGTTGGGTCAAGAATATATTACGTATGTTTCAGAACAGAGTGCCTTGGCAAGGGTTTGCATTGTTTTTCTTCTACCCAAAGCCACAGAAACTTACTGGAAACTTTCTTCCTTGTTATGGTTTGAGAAACTGCATGCTTTTCACAAAATATTTCCCATACCTGAAATTTCCACATATAAACTAAAAAATAAGAGAAAGGAAAATGAAAAGACTATGTGGATATAATACCTTAAAAAGAAAACATTCAGCAAATCCAGAGGTTTGTATATGCCAAAGGTTGCTTTTCCCTCCCATTAGAGAAGATATACAAAGAGTGAGGACAAAATCTCAAGTTCTTTTATTTCCAGCAAGAAGACACAAGCAATAAAAAATGCCCAGCCACAGCTTCGTGGAAATCTGAATATAATAATCTTGCATGGGGTTCACTTGAAATGTGCCTTTGTGGTCCATTTTACATCATCCTCTGAAAGCTTAATCAAAGGACATGTTGAAGTTTAGCAACATAATGTTAACCTATTTCTCTGTATGTATTCCTGGGGCCAAATCTCCATTTTTTTTTTTTACTTTAATTTTTCCATTATTTGCGCTCATTGATTGAAATTGCCCAGAAGCTGCTGACATCAAACCCTGTGCCATGGGAGAGAAAGCTCAACATGCCATACATTAGGTCACTGACATCCATCCTAAGAGACTTCAGCGACAGACAGCTTTGTGCCAATGGGAAAAAGAAGTGGACATCATTAGAGAATCCTCACAAAACCACTGTAATTACCCCAAGGTTTTTAGCATTGGAGCAGCTGTTTGATACGAACGACCATAGGTTCCTCAAATGCATCGACAGAAAATATATGAAATAAGATAAATGAAAAAAAAAAAAAAAAGGTCCCTTGGATGGTTAAATAACTTTGAATCTTCCAATCAAGGTTATGGTTTGAGCAGTGAGGAAGATAGTTAAGAAAATTTAAAAGGAACACAAATAACAAGGAAAAGTACTGCCATGACAACTAAAATACTAGAGCTCTGTGAAAGGATTAAGAAAAAGAAACAGAGAGAAATGGGTCAATGGGAAACACAGATTTTCCAAAGCAATATCCATGCCCTAGCCTAGAGCTGCAGTGGGGAGGCCACGTTAGAGGTGGAGGAGCAGGACCTGGAAAAAGTGGGGAGGCTAAGTGGCTTCTGTCCTTCCTGCTATTTTGGGTTTCATTCCCTTACCTCTTACTTCTACAGATCCACAGCTGTCTAACCCTACCCTCATCTCTCCTATTCACTAACCCAAAGCTGGTCCCACACAGAGAATTGGGGCAGCAGAAGAGGAAGTGGGGACAGTGGAGAAGTAGAGGAGGAAATGAAAGAGAAGCTTAATCTAGTCTTTTTCTTTCCATGTATGTAGCCCTCTAAGCAAATATTTAAAAATGGTTCCATATAATTTCTCCTTTATAATTCCTGTCCTGCTCCTAACCCCAGATCCATTCATCCATGCACTCATTCATTTCTTCTTATCCATCCATTCAAAACACCTATCATGTGGCAACACTTATTAGACAACAGCAAGCAAAAACAGATACAGTCCTTGGCCCTGAAGAGCTCTCAGCATTGAGAGGAAAAGAAACATTAAGCAAATAATCTGGCAAAAACAAATATAAAAATGCACCCATGGTGAGTAGTACAAAGTGGAAGTATGTGGCTCTGAGAGCCTATAATAGGGGGATTTGCCTTAGTTAGGAAACTCAGTGACAGCTTCCCTTAGGAAGGGATTGCTGAGCTGCTCTCTGAGAGAAAAGGGTTTACCAGGTAAATAGAATAGCTTGTGCAAAGGCCCTGAGGCAGGTCAAAGCATGCAAAAATGAGAAACAGGAAGCAGAGTGAAGGTGAACCATAGTGCAAATAAATTGGTGGGTAAAAGTTGCATAGGTCATAATAGAGGTTTGTCTTCATCCTAAGAACAATGAGGAGACACTAAAGGTGTTTAAGCCAGGAGTAAAGTAATTAGCATTTTGAAAAGATCAGTATGGCTACAGTGTAGAGAAAGTATGTCAAACTCACAGCCCCTGGGCCATATGCGACCCACAATGAATATTTTTGCAGCCCAACCAATATAACAATATGTAAGAAACGTTTTAATAAAAATTTCGTAACTTAATTTTTTACAATATCCTGTTATACATAATTATTAATAATGAACTACAATGTTCGCTAATGACAGATTACTATCATCATGTTGCATTCATTTCCCTTACGTGCCTTACTCACAGGCGCACCATTTCTCTCCACTAATACTAGCAGCAATTGCCACATCATTAGTCTTGGACTAAGTTGTTTGGTGTGTGCAACAGGAAATAGTTCACCTTCGGAGAATGAGAAAAATAGGTGTATTTGTGTTATGCTTATTAATGTGTGCATTTATTCAGTGTCTAGTAAGTTAATGTTCAAGAAAAAATATTGATTTTTATTAAAATGTTCTATTATTTTATGTTAACGATTACTCATTTATTTCAGCCCCTTGTATTCAGCATGTCTCTATCAAAAGAAACCTACGTTTCTATGAAAATTAAAGCTTTTGTTTTTTTGCAGCCCACATAAACTTAAACCTTGTTTATTTGTCCCATATTAGCCTCTGAGTTTGACACGCTTGGTGTAGAGAATAGATTGGAAGAAGCCTGACTAGTTAGAAAGTGAGAGATGGTGGAAACTTGAATAGGGTTGGAATAAAAATGATACGAATGAACATATCAGAAAGCTGTTTAGGAAGTAAAGTAGACAGGATTTGGTGGTGATATAAGGAATGTAGCAGAAGTCAAGAGTCAAGCCTTGCACCATGGAAAACAGAGAACTCAAGAGTCAGGTTTGGGGAAGAGGGAGATCATGAGTTTTGATCAATTTTGAGATGCCTTTAAAATGTTACCTAGAAAATATCAGGCAGACACCTGGATACAGAGGACGGAGCTCAGTGGATAGTATAATTCTTCGGCAAATTGGTTAAGCAGTCACTGGAACTGCCATCCTGGATGAGACTGACTAGATATGCCAGTATGGTGAAAGGCTCAATGTGGCATCCCACAAAATCTGGTTCTTCTCACGTAGAGATGACCCTTCCTTTCTTGGTGTAATAGATGTGTTTTACTAATATCAACATGGACATTCTCCTTTTTGTGAAATGTCTGCATATAAATGCAGAATGGGGGGTGGGGGAAACGCATTTTTCTAGTCATGATTTTACATTTTGCTGTGGTCCAGGGAAGAAAAAATAAATAAATAAAACAAACACTGGGAGGAATAAATGTAAACTATGGAAAAGGAAGAAACCGAATTGATGCCACATCTGCTTCTGCTCCCCAGAGAGAACATTAGTGCTTGGGAAACTTGGCGATGCACTATGAGGAGCTTTTATAGCACCATCGCCACAGTCTTTGTTTCCCCCCTCTTTTAAATAGGTTGTTTTATGGCTGCCCTACCCAGGCAACAGTCTGCCAGGTATAGAACTGTTTTTTATGAGATGTTTTCTCTGTTCTCAAAAGCAACTTTTAGAAAACAGAATGTTTATACCTTAGAGATTCTTATGGTCATAAGGTTGTTACTTGGGGGGTTAGAGATTCATGCAAGATGCAGGAGCCTGAAGAATGTGGAATCACAAAGCCATGAAGGGGGAGCGGTGAGGAGGGAAGTGCTTCATAACTGAGACTGAGAAAGTCTGAGGTTGGCAATGTGATAAGATGATAAGGGATGAATCTAAAAGTTCAGAAGCCACAGACTGCAGGAGTGCCCAGTGATTAAGGAAGCAGAGGCAGTGGCATTGACTCATAACTTCAAATGTGGTCCTAGGACCAGAACTTCAGCCTCAAAAATGCAAAATCTCACCTTCTGCCCCAGACCTAACAAATCAGAAACTGCATTTAAATAAGATCCCTAGCCAAAACCGGTTTGGCTCAATGGATAGAGCGTCAGCTTGGGGACTGAAGGGTCCTAGGTTTGATTCCGGTCAAGGGCATGTACCTTGGTTGCAGGCATATCCCCAGTAGGGGGTGTGCAAGAGGCAGCTAATCGATGACTCTCTCTCATCGATGTTTCTAGCTCTCTCTCTCCCTTCCTCTCTGTACAAAATCAATAAAATATATTTTAAAAAATAAAATAAAAATAAATAAATAAATAAGATCCCTATGTGATTCTCAAGCACATAAAGTTTGAGACACACTGGTGTGGACTGGTACTTTTTCAAGAGTAGTGATGGTGGGAAAGAGACAGGATAAAAGCCAGAGGAGAAGGGGACAATGAAAGAGAAAGAAGATTCCCAGAGGAGGAGGCCTGTGGAAGAGGGGAAGGAATGGAGAGAACTAATTAATTTAGAAAATGAGGTGGGACTCTTTCTTGGTTGAGAAAAATGTGAAAGAAGAAAGGAAGTATGAGACCCAGAGCAGATAAATGAGAAAACTCTGTAGGTGGAGGACCCAATTCTTCCCAATAAAACTGGTGGCAAAGTCAGCCCTTGAGGAGGAGGAGAAAGAGAGGTTAGGCCACACAATACTCCATAGTTTAGAAACTCCTTCCTTTCACTCACAGTGCTCTTGTTTAAATAACATTCACTTTTGGTTAAAATTTCTTTGTATTTTTTTTCTATAGCTCCTTAAATAGCTATAGAAATATATTTCTTAAATAGGAGCTATAGAAAAAAATGTATTAAAATATTAAATACTTTAATGACCAGTTACAATAAAAGTTTTCATATCTCCAAGTAGTTGGATGAGCCATGAACTTCAATAGGGCCAACATTATATAACTTGCTGACACTATTAAATCAATTAAATACCATGATTATAAAAATTTATAAAATGTGAAAAATTTTTTAAATGTTAATTTATACCTAAAGTTTTTATGTCAGCAAAATTTGCTAAATAAATAAAATTATCGGAAAAGTTCATCTCACAGTCAAATATATTAGTGATTTACTTCATTAGTTTCCTGTTGGCCATTTATCATGAGGTAAAGTATCTTCGAGTAAATAGTGGAAATAAAAATTTTGATGTGTTTGCCTCTTATATAAACTAAATATTTTATAAGACACCAACGAACGAATAAACCAATATGGCCTGTCATGTTTTTCCAGTTTCTAATTTATTCAACCTCTGCTCAGTATTGATCCTGACAAGCAGAGTAACCAGAAGATAAATTTATTTACTCCACAGTTTAGTCAGAAACAAGCCAAAAATTATAGATTTTCCCAGGCAGATGATGACAGGCAGTCAGGGGGATGACAAATGGCTGTCTTTAGATTTAGTGAAGACAGTTGGGCCAGACGTTTCCGATAAAAATTGGAGCATGCTGGTCAGATACAGGTTCGTCCGTGGCCATCATTAATTGCAGAGGGAGCCCTGCCAGTGCTGCCGGCGCCCCTACAGGAGCCCAGCGCCAGCCCTGCATGGGAAAGAGAGCTGGCTCCTCGGGATTCGGCAGCGCTCTAAGTGATAGCATGACATGATCATTTATCAAACAGAGACTGTCCAGAAAAGTGTCTGCTCCCTTTAGGAACTTATTGAAGAATAGGAAAATGAAAGCGTTTTATTAAAGACAGGAAGGCAATGAGCAACCAGAGCGTATCCAAAGGGTAATCATATTTCAGCACAGGATTAGTTTAGTCTTAAATAAACATGCACTGGAGGGAGTATATTGAGGGTCATTTATCAAGTGAGCAGCAATTAACAAAACTCTACAGGACTCTTTTATCTATGAAAATGTAAAGTTCTCCTATTGTTATTATGACTTAACTTTTGGGTGATGGGACATCGTATTCAACAGTAAAAAATATAATGCACAATTCGTTCCTTAGAGGTTTTTAGACTACGAGAAATAGAGAGAAACTCTCACATAAAGTAATTATGGCTGTATCAAACACTGTTAAATAAATGCTGTAAGAGAAAAGGGGAAGTGAGGGAGAGAGACAAAAGCATCAATGGTAATAGAATTATCAATTGGCTGCTTCTTGCATGCCCCCACTGGGGATCAAGCCCACGACCCAGGTTATGTGTCCTGACCAGGAATTGAACAGTGACCTCCTGTTTCATAGGTTCATGCTCAACTACTGAGCCACTCCAGCCAGGCTAATTTTCATTCTCTTAATTGTGGTCAACAGAGAAGCTTTTGGTCCACTGTCATGTAGTTGACTTATAAGAAAGCTCTCTTCAAAAGTTGTAACTTCATCCTTCAGTCCTGAGCCCTGGATTATGCTCTCCACAGAATTATCAACATTTATTTTTATTAGCAGCAACATATCTGCTTTCAAGTAATGTTTTGTTCTATTAATGGTAGTTTTCCTTTCCTTTATTTTTTGCCTTTGGTTACTGAATTTTATAAAAGCAATTCAAGGCTATAGAGTAGAAAACAGTTTCTGCATTGCTTGTTCTTAAGTAATTCATACAGACTAAATTTATCTGATTTCAAAAATTAAAAACAGAACTCTATGATACATATAATAGTCCAAGTATATTTCACTTCCGTTAAATATCTAAAATAAAATATACATATTAAAAAATGAGGAAGGAGAGAAAACAAGAAAAGGGACAAAAAACAAGCATTGAACAAAAGAATTGTGACAATGGAAAAAGAAACCCAAATTGGGAGAAGGAGGGCAAACTGAGAGATCAGGTTCTTAAATGCTATTAGTCTGTTTTCCTGACATTCATTTGGATTGTAGACCATGGTATAACTTAACTACTCCTTAAAATATCAATTAGCTGATTTTCTTGTAACTATAAAAACACACAAATGGCTGGTTTGGCTCAGTGGATAGAGCGTCGGTCGGCGGACTGAAAGGTCCCAGGTTCGATTCCGGTCAAGGGCATGTACATGGGTTGTGGGCACATCCCCAGTAGGGGGTGTGCAGGAGGCAGCTGGTCGATGATTCTCTCTCAGCGATGTTTCTAACTATCTATCCCTCTCCCTTCCTCTCTGTGAAAAATCAATAAAATATATTTTTTAAAAACCGAAAAACACAAATGTTTATGATATACATGAAACAAAACTGTACCCACATGACAGTTTAAAAAAGAAATTCCTATGCTCAAAAAAGAAGGCCAAAAGGATATATGACAACATTTTGAAAATGATCTTTGGATGATAAGCATGCAAGTGATTTTTTTCTCATATTTTTCCCTTGACCTTTTCACAGATTTTTAAAATAAATAAGTATTATTTTATAAAATAAAAAGTAAATACTGTTTGCAATGCCAATGGACTGCTTACTCACTGCTCCTTAATTGCCTTAATCTGGACACTTCCATAAATTCCACTAAGAGCCAAAACCGGTTTGGCTCAGTGGTAGAGTGTCGGTCTGCGGACTGAAAGGAACCAGGTTCGATTCCGGTCAAAGGCATGTACATTGGTTGCAGGCACATCCCCGGTAGGGCATGTGCAAAAGGCAGCTGGTCGATGTTTCTCTCTCATTGACGTTTCTAGCTCTCAATCCCTCTCTCCTCCTCTCTGTAAAAAATCAATAAAATATATTTTTTTTAAAAAGAGTTCAGTGTTGGACATATTACATTTTAAAAATAAATAAATAAATAAATAAATAAATAAATAAATAAATAAATTCCACTAGGAATAGAGCATCTTCTGCAGGATGGATGAATGGCCAGAGGGGCAAAAGTTTTTTTCTAAACTGGGTCTCTTTAAGGGAATATGACAAAGAACAATTCCCTGGCCCCCAAACTCAGGACCTCATTTTTTGACTTCTCTTTAGCCACTTTCCATTATTAGTATAGACCATTATATCAAAAAATGATTTACCATACACCTTCTAAGTAGCTGGCACTGAGCTAGAACTCCACAAAAAAAGCAGTAATTACTTTTATAAACAATTAACTGAATGAAAATATATGGGTAATTATGAAATATTTTGTCTTTTTCTTCTATAATTATAGGATTTGGAATTTTTACTGAGCAAATTGATGAAGCTGTGGAAAACGGATCTAAAAGGAAATCCTGTTTGTCTCAAACCAAAATACAGAGACAGACTGATACTGGCCTCCAAATCACTCGGTACACATTTATATTAATATAATTTTCTTTGAAAAAGAGACCTGGTTCACTTTTTAGTTAGTTTATCAGCAAGTCTTCAGAAATATGTCATCTGGATCAACTGTATGGGGGGAGGTAAAAGAGGGTATAGGGAAGGTTAGTGGTGACAGGAGGATACTTGACTTAGGGTGGTGAGCACACAATATACAGGTGATACAGTATAAAACTGTACACCTGAAATCTATGTCATTTTATTAACCAAGGTCACCTACTAAATTCAATTTAAAAAGGCAGTTTTTAAAATGATCAACTTTAAATTCTATGTATTTTTAATAACACCAAAAGTTAAAATTGAAAAATAAAACATGAAAATATCTGCTGTTCAGAAATAATTAATCGAGGCGAGACTCTTTCTTTAAAAAAAAAAAATGTGGTTGTTACTAACAAAAATGGTTAGTCATAAATGTGTAGAATTTGCTCACCTTTTGCCAAATTTTCTCAGGCACAAGTCCTCTGAAGATCATTAGCCTCTTTAGCTTGGTTCTGTTGACCAAGGTTTTCACTGCTGACACGTGCCAAATGGTACCCTAAAAACAGATAGGAGTTCCTTTCATTTGAAAGTGCAGCAGGGTGGGGGGTCCTTCATGAGACCCTTAGAAATCATAACATTCCTCATTATGCACTATATTGGGGACTTAGACCAGCGAGGGATCAAGTTATCTATTGATAGCATCAGAGAGACAAGCCTGGTCTCTCCCAAAGGAGATTTATGAGCCAGTTTCCTATATCAGAACTTCAGTGACATGGGTATAAAAACTATGGCAAAACTCTTTTAAAGCTCATAGCTATAGTAAACCTTGATTAGTCATAACGTTAGTGCAGTGATTCTCTTGAGGGAGGATGGGATTGATACAGGGCATGTCAGAAATATCCAAGAAGGTTTTACACAATATTCTGCCCCCCATTTACCCCACCAGCCTAGGGTAGGGGACAGAGAACAGTCATGTATAATTTTTAAAGCTCTACAGATGATTCTGCCATGCACCACCCCCAACTGTCTATCTCCTCTTCTCTCTCCCCAGTGCACACAATTGTATTAGTCTACTTTCCTTAGGAAGCAGAGTAAGGTAATACAATTAATGTTTCATAATTAAGAATCTTCCAATGTTCATGAACCATTTCTGGAAACATTTCTCATGATACAGTACCATAGGCTGTAACAGATATGGAGACAAGTGTACTAATTTCCCAGTAAGGAGAACTTATTCAAAGTTTAAAAAAATAAATCATCTATAACATTTTATCATTATAAAATTTAATACATATTTCTTCTAGAAAATATTATTCATAATCCTACATAAATCTGTTTAGAATTTGGCATTTGGCCTTACAGTCTTTTTCTTCTATATATAACAAATTCTCTTTGATGTAGCTCACTTAATTTCTTTGTTTTTCCTAAATACAAAGCCAAAAAAACACACAAAGTTCATTGAAGGCCTGGTTTGATATGTCCCAGTAAAAGGAACTATATGGACCTATTTTCTGTTTTGTAAGTAACCCAGCCCTTATCAAACAGAATGGCAATCCACACACTTGTTTACTTAGTATGATGGAAGCAAATTTTGTGTTGAAAGCGGCTTATTAACACAGATCTCATGAGTCTCTGATCTTGTGTCCGTTACCGGACTCCCCCTTCTGAACCACCTCTACACCTAATAACCTCAAACGATATCATTTGCTAAAAGTTAGATAGAATCAGATTTACTGAGGCATAACCTAGTCATTCCTCAGCTTTGTCTGGAACATTAACATAAGGAAATGGGATTACTGTAAAAGATTTGGGTTTTTCACCCCTTATCCTTATAATAGATGTTTTAAAAATATGTACTGACTTACATATAACACATTCAAAAATATACTAATAAATTATACAATTAATAAAAACATATCTGGAAAGATATCAATATATACCAGTACAATGGTTAGGAAAACTAAGTGTAAAGAATGACCTTTAATATAAAGTTATAAGTACTAAGATGTATAATGATAAAACATTTAGCCAATTTCTTGCATTATAATTTGGAAAGTGCTATTATTCAGTTAAAATAAGTATAAGAGACAAGGTATAGAAACAATTATACTATTTCTAGAGTTTATGGTTCTAGTTTATATTTCCAGTTTCATCACTTGATTTGGATTATAACAATATTGTAGATCATATTTAAGTGCCATTGTTAACATTTTCAGTAGTACAATTAATATTTTATCAGGATATTGTCATTTTCTCTTATAAGAATATGACCCAAAAAATGTTTCTACATCCTTTCTACATCCTGGAATCTAGCAGAAGACATTACATGGATGATGAGAGAAAATATATTTAATTTTTTAAAACTGCTATATAAGGAAATTTTTCTAGAAAAGATAACATTTTATCTTAATGTTAATTTGAAGGCCACCTATATTCATGTGGTTAAAATAATATAAAATATAATTTTATAGAATACTATCAAAAGTTATTAAAGAAAAACACAGTAAGATGCTCATGATACAATATTTAAAAGTAGGTTGTAATGCTGTATAAATAGAGAATTTGAATTTTATATAATACACATATATACATACATAGAAAACAAAAAATTGCTAAGAAATATACTAAAGTGTTATCAGCCCTAGCCAGTTTGGCTCAGTGGATAGAGCGTGGCCTGCAAATTGAAGGGTCCCAGGTTCAATTCTGGCCAAGGGTACATGCCCAGGTTGCTAGCTCAAACCCCAGTAGGGGGTGTGCAGGAGGGAGCTGATAGATGATTCTCTCTCATCATTGATGATTCTATCTCTCTCTCCCTCTCCCTTTCAAAAATCAATAAAAATATATTTAAAAATAAAGTGTTATCAGTGATTTTTAGTCATTATTTCTGGTGAAATACAGGCAATGTGTTGTTGTTGTTTTTTTGTTTTTTTTTTGTATTTTCCAAATACTTACAACATACAAAAATTATTTGTCTAATTTAAGATGTTTAATTTAAAAAAAATTTAAAGGAACAAAATGTAAATATAACTGAAATCTCATTTCAGAGAACCAAGGGGGCAGCTATGTGGGTTGTTCCTATTATATAGCCCATGTCCCAGGATATAATAAGCATTATTAATGTATGTGCTTTTAAAATAACATGTTACATATATAAATCTTCTTAGTTACTTTAAGATAAAAATATTTTTATTTTTCCTGAGAATAACCATAAAATTATTTATTTTATTTTTTAATATTTCTTTATTGATTTCAGAGAGGAAGGGAGAGGGAGAGAGAGATAGAAACATCAATGAGGAGAGAATCATTGATTGGCTTCCTCCTGTGCACCCCCCAATGGGGGTCGAGCCCACAACCCGGGCATGTGCCCTTGGCCAGAATCGAACCTGTGACCTTCATTCCACAGGCCGATGCTCTGTCTACTGAGCCAAACCAGCTAGGGCATAACCATAAAAAATAATAATATAATTTAAATATGATCCTTGAAGGATCATCAAATTCTGTTTACAATGATTATCTTTGTCAGTGAAGGAGAGGTATGGGTAGTAATTACATCCATGTTTTATGTTTTTCCCTCATCCTGTTTCAGTTACTTATAATAAGCACATATTTTGTTGAAATCATTAAAAAATAATTAAAAATAAATAAAATCTAGACAAAAATACAGAAATTGTGTAAATAAGGTATTTTAAAAAGATACTTATTTCAGCATATAGAGTAACAAGTTTATGTGCCCCTGAACAATAAATATATATATCTTACATATATAGTGACATATCTATATTATATTTTAATATCTTTTTTATCTAGACTGTCTTGATGGAAAAGAAATTAAAAGCATGGAAAGACAATTTTTAATAAATTGGAAAGCATCCAAAGATGCCAAGAAAATCAGCAAGAAAAGGAACAGTAAGAAAGAGGATGACAGTATCCCATATATCAGTAAGTAGACTGCCATTCATTAGTTGACACTGCTACTAGCAAAGGGAATGAATATTCTCAACAAAAAATTTCATTCAGAAGGAAACCTGTAAGTAGGTCTGTAGCAAATTTTGTTTAGATTTTGTTTAAAGTTTTTGATTTTTTAACTTATTTACAATTCCTAGGAAATTTAACCTGTAATGTTTATATCTGAATATGGTAGCCGCTATTAGCTAAACCTATGTTTGGTTCCTACCGCGTATAACTGTATCAGCTATGTAAAGAGAGAGCCATAAGGGTAGAGGGAAATGTGTACATTTCTATCTGGCCAAAGTGCCTGGTATTAGTTATGTAAATGGTGAAACAACACCAGCTATGTAAAGTGTGAAACCTCAGTCATTAGTACTACCCTGTTTCCCTGAAAATAAGACAGTTTCTTATATTAATTTTTGCTCCAAAGATGCACTAGGTCTTATTTTCAGGGGATGTCTTATTTTTCCATGAAGAAGAACATGGTACACATTTATTGTTAAATGAAAATAAAGGAAATTCATTACCTGTATATGGTACGGTAGTATGGTAGTTGTCAACAAAAACCAGACAAACTGTGAATCCTACAGTATCAAGAATTTACTCATTTATTCAATGATAATCATGTCATCTTCTGGAACATCATTATAACAATCCAATTCCTGAATTTCCTGGTGAATTTCTTGTGACTCAATTTCTTTCAGAATCAGTGGACCAAATCTCTCATGTTTAGCCTGGGGGGGGGCGCTTATTTTCGGGGGATGCCTTATATTTCATTCAGAAGGAAACCTGTAAGTAGGTCTTATTTTCGGAGAATGTCTTATTTTTGGGGAAACACGGTAGTATATTTGTTTAGCAACAGTGCAAAAATTACATTTTTCATCAAGATAGAAAATAAAAATGTAACACAACCACTTCTGTAGCCTATACTTGTGACATGTCTCCTTTCTTATGTACAATCCCAACAGTTGCATATCCTATCTAATAAAAAAGTAATATGCAAATTGACCATCACTCCAAGACACAAGATGGCCGCCCCCATGTGGTCAATGATGGCTGCCCCCATGTAGGCACAGATGGCCACCACAGATGGCCTGTAGAGGAGGGCAGTTGTAGGCAGTTAGGGGTAACCAAGCCAGCAGAGGAGGACAGTTGGGGAAGACCAGGCAAGCAAGGGAGGGCAGTTGGGGAAGGACCAGGCCTGGAGGGGAGAGCAGTTGGGGGCAACCAGGCCTACAGGAAAGGGCAGTTGTGGGCGATCAGGCAAGCAGGGAGTGTAGTTAGGGGTGACCGGGCTGGCAGAGGAGGGCAGTTGGAGGGGACCAGGCCAGCAGGAGAGGACAGTTAGGGGTGACAGGACCAGCATGGGAGGGCAGTTGGGGGCGACCAGGTCTGCAGGGGAGGGCAGTTAGGAGCATTTGGGCTGGCTGGGGAGCAGTTAGGCATTGGTGAGGCTGGCAGGGGAGTTGTTAGGGGGTGATCAGACTGGGAGGCAGAAGTGGCTAGGGACAATCAGGCAGAGGCAGGCGAGCTATTGGTAGCCACCAGTTCTGGATTGTGAAAGGGATGTCAGACTGCCAGCAGTTGGAGCCAGCAGTCCTGGATTGTGAGAGGCATGCACTAAATGGGCAGTCGGACATCCCTTAAAGGGTTCCAGATTGGAGAGGGTGCAGGCTGGGCTGAGGGACACCCCCCTTCCCTGCGTGAATTTCATGCACTGGGTCTCTAGTTTTGATTATAATTCGCCTAAGGTTGTTTTACAAAGGACATGCCAACCTGCCTTTCCTAAGTAATGAAACTAAATGTAGCTAAGTGTAATGGGTAACAAGTATCTTTATCATCTTGGGGAGCATCCTAGAATTCACTCTTCCCAGATTCTGTAGTACACACATTGGAATAAGCCCCTTCCTTCACTGCCATCTCTACCCAAATGATGATACAGTTCTGATCCTCTCAATCTTAAAACATGACATTGCTCAACACATACATGTATACAGCTCTATCCTTAATATGTGGCCAACAGTTAACGCTATAGTCTTTATGAAAAGGCTGTTATTACTGCTCAAGAGAAACAGAAAGCAGGAATTAAAGTCTAGAAAATACAATTTAACCCTTTGCACTCCGAACCATTCTGGACATTGGCTACCAGCTACTCCACGCTACTTTGGGGCGGACACGTGCGTTAAATTAACTCAATTCCCCATAATCACTAATAAACTGCAATGTCCCCCCTGAGAGGGGACATCCGAGTGATATGCTAGAATTCCAATGTCCCCTGAGAGGGGACAGCAGAGTGCAAAGGGTTAAAATCTACAATATACTTTCAGATGTTTAGAAGAGCTAAGATTAATCTTTTAAAGAAACCCAGTATAACCAAATGCATCATAAGTGAACAGAAAGTCTTAGAGTAATTTTTGTACTCTCTGACCTTTTACATACTTTTGATAGCCTTGTAAATTTGGAGTTCCATATTAGAGATACATGCTAAGGCAATAAGGACTATGACCTCAAACTTCAAAGATTTTACAATAAAAGACTTGTCCTAAATATAATCACATAACTATATAACTCAAAATTGAAAACAAAATCACTTTAACAAAATGCAAAATATGTGTATATCGTTTCGTATTTATTTTTGTAGTGGAAACATTAATTTATTCATTTAATAAATGCTTATTGATATGTCCCAGACTATACTAGTCCCCAGGAATTAAAACTGATTGAGGCAGACCTCAGAGGGAAATCACTGCTGGAAAGGGAGAAGGACCTGTAATTATATGGAATGTTAAGTGCCAAAGTAAAGGCATGAACATATTCCAAAAACTGTACATGACTAATCTACTCCCTAAACACTCTAAAAAAGTAGGTTCAGAAAAGCAAAATACAAGTGCAGTTAATATTTATATTAATGTTAGTGTACCCATTTTGTCTATGAGCGTTGACTATAAATTTTCCTGTGTAGGTTTTTCTGTATAAAAGCCTATGATATTTTTATCTTGGATATTAATTTTTATTGGTTTTACCATGGTTCTATTTAACTTAATTCCATTTCATAAAATATAATTTTAGATAGTCTAATGCTCTGTCCACAATTATTAGTTTCACAGCAGAATGCTTTTAATTCTTTGTATGCAGGTACCTTTGAGGCAGTGCATCACATACTTCCTGTTTATTACCCACAAGTGGGTAAGCCAAAACTACTCTTTATCTCTGACTCTCTGAGATACATGGCTAATGAAAATGCACCTCCAGAAAACTCCCCAGATAATAACCCTAAAGTTATCGAAGAGACCAGGTATGTTCTGTCAAATCTTTGTGTGATTTGTCTTTTGGAGAAAAATGGGACATTCTCACTGTCAACAACAAAGGAAGACAGGCCCTTCATCTGACTCTCATAACTCACTGTTCTTAATTCTTGGCCAAGAACTGCCCCTCCTGGCTCCCCTCCCCGCCCAAAAGAGAAAGTTAACTGTTGCTCAGCCCAGTCACAAAGTTGAGGTACAAGAGTTAGTTCAACAAGAGCTGGGAGAGTTAGCCTGCGTTCCTAAGGTTCTTGGTTTGAAAGGGTATGTACCTGGGTTACAGGTTCCCCAATTGGCGTGTGTGTGGGAGGCAACCAAATAATGTGTGTCTCTCACCTCCCTCTGTCTTCCTCTCTGTGTCCCTCTCTCTCTTTCCTATCCTCTCTCCCTCCCTCCCTTCCTCCCTTCCTCCCTCCCTCCCTTCCATTCTCTATAAAAATCAATGGAAAATATATCCTCCTGTGAGGATTAACAACAACAACAACAAAAAGCTAAGAGTCACAACTAGACATTGAGGTAGGCAGGTAACTCAGAAAGGCCCCAGAAGCAGCAGGAAGAGATGTCTGAGTACTAAGCAGGGACTATATCAAAGGTGCTGTGAACTATGACAGTTGTGAACTGTGACATATACCACATATTTGTAGCTTCAAGCAAAACTGTAGTCACCAGGACTGTACTGACAAAAACAGCAAATAAATCACTCTACCCTTGTTTACCTTACTAGGAGAACACGAAATAAAGGCCCAGTAGATGACGATGGGTAGTCCACTATGTGAGTGGATGAAAACAGCAAGGGTGGCTGGTAGCAGGAAGGAGGGGAGAGGCTGGCTACTCTCACCACTTCTCCAAACCAAATGCTCTTATCTGGTGTCCCTGAAGGAGACCTAAGTTCATTGGATCCTCAAAGGGGCTTATGATCCAAAAAAATGGTTTTAAAAATCATTGTAAAAACAGGCAGTGGACATACTTTGGAAGGACATCCTTTGGAAGAGATTTCCTTTTTCAAGAACTCTGCTGAAGGTCAGGTGGGTTTGTCATGAGAGCCTCTCTGCAGGGTCCAAACGAGGGGTGAGGTCTTAGCTTTCTGTAATGGAGCCACAGGAAGACCCGTGAACAACAGTGCTGCACTGTCCACCACCATTCCCTGAAGGCTGGCATGGCCTTAGGGGAGGGGGGGTACTGAGAGTCTGGAAAAATGCTTCATCTGGGAAGAAGAAAAAAGAAGCCCTAGTTTTGGTCTCGCCTCCTCTCCATTCACACACGCATATGCACCAAAACTGGAAGCTGCATGAAAATTTGCTTTACTGCTTATGTACATTGTAATTACCATCAAAACCTTAGCCAGTTGGTCCATAGTACCCCAGACATTTTTTTAAAAAAGATTTACACAACTGGTGTCAATTCCACAACAGTGTTCTTGAGTTTTGCTTCTTGCCAAGCATTTTGAAAGGTCTTGCTAGTATATCATATATCATCCAGATAGAAAACAATAAAAAAATGGACAGAACCTCAGAAAACAATGTTAGTAAATTCTATACTCTGCCACACAGGCTAAGATCAGTTGTGAACTGTGACATATACCACATATTTGTAGCTTCAAGCAAAACTGTAGTCACCAGGACTGTACTGACAAAAACAGCAAATAAATCACTCTACCCTTGTTTTCCTTACTAGGAGAACACTAAATATAGAGCTAACTGCATTTTTAACTACTACATATGCTAAGATAGGCTACCCTAAAAGAAGCCAGAATAGAGGATACTGTTCTGTATTACATAAAGAATGTCCTTCTGCTTCTATCAGTGAAGTTATGTTCAATCCTTCAGTTTTATAATGTTAAAAAATATTAAAGATTTTAAATGTTTACTTCCTCAGGTGACATTTTTTACTGAGGACATATCAAAATACTGTTTTGCTATTGCCAAAGATTTGTCTTATTAAGTGGGAATATTAATTCTACATCTTGGATATAAAAGGTGAACAAATATATGATGGAATTTCATTAAGCTCCTGATATAGATTTTTAGGAAGTGTCTACTGCTGACATTTTACTAATTTAGTATAGAGCTAAGAGATGAAAAGAAAGCTAAAATATCAGTAAAATATTAAAAATAAAATATCAAAAAAAAGAAAAGAAAAAACCCAGCCCAAACACAAAGAATAGATTTTCAGTTTCTAAAAAGTTGATTCAAGTTACTCCTTCCCCTAATTGCCTTAAAGGGGAGAATGGGCAGACGAGTGGCCTACGGTCTGCATTTAATATTCCAGATGGGAGCCTACTCAGAGGTGGAAAGGAGCTTAGAGCCCTTTTTTCAAAATGCTGAAAGCATGTGACCCACACTCCTGTAAGGCTCCGCACGTTGGGAGCTGTGCCTGCATCCTTGTGGAACCCAGTGAGGCAACATCTGTGCGGTGACAGGGGAATGTTTCCCCCTCCTCTGTGAATGTGTGCAGTCTGTGCTCGTGTATATTTACACAAGCCCGCCTTCCCTACAGGGAGGAAAAAGTCAGACTCGTTGACGTTGTTTTTGACCCTCACACTGAACTTGATACTATCAATGTACGCTTTAATTAAAGATTAGTTCAAAACTATTTTTTTTATTTAAAGGCAGATTCTGAACTAATGTCTTCACGGTTCAGTTAAAAATAATCTATGCCCTTAAACAAAGCATGTACACATTGCTTCTTTCTGTGTTTGTCACAGATGTTTCCTCTCTTTTTAAACGTTAGGGGGTGCTTGAGCTGTAGTGATTTTTAAATAGACGTTAGATGCATTCATATATTGTAAATAAGATCAACTGAGGATACTGTACAGCACAATGCAACGAAAAATGCAAATTGATACTTGATTATTTAACTATCAAGTCTAAGCAATATTAATAGAACCAAATTATCTCTTTTGTTATTGCAAAAATAATAACTTTCTAGCTGTGTTAAATGCCCTTACTTAATTCAGATTCCTTTAAGGAATGTGAATCTCTGGGGCCCATAATTTGCAGGAAATGTTAACTGAATGTTATTTAACTATCAATAAAATACCTACTATATTCGGTTAGAATATGGAAGCTTTAAATTTCTTTGTTAAAAATGAACATTAAATCAGTAAAAATAATTTGCTTTCATCACTGTTAAGGCTATGTTTAAACAGTTGTAACAACAGATTTCCTATGTACTTCAAGAAGAATCTTTAAAACTTAGAAAATATTTCTATCTGAAAATTCTGGGATGATTTTATCTAAATGCTTTTAATTTTGCTGTGTTAAACCCTCAGTCTAATTAATTTTATAGGCAAAATAAACTTAGATGTATCAGTAATGAAGGTATAATGTTAAGATTTTGATTTGCAGTCTTGAAAGAACCCTTTTGAAATTAGGATACAACCTCCTTTAAAAAAAGCAATGTGGTAAGCAGCAAAGTTTTCAAAAGCAGTGTAAGAGAGCTTTGTGACTTCTAGGCTCAACTCTGTCAATGGCTTATTCTGTGAACAAGAGTTAAGTAAGATCTAATTTATGCGATTTGTATTAGTTATTTTACATTCTAATGTCTATTTTGAAAGCTGAATCTTCATTACCGAAACAAGTTTTAAAAAACTGCCGAAACCGGTTTGGCTTAATGGATAGAACCTGCGGACTGAAGGGTCCCAGGTTCAATTCTGGTCAAGGGCATCATGTACCTTGGTTGTGGGCACATCCCCAGTAGGGGGTCTGCAAGAGGCAGCTGATTGATGATTCTCTCATCGATGTTTCTAACTCTCTATCCCTCTCCCTTCCTCTCAGTAAAAAATATATATTAAAAAACAAACAGTAAAACCCTTTGAGATGAGAATACTATCAGCCCCATTTTATAGGTGGAGAAGCCACTCAGCAGAGCCCCGAGTCACACTACTGCCACAGGCAGAGCTAGGACCTGAGTCCATATCATTGACTCCAAAAGCCAAGCTCTCCACTACTCTGCAATGGGGTCTCAAAAACACTCCCAGGTCTAGGCAGGTAGAGGAAGTGAGGGACAGCCCTCGCTGGTTTGGCTCAGTGGGTAGAGCATCAGCCTGAAGGAAGTGAGGGAGTCGGTGAGCTGTCACTGAGGTGAATTGGAGAGCACATGTCCCACTAAAGGCAGCTGCGGGTACTTGGCTCCAAAGCAATGTAGCCAAGCATATATGCTCACCTTGAGATAGCAGCTGGCAAGCAAGATATCTAGATTGTGAAATCATCTAATTTTAAAATTATTGCATCTTTTTTCCCCCTTAAAATATCTATTAAAATAGATAAAAATAAAAAAATATGGTAATACTAGCGAGGATATGGAACAACTGGAGCTCTCAGGCATTACTGGTGGGAATGCAAAAATAGTACAGCCACTTTGGAAAATAGTTTGACATTCTTATGAAGTTAAACATTTACTGACCATATCTAGCAGTCCTACTCCTAGGTATTTTCTGAAGTGAAATGTACCTATACTCACACAAGAAACCAGACTTACAGGCTACAGACTGTATCACCCTAAGACATTCCGGCAAAGGCAAAACCATAGAGACATAAAACAGATTAGTAGTTGCCAAGGCTAGGGGTAAGCACAAGGGAATCTGATGGGGAGGAATACTGCAAATCTTTATTGTGGTGGAGGTTATATGACTTGTTTATCAAAACTTGTTCAACTATATAGTCAAAATAATGAACTTAACTATGTAAATTATATCTTAATAATGAGGGAAAGAGTGTAAAGATGAAGAAAAGCACCAACTATATAAAACCTTTTGTAATATAATATCTATACATATATATAATTAAGCAATATATCATCTTCACCGCTGTGTGATTATTTTACATTATAAAAACAGTGAATTAAGATGGCGAGTAATTTGACATATTTAGAAAAAAAGACAAGTATAATTTCAAGACATACATCACATTCTGTGAAGTAAAATTTATAGCACTCTAAAGCCATGTACTTTCTGGGATCCTAGACAAGAACTGCAGAGAATGATATACTATGAAAATAGTATCTGGATTATTAATGAGTCCAGTTAAAGCAGGCCCTTTATTGAGATAATAGATTCAAAAGTGTTTTTGCAGATTATGAAGAGCTCTACAAATAGTAAACAGAATAGTGTGGTTAAAAGCATAAGAATCAGGGTCAATCTACCTGGCTTAAATCCTGCCTGTGCCCCTTACTAGCTGTGTGACCTTGGACAAATTACTTAATCCCTCTGAGCTTTATGTTCTCAACTGTAAAATGTAAAATTCTCAAAGCATTTTCGTAAAGACCAAATGGAAAATATAGTACTTTTAAAAATATATACTTTTATTGATTTCAAAGAGGAGAAGGGAAAGGGAGAGAGAAATAGAAACATCAGCGATAGAGAATCATTGATTGGCTGCCTGCTGCACACCCCCCACTGGGGATCGAGCCTGCAACCTGGAATCAAACCCGGGACCTTTAGTCCACAGGTCAATGCTCTATCCACTGAGCCAAATCAGCGAGGGCACTATAGTACTTTTTGTAAAACACAGCACATATGAAGTTTTAAATAAGATGTACCAATTTATGTAACATTGAAAATTTGAACACTTTTATCTTTTAAATGTCTTTTTCCTCTTCCCCATCTAGTTTTAATTTAACTGCAAACTGGTTTCTTGCAGGAATTGGACTAATTTAGAGTCATCAGAGGATTCAGAGAACCTACTTAGAGTGGCAGCAGATAAGAAAAGGGGGTGGCCGGCAGTCATTGAACTTTTTACTTCAGTCCTTTCTTTGGTCCAGCGGCTGTTAGCCGCCATGGTGCCCCCTCCATGCCACCTCACAGGGTGGGTTAGGGTGAGGATTGGAGATGCCAAGGGTGCAAATTTTTTTGTCCCAGGCACCTAATTAGCCTCACCCTAAGCTTGTCCCACCTCCCCTCCAATGTTCCATTTTCACATCTCTCCCAACTCAGAGTTTCCTGTTCTTCCCTGCCCTGGCAATGAATCTTTGTTTCTGCATTCTTGAAATTCTGAAAAGATTTACAGTTTGGTGACTAACCATTAGCCTTTACTGCTGCTGTTGTTTCCTAGATTCTATGTTTGCTACCTGTTTTGAATAACTTTCATTTTTGAAATAATTTAACATTAGGTTTTCCCCCCTTCTATTAACAGGAATCTCTCTGAAGGAATCTGAAATGTTTTGACAAAAAGTGATGAACATGAACCTACTTTCATCGTCTGTATAATCCAAAAGTAAAAAATTTTGTTTGTAAAAAAACACGTCAATTCAATCTTAAGAGGCTTGCAACGTTTTGGTGTTTGGGGTGTGTGTGTGTGTGTGTGTGTGTGTGTGTGTGTGTGTGTGTGTTTTGGGGTGGGGTGTTTCACCTTTATATTGTAGAACTAGGTAACATCAACTTTTGTGGTTGTATATTTATATTATTATATGAGAAAAACCTTTAAGTTCTAGTCCAATTTGCTTCTTTATTGAATCTGAAGCATTGCTTTCCAGTTGTTTTATACCTCATTACATACCACTTACTGGCAAAATAAAGACGTGCTTTCTCACTCGTAAGAAAGGAATCCTTTCTTTCTTTTTTTTTTTTTTTTTGAACCAATGGTGTCTTGGCGTGCTTCTGTCGTAAAGTACATCTAACTACAGTTACTGAACGACATAGAAGCCTGAGGATTATTCTGATTCACGAATATAACCCAAGTGTTGAACGATACATTCAAATGCCACCGTTACTGTGTAGTATTTGATACTTCCAATGTGAAAATGTGTTGTAAAGTATGAAACTGTATCGCGTATACAAGAACAGAGTCATGGATGGCATCATGAGTTTGTTATTCCGTCTTGACCCCCAAAAAAGATTTTATTTTTTCAAAAAAGATTTTCAATGTCCTGCTCTTCGAATTGTATAGGCACCGTTTCAAGGATGCTCTACTGATTAGTTTCTAGAAAACGTGCGTCCACTCAGACTCCGGGTGGGGAGCGGAGCGCCGGGGCAGGGCCGCCGGGCCGCACGCTCCCCGCGGGTCCCCGCACGCCGGGCGCCTGGCGAGCTCCCCGCGGGGACGGGGCCGGCCGGGACTCCCGCACTTGACGTCCGACTAGGACAAGCGGCGCCCCCGGGGGCACCGTGTGGCCGCGAAGGGTCTCCACCCAGGGGAGAAGCGACCGCCACCCTAGGGCCGGGGCAGGTGTGGGGGGATCTCCTGAAATCGCCCCGACTGCGGGGCGTTCGGGAGGGAGTGCGGTTCGTGGCGGCGCGGCTCGCAAACGCGTCCCGGAGCGCGGAGGTGGGGCTCGGGCTCTCGGTCCTCGGGACCACGGGAAACGTTTACCTGATGGGAAAGAAACACTGACTGCCTCACGGAAAAGTGAAGGTCCGCCCCATGAAACGTCAGAGCTCCTGCAAGGCGCCCGGACGCCCACCGGTGACCCGCGAAGCCGCGCTGACGCTCCGGAGCCCGGAGCCCGGACTCCCACTCCGCAGGCGCGGAACACGGAGTGCCCCGAGGGCACGGACGGCAGGAAGCCCCGCCCCTGACCACGCCCCTCTGGCCCCGCCCCGCCCCGCCCCGCCCGCGGCTTGATTAATGGCTCTCCCGCGGCGGAGGAAGTGGCTCTGCCCCGACGCAGCCCCTCCTGGACGGCCCCCCTCAGGTGGGCGCGCGCCTCGGCGGGTCGCGCTGTCGTAGGTGGACTCCGGCCCCTCCGGACGCCCGCCTGGGAGGCGCTCCCACCCGGTGGGAGCGGGAAGCGGCCGTCGACTCGGGCTGGGCGGGATGGAGTGAGGAGCGCGGCCCTGGCCTCGCTGACCCGGCTCGACGCTCTGCGCAAAGCGCCGCACGGCCGCTCCCGGAAAGGTGAGGCCCCGGTCCGACCCCCGCCGCTGGCTTCACCTCGTACTTTGGCATCCGCTACCCGGAGGATAGCGGATGCCGAAGTCCGAGGGGAAGCCCGGGGCCCCCACCCCTCCTGCAGAAATGACCTGGGCTCCCGCCGTCGCCCCCGGGTCCCGGGCACCGGGACCTACTGGCACGGGGGCGGCGGCCGTGCGTACCGCTCTCCGCGAAAGCGATCGGCACTATCTTTCCTGCGGGGCGGGCAGGTAACGTTCCCGAAGCGCGGACAAGTGCTGAACCCGAGCTTCCTTCCCCGACAGAGCAGTAGTTTCGCTTAAATTGTCCGAGGAAAGTCAAGCGCGCCCCGCGCCCCGCGCCCCGCGCCCCTCCTCGGCCTCCTAGGGAGCCAGGAACTCTCAGGCCTCAGTCTTCCCAGACGCGGGGACAAACGCGCTGCAACCCAAGCATCCTCCCCTTTAAGCCCGTCCCGGGGACTTCGGGGGGCCGGGCGGGCGGGCGCGCGCGCAGGAATAGGGAGCGGGCTGCTCCCCCCGGGGGTAGCCCCACCGGGGCCCCCGCTGCTCACGGCGCCCCGGGTCCTTTGCAGGGCGCGCGACCCGGGACGGCGCCATGGACCGCTGCGGCCCCGCGGGCAGCCCCCTGATCTCCGGCCACGAGCCCGCGCCCCCTGCCGCCTCCTCCACCCGAGACTCCAGCCCCGGGCTGCCCGGGCCGGGGCCGGCGGGCGCGGGCGGCGGCGGCGGGCGCTCGGGGGGCGGCGGGCGGCCGGCGGCGGCGAACGCGGCGCGGGAGCGCAGCCGGGTGCAGACCCTGCGGCACGCCTTCCTGGAGCTGCAGCGCACGCTGCCGTCCGTGCCGCCCGACACCAAGCTGTCCAAGCTGGACGTGCTGCTGCTGGCCACCACCTACATCGCTCACCTCACCCGCAGCCTGCAGGGCGACGCCGAGGCGCCGGCGGACCCCGGGCTGGGCGCCCTGCGTGGCGACGGCTACCTGCACCCCGTCAAGGTAGGAGGGCCAGGGCACACCGGTGGGCAGCGGGGCGCCCGGTCTTCCAGCACCTGGGCAGATGCCTCCGAGCCCTCACCCAAAGAGGGTAACAGATGGGCCGAGGGAACTTGGCCCTCGAGGTCCCCGCTGCTTAACTGTTCGCAGGTTTAAACCCGGAGGTTGCTGGGCAGGGAGTCTCACGCTCCTTAGAGGATGCCACCCACAGGATGCCCCTTCCCAGTGAGAGGTTTCTCCGGGTGCCTGATTAGATGGTTGGTTGCACGTCCTGGTAATTTTTACAATCAGAGTTATATTTATGAGCCTTTTTTTGTTGTTGTTTTAAGTGTTTTAATTTACATAATTACATTTCCATTGTCTTTTTACCAGCTGTTTGAAAAGTTTCATGAAATATTTATGAACTATGGGGTAATGGAGTTATCTGTCCTTTAGTAATCCTAGGAAACCAGTGTGGAAATTTTTTTGTAAAATTGATAAGAACGAAATAAGACCGTTTTTGCATCGCCACAAAGTATATTTCAGTACGTTTTAATAAAGGTTAACGGGATCATGGACTAGGCAGCCACCAAGAGTGTTAGATAAACTAAAATGTGTTTATGTAATCTGTATAATAAATTGGTATATTCATTGAATGTTCTTATTAATATTATATTCAAATTCTGTAATGTAAAAAGGTAGATAGGAGAATCCGTTTTGTATAATTCTTTTTACATTACATATAGGTAGATTGCAAAGTATTTAGACTCTGAATTGTTATTTTCTCCTAGACTTGATTTTTTTTAAAAATTCATCTGGTTTCTGTTCAAAATGTGAAATCTTCCTTATATTTCCTAAACCTAAACCTAATCTTTCAAATTTTTGGTTCTACCATTCTGAAATATTTGGACACACATACACACACACAGTTATGAGTTAGTCTTAAGTATATCAGTGTTCAGTAAGTTATTGAATAATCATTATTGAAATGTTTTTTTTAAAAAAAAATGTGTTTAAAAAGTACACCCTCTAATACTAATTGACCTTTAAATGCTGTGGTGAGGTATAACAAAATTTACTTTGCAAATACCTGGTATAATAAGCATTGTTATAGGTTAACACTATTTTAAATATTAAATATAAAAATTTAAATATCATTTATTTATAATTGTAAATTTCCCATTCCATTCATTTGTTATATACAGTGTAGAGCAAAAATAGGTTCACAGTTGTTCAAATGGAAAATAGTACAATAATTAATAAATAATAAATAAACTGTTAGGCATACTCACAACTGTAAGCATACTTTTGCCCCACCCTGTTTAACATTCTCAGCTGAAAAGTCATTTCTTTTTTTTTTCTTATAAATAATATTTCTTCCATGCGTTTTATATACATATATATCTCTCTCTCACATGGAAGAAATCATATATATATTATATATATATATGTCTTATGAAGTAACACAGAAAAACCCATATGAGGGTGTCCAGGGGGGTTACAAGGCAGTCTACAACCTCCTTCCCTCCTAAGACCAATCCCAAGTACCCCCACCCCAGGCCCAAAATAGGATCCCAGAGTAAAGGCATGTAAGGAGTGAGGCAGAGGGAAAATACCTCGATAGCCATAGCAAAGAATAATAGAGTTGTCCAGAGGTGGGAAGGGTGGAAGTGGTCACATAGCCACCGTCACCTACACCATCCTCCTTAGCCACCCGATTCCTTCCCTAAATCGGTCGTGTCTGAAGACATTTCTTATTAAGGGGTTTGTACTATGGTGTGCATTAAATTGCTTTCAAATATATATTAATAATAGATTGTTTTACTTGACATTTTAAATATTAAGTAGACTTCACTATAAAAAAGCATCTGTTAAATGCCTCTTTGTGAGAGGTGTAATTCAGATGATAAATCAAGTTGTTTTTCACTCTAGTTTCTTGCAGTGCTTTTTTTGAATAACATTAGAACCATAATTTTCAGGTAACAATAAGCTTAACAAGAGGTGGTGTTTTTTGTTTGTTTGTTTGTTTCTTGGGGGTTTTTTGCACTTAATTCATGTACCAAGTGTTTTTGTAGTACTGTAACTCTTTAGGAAAAACTAAATCTCATTTGTCCTCTGAATTATTTTGATTTTAAAAGACAACGCCAGGGATAATAAAACAAGGTCAAAGATTACCTCTTAATGAAATTGTTGATGGTTGAACAAGTGACTAACTGGTTAGTCTGTTTTAAAATCACTTACTGAATGCCTACTATTGCAAAGAGCACTGTGTTAGCAGAGTGAATACAGTTAAGGGTGAGCTCAATCCCTGCCCTGAATGAACCCAGAGACAAAGATGTAAGGGAGAATGTTGTATGTGCCTAAGAGAGCCATAATCATATGCTGTGGAGACTCAGAGGAAAGAGATTTTATATTCATAATTGGAACCATCACACATTATTTTACAGGCACTACCAAAAATGTTTAACTGTTAAATCTATCTTTGGTTAATCTAATACAAATAAAAATGGTCTGTTTAATGCACTTTTTAGTTAACTCAAAGTATTTTAACCCTTGGTATTTCAAGGACCTTAGAACTAAACTGATTATATGACACCACCCTCCCAAAAATGAAAGGTCCATTCTGAGAGCGCCAATTATGGAATAGGGTTTTCCATTACCATGCCTATTTGGTAATACATTATATTGTTTGAAAGGTTCATTTTGAAGGTGAATTTAGAAAAAGTCACAAATTAGAATACAATGTGATGATTACTGAAAGATTCAAGCTGTGTGATGCCAATATATGCAGACATTTAATCTGGATGTTCTGTCTCATTCTAATATTTATAACTTCCAGATATTGCTTTTAGCTAGATAAAATGTTTAGATAATTGAATTAGTCACCTTTCACTGTGGTTCTTTAACAAGTGCAGACAGATAGTACTTACCATGTATAAAATTTTTTTTAAAATATGGAACATTTCATGAATTTGGAGCCATGCTAATCTTTTCTGTATCATTATAATTTTAGTATATGTGCTACAGAAGAGAGCACCTACCATGTATAACTTTTAAAAAATCTTTAAAGCCAAGGAACTTATTTTATTTTATTTTATTTTTAATTTCTCAAATTTTTAATTCAAAATTTTAAAATATTTCACTTTTTTTTTAAATCAATCTTTTACAAAGCTATTTTAGGCTTAGTTTGCAATTAAAACATTGTGGGTAAATTTTCCTACAGTTATTATATTCATTATCCATGATTTCTTGCCCACATGCACAATACTGTTTTATATAGTTATAATCAAAATCTGGATATATTTTTATTGTTAGCATTAATAAATATTTTTTCATGTTATCCTTTAGACCTCATAATTACAATTACTACTAGCTATAGCTATGTAAGATTGCATTTGCATTGAAGTATTTGGAATTATTATTTTTATTGTTACAGATTATAACTGCCATAAATACTAACTTTTAGATTCTTGCTTAAATATTCTTTTTCAGAAATGGCCCATGCGATCAAGATTATACATTGGTGCTACTGGTCAGTTTCTGAAGCATTCTGTCTCTGGAGAAAAAGCAAATCATGGCAATATTCCAACAGACTCACAGCCTTAGGCTGTCCCCTGATGGGTGTTGAAAGAAAGTGGTGTCCATTGTTTTTAAATACTATGAAATAATTCTATATTTATTACGTCAGACACAACAAACATCATTTCTGAAAGTTTACATATGAATCCGCAGTTGAGTTTTCAGATTTATCTATCTAATCTAAATAAATGTGAAATGAAATAGTCTTGAATAAAACACAGCTTATCTATCCTGAGAGGTAGTCACTACTATATAATGCAGGAGAAAAGAAACGGTTGGAAAAAAGAAACACACAAATGCAAAAAACTGTGTATATATATCCATAGAATGCATACACTCTGTAGTGTATTTATTATAAACTGAAAAGCTGGTATCTATTAATAGTGTTTCTAGTTTAAAAAAAATAAAAGCTGTACTTGTAATATACCAGTATTTCATTTTTATAAAAACCAGTCCATGCTTAAAGTTGGTCTAAGAAGTCATTTCAGTTGGAAGGTGTGAAAATAAACTGAAATGTATTTAGTTTCAGCTGATTATGTGTGAAAAGACTGCTGAGGTAATATAATGATGCAGTAATTTCTATATCTAGTTATTGTTCCCTCTTAGAAAACTTGTTTGGAATATTAGAAAGTGTTTGCTTCAAACAAAAAGGAAAGGTAATTGTTTGCTTCATAGGACAGGGCTTGCCCCTCCATCCTAGAGGATTACTAAGTATCTAATTATATTTCCAAACTATAGGTGGTCTTGGAAATCCCTGCAGCCAGATGGGTGTCACTGGGCAGCGGGGCTCCTCCCCCTCTTCCCGGTCACTCCATAGCCACCCTGCTCTCTCTCAGGTCCTGGACTAGCTGAGTAGGTCTGGCTGCAGCCACCCTACAGAGTGAGCCTAAGGACCCTCAGTCACAGCTTTGGCCGGGCTCCTTCTCCCCTCGTCAGCTTGGGGTCACAGTCTGCCTATTTGGCCATTATGAAATGGGAGACGTCCTGTCTGGTTTGGGAGTTCTGGCATTGATGTGTGCCTCGAGGGGGTCTAAGGACCACCCTGAGATACGTCAGGCCAGAGCAGGCCCTCCTGAGCCTGCCCCAATGAGAACACAGCCTGGGAGACCCTCTGCGCCGGGCCTCTCCTACCACATTGCACACGAGGTGCCATGAGGTGGAGGTAATGGTCAGGGAACATACTGAATCTTTAAACACCTGGGAAAAAAATCTCCACTCTCTTTTGTCATGGTTTTTGCTGACTTAGATTTCCTTTTCTTTCCCTTGTTTTTTATTCAGTCTTCTATTATTCCACGTTCCAAATGTAAAGTTCATTTATTTGTCAGTGACCCTGTTTTCAAGTTGCTGAATTTGATCCAAGATTAGCAAACAGAAAGGCATATTAAGGGGCTTGGCTGAAATAATACTGCAGTTTATTTTCTCCTCAGTTTTCTTTAAACTTTTGGAAATGAAATGAAGTAAAAGACTACTTAAGGCAAAAATTACCATTTTAGTTCACTCAGCCAAATATCAGCATGTTTTGGCTCATATTTGATAGTATGTAACTTTCATTATTTTACTGTGAATATCACCTTGTAATGTGACGGAAGTATGTCTTTAAAAGAAAATGTATTAATCAAAACTCTGTACATATTAATATTTAGCAAAATGTTTGTATATTTAAACATTTGTGAATATATTTACTCATGTAACATTGAAATAGATAAAAAGTAAAATGAGTTATGGATTCAGCCATTCACTATTAAAAAAAGTGCTAAGAATAATCTTTTAAGGAATAAAATCAAAACTTCTTTAAAGTTACCTGAAAATGAACTATAAACACTACATTTGTTAGGAGGAATTTCAGAAAAATGGCTCTCTTGCTAATCTATTTGGCTACAGTGTTTAAAGCATTTAATTGAGGGAAATTATGACTTTTGTTGATTATCAGACTTTTCTAAATCATTATTAAATAGTTACTTTGCCTTTTATAGTATTACTTTTTATTTCTTTTTGTCAGGTTATAAATGTTTTAATGCCAAAGAAATATATTTCTGTCATGGGTTTTTATAACTTCTTGTAAATTGCTAAATATGCTAACGGGTTTTGGTAAGTTGGAAAATATCAGAGAAATTGCATGTTTTCACCCAAAAGTTCACCGGAGTATGCTGTTTTCATTAATGGTGCATGGTCAGGATAAAGGATATTACTAAAATAAAACACTAATTGAAAATTAATTTAGTCTGTTAAATTTGTATCTGTCTCTGTGCCTAGTTAACAAATGATGAAGGTACATTTGAAAATCTTTCTAGTGGATATCTACTTGGCTTTAGCTTCATTTTATATATATATATATATTTTTTAAATATATTTTATTGATTTTTTTTTTTCAAAGAGGGAGAGGGATAGAGAGCTAAAAACATTGATAAGAAAGATACGTGGATCAGCTGCCTCTTGCCCACCCTTACTGGGGATGTGCCCGCAACCAAGGTACATACCCTTAACTGAAATTGAACCCCGGGACCTTTCAGTCCGCAGGCTGATGCTCTATCTACTGAGCCAAACCGGTTTAGGCTCATATTTTTTTTAATGAAGTATATATTAAGACTGGAGGGGGGTATATTTGGATCACAACATTCTATAATCTGTAAGGTAAATTTCTGTCAGTTCACTCAGCTCTCTTAGTGATATGAGATACATTTAAATTCCTTTATAATGATAATTTTGGGGGAGAAGGAAATGCCCTTTTAGAGGCATGAATTCCAACAGACCTTAAAAATATTTTTATTTCTTTTTCTGATTATAAAAACACAATGCAGTTTATTGTACACCAATTATACATCAATAAGCTATCTTAAAAGAATATATATATATATATATATATATATATATATCCTTTTAAAAGTAAATAATAAAAAGGAATGAAGTGGAAAATAAAAGTCCTACGGTGGAAGTGGATGTTTGGGGTAAAACTGGGGATATCTGTTCATGTTACTTGGTAATTTGGTAATAAAAAGAATAGCTCTATGAAATCTATAGTTTCCCAAATTATTTACAGTTAGCAGTATAGTATCGGTATCTTTCTCCATGGCACACACTAGGGAAATATTACACAATTGTATATTTCAAATAATGTGTACTTTTATTACATACTGATCATTGAAAAAAATTAATGCCCCTTTAAATCCTATAGATTTGCTTCCTGTGAACTTGGAGTACAGCCCAGATAGTACTGCAGCACATTTGGGAATAAGGGACATTAAAGTATTCTTGCTTAACTATATAAACCTGGGAAGGATTTCCCTCCCTATGTTTACACAAATCTTAGTTTCAACTCATAAGAGAAACCAGCTCAGTGAAATACACCTCAATCACTCAAACTCTTTCATTATAAATTATACCATAGCATTTAGCTGTCAGAAGCTTTTAAATTACAAACTGAAGAATAATCTTAACTATTAGGTTTAAAGATTATGTCAATAGTCATTTCCTGTGCATATGAATGTTACTGAAGAAATTCATGTGTTCCTGCCCTCCTGCCCTCTCAGGACCAAAAATTAGGTCCATGGGGAGCTCTGGGGATTGGACTTAAATCACTTGTGTCCATTTTGATGGCCATCGGAAAATGAGGGGCATTAAAACAATGTAAGGTCTAAATAAGAATTTATTTAAAAAAATTTTTTTTAATTAGTTGTATTTTTTTTAAAGGCCTGTGCAAGATTGTTTTTTATTCTGTGTGCAGCTCATCTTTGCCTCTTGCTAACTGTTAAGCCCCTATATCAGAGTCACTTTGGAAGGTAGACTATAACCGAGTGAAAAGGTGGTTTGCAATGGCAGAAACAGGAGAGGAAGAGGAGGGAGGTGGGAGGTGGAAAACTGTTCTCAGATCTTCCTTCCAAAAAGAAGAAGCCAGTCCCGCCAGTGTCCAATCGGGCTAGAAGTGTAATATTGCGAGACATAGAGGAAAGACTGACGTGAAAACGAGAACTGATTTCAGGATGAAGCCACCAAAACAAAAATCTGCTAATTCTGGGCCACACATGGCCTGAGAGGGTGAGAGCAGCTGCATTGGGGCTCAGGAAGGACCAGGCCCAGGTGGCTCTATTTCCCTCTCTGGCCAGACCACCAAGACCAGGGGCTGGACGATGTCTCAAGTGACAGTGCTGTTGAGAATGGCTTGACCAAAGACAGAAACAGTATCTGTTGGTCTGGTCTTCCCGGCCTCCCCAAACATGTGAGCCCCACTCAAGGTTTATGACCACTTTAAGGAATAAGCACTTTGGTTCTATTAGCCCTCCCTTCCTTTGGTAAAAGGAAGCAGAGCTTCCTTCGAAAGTGATGCCTGGCCCCAATCGGCTCTGATTGCCAGCCAGGCCTAGGGACCCCACCCACGCACAAAATTCATGTACTGGGCCTCTAGTCTATAATAAGCCTCTTGCTTTTTAAACTAGCTTTTTAAACTGGAGCAGATACCAAACATCCGAATACCTTCCTTACACCTGAGGATGACCCTCTGACCCAGTTCTGACCAATGAGAAAAAAGTAGAAGCCTTGGACCCTAATAACTTTATGAAGTTATCACTTGTGAATTTCTTTTACACTGAGGGGAAAAAAAACCCTACTAATTTATTTAAGTCACTGTAGGTAACAGCTGAATGTAATTCCTAACTGATATATTAAGAGCAACGGGTGCCATCGCATTAAAAAAATATTTGTGGACCAACTGATGATTGATGAATAAAGGCACTGAAGCATGAAAAGGAGAGAGAGAGTGTGTGTGTGTGTGTGTGTGTGTATGTGTTGTATGTGTTTTCTACAACTTAAATGTTAAATGTAGGAAGCGGTTAAGAGTAAGGGCAGTGAAAAAATTTTAAGTGTGGAACTGCTAAGTCAGTGGATACACTTAAAATAGGGGTGTCGAACTCAATCAGAGAAGGGGCCAAAATCTAAAATCCAGCCTAAATCGAGGGCCGAATGGTTTACTGAACAGTCATAAACTGTCATTGTGATGGAAACGCAGCGGAGTGCAGTGATGACAGCGCGGTGCGGGCCACATTGCAAGGCCTGGCGGGACGGATTTGGCCCGCGGGCCTTGTGTTTGACACATGTGACTTAAAATATTGAGAGATATTGCCAAATTGTACTTCAAAGAGCTTCCACTCCAATAGTGCAGCAGCTGTTATTTCCCCATTCTCACCAATAATGGATATTTTTAATTTGTATTCTTTTCCCACCACATTCCTCCATTTAATATTATGTGGGGGGGAGAGGAGAAGGCACGAGGATAAAAATAAGAGATTTATTTTCATCAAAGACATGCATGCTCCAACACTATGGGTAAAACAAGTTAACTCCAGTATGCCAAAACATTAGTCATCATTACTTAGCTTTTAAGTCCCATTCTCACCAAAAAGAGAGAGAGAGAAGCACTGATGTGAAAAACATCCATTGGCTGCCTCCTACATGCCCTCTACTGGGGATCAAAGTTGCAACCTGGGCATGTACCTTGACAGGAAATCAAACTGGGGACCTTCTGGTGCATGGGATGACACTGAGCCACACCAGCCAGGGCTCACTCCTAATTTTTAAAACAAGGAGGGCTTTTAAAAGCATATTAAAGGATTTGGCTTTAGCCAGAAATCTTCCACAGAAATGCAGAAGTGTTGGGGGTTGGGAGCTATATTGGTAAGCAGAGAAAAGAATACAGAATTCCAAACAACATAAAACACCATAAACATAAAAAAAAAAAAGACTGGGAAAAGTTATTTGCAATGCATGTAACTATTGATCAGTTAAAGATTAGCATCTAAAATATGTGAAGAAATCCCATAAATCAAATTTTAAAATTAAAAATACTCCAATAAAAAATTGGTCAAAGCTATGATTTACCAAAGAGAAAGCTTAAATGATTAAAAACTTGAAAAATTAAGATAAAAAAGAAAGCATGTAAAGTTATATTTCAATGCCATGGGAAATGCAAATTAAAATAGCAGCAAATATCATTTTATATTTATCAGACTGGCAAAAATATTTAACTTCTGAAAAGAGCAAGTTCTTACAAGAATATAGTACCACCACTTGGAAAGCAATTAGACTATATTCAGTATGAAGATGCATTTATCCTTCCATCTATCTCCTGGGGACAATGATGTGTTATGAGAGCCAAATATTAATTATTCAAATATTCAAGAATTTTGTGAGCCACTTGTTGAATAATAGATTGAAATCAGTCAAACTGGGGGAATTTGCACCTTGGAACTCTGCAAATTCGACAAATCAGGGTTTGGGTTTTTAAAAAAATATATATTTTATTGGTTTTTTTTTTTTACAGAGAGGAAGGGGGAGGGAGAGTAAGAAACATCGATGAAAGAAAAATATCATGAGAGAGAAACATTGATCAACGGCCTCCTGCACACCCCCCAATGGGGATGTGCCCGCAACTAAGGTACATGCTCTGGACTGCAATCGAACCTGGGATCCTTCAGTTTGCAGGCCGGCGCTCCACTGAGCCAAACCGGTTAGGGCTTTTTTTGTTTTTTTTTTAGATCCTGTTAACAAGAACAGCACTGGAACATAGAGAAACTATCATGCATATGTACAAGAAGACATTATATAAGAAACAATCAGAATCCACACCTTATTAAATTTTAATATGGTATTAATCTCAGGACATGATTTTTATTAGATCCAACACTTAAGGCACGGATAACATCATAATTTAACCTTAGCTTGAATTTTTCAATTACTTCCACATTCTTAGCTCTCTAAGTAATCATTCTTAAATATTTTTTTTAAACAGTAAGAAAGTCTATTATTTCACATAACAAGAAGCCTAAGCTGAAGTGGCTCCCTGGCTGGTTAATGTGTTGACTATTCAACGTTGCTTGGTCTATTCTTTCTACTTTGCCATCTCTGGCAAGCTCCTCTTTAACAAAATAGCTTCAGTAATGCCAGGAATTCTTTCACAGACGGTAAAGAAGAAAAAAAAAAGGCTACTTCTTCCCATATGTGTATTTTCATCAAAGAAGAAAACTTTCCCTGAAGTCCTCTCATAGACTTCTCGGGGCCCATTGGTCAGCTTGAATAATTTAGTAACCTTCCATTTCATTCAGATTTTGTCATAGGATTACCGGAGTTGTTTGTATGGCATAGTCTTAACATACTTACATTTTAAACAAAAAAGGAAAACCCTAGTGTCTCACACTGACAATTAAAGCCACTTATTATTTTAGATCCGGGCAGAAATCATAAGTAATTTAGGTAATTTTTACCAAAATTATCTCAGTAAAGTTCATGTACTTTAAAGTGTTTAAGAATCAACTTTCATTCAGATCAGTGCCCTATTTTCTGACAATTTAATGTATTTTTCACAGATTTGGAACTTTAACCTTGACGAGAGGTATAAATGCTATGATTATCTTAATGTCAATATTATGTTTAAAAATAATCTTGCCTGAGGTAAAAGGATCTTATATATAAAAGTCATGCATTTATGACTAGGGTCATTTACATTTCTCTTGTGTTAACTCTATTTTGACATGCTTACTCTTGAGCATGGGAAAGCACAAGCATATGGTTATTATAGCCAACTTCCTTCCAGTTCCAACCTCATTTTCTGCTGCAAACATCTAGGGGGACTAGGAAGTTCTCCAAGTCATTAACTAAATATGAAAAAGGACTGAGGGCCAAATGTATTAATTTACTAATGAGATTTACATGTGTAAGTACAGAATATAGATTCTGACAGCTTATAAGAAAAAATGTCCTATATGCCCTGAATCCAGATGTATGTCTTCGTACAATAACTAAACTTTCTAGCCCTGGGTGGCTCAGTTGGTTGGAGCATTGTCCTCTTATACACAAAAGTGTTGCAGATTCAATTCTGGTCAGGGCATATACTTGGGTTGCTGGTTTGATCCCCCGGCCAGGGCATGTATGGGTGATGGATGTTTCCCTCTCTCCCTTCCTTTGTCTCTAAAAATCAATAAAAACATATTCTTGGGTAAGGATTGAAAAAAAAAAACTTTCTAAGGTAATCCTGGTTATACAACCAAAGAATGACTATTTTTTAAAGTTATAATTTGCCCTGGCTGGTATGGCTTAGGTGGTTGAGCATCTTCCAGTGCACCAAAAGTATGCCAGTTCAATTCCCAGTCAGAGAACATAGCCAGGTTTCAAGCTCAATCCCCAGTAGGGGAATGCAGGTGGCAGCTGATTGATTTTTCCCCCCTCTTCCTTTCGCTCTTTAAAACCAATAACTTAGCCAAAAACCGGTTTGGTTCAGTGGATCAGCCTGCGGAATGGAAGGTCCCAGGTTCAATTCCGGTCAAGGGCATGTACCTTGGTTGCGGGCACATCCCCAGTAGGGGGTGTGCAAGAGGCAGCTGAATGATGTTTCTCTCTCATTGATGTTTCTAACACTCTATCCCTCTCTCTTCCTCTCTGTAAAAAATCAATATAAAATATTAAAAAAATAAACCCATGACTTATTAAAAAATAAATATGTCCATATAAAGTAATTTTAAAATTTTAAAAATTATTTATTGATTTCAGAGAGGAAGGGAGAGGTAGAGATGGATAGAAACATCAATGATGAGAGAGAATAATTGACTGGCTGCCTCTGGCATGCCTCCTGCTGGGGATTGAGCAACCAGGGCCAGTGCCCTGACCAGAATCAAACTGTGATATCCTGGTCTATAGGTCAACACTCAACCACTGAGCCACACCAGCTGGATCACATAATGTCATTTCTGATAAACTGCTTTATCAGATTTAAACCATGAAACTTTTCTCTTGGTGTGATTTCAGCTGTGTTTACAACTGGCAGCATTAATTCAGTCGAGCAACCTGGAGACCAGCAACCTTACTGATGGAAAATACCAAACACTTTTCATAATGCCATTCAGGGCTGCAGGGGCAAATCTTAGAAATGGTCTTAAGTTTTACTCCCTAGAAGCATGCACTGTAAACAATTTCTTTTGAAACCTCTCAAAAATATTCTATGCAGTCCTGACCAGTTTGGCTTAGTGGATAGAGCATCATCCTGCGGACTGAAGGGTCCCAGGTTCCATTCCAATCAAGGGCATGTACCTTGGTTGCCAGCACATCCCCAGTGGGAGGGTGTACAGAAGGCAGCTGATGGATGTTTCTCTCTCATCGATGTTTCTAACTCTATCTCTCTCCTTTCCTCTCTGTAAAAATTAAAATATATATATTAAAAAATATTATATGCATAAACATGTTTTTCCTTTAACCAAAAATTAAACTAAATACCTTACCTTCTGCACCTAGCTTTTAAAATTAATAAATCTTGAAAAATATTCCAAATCAATACGGATTTATAATTTATTTATTCACTCAAAAGATATTTATTAAATCCTAAGGACTATATTAGGTGCTAGGAATAAAAAGGTAAAACGAGGTAGGGGACATGTAGAAGGTGGCCAATTGATATTTCCCTCTCACATTGTTATTTCTCTCTCTCCTTCCTTCCTCTCTCTCACATCCTCCTCGACACTTTTCAGTAATGATGGTTCCCATAGCTGCCCACCCGTTGTAGGCAAAGGCCTGGTGGAGATGGCTAGCCAGGTTGCAAAATCAGGTTGAATCCCTAATATTCACCCAGGAGTCTGTGATGGCAGGCTGAAGATACAGTACCCACTTGGGGCCCCAATTTTAAACCCCTACTAAGCGTTCAGCAAAAACATGTAGACAGGAATCCTCTGGTAAAGTGAATAAAATCACAATTTGTATCGCTAGGTTTAGGTTTTCATACCACATTTCTTTGAGACAAATTTATTTTGTACTAGTTTTTCTATCAATTTTTAGATGTTAAATTTTAAAAGGAGAAATTATGTCTTTTGATGATGCAGTTTTAATTAGTTTCATTTATATTCTTCCTGGCAACAAGTTCATCAGTCTGTCTTCTCCAGTACTAAACTTAGTATTTTGCTGTTTAATAAATATATAATACTTAAGGGCTCAATATATATATAATAGAGAGAACAAGAGTAATCCAGGCATACCTCTGAGATGTTGCGGTTTGCGTTCCAGACGACTACTGGCAATAAAAGCCAGTTGCAATCTTTTCGCTGGTGGAGGGGCCTGCCTTGAATTTGTAAAAAACACAACATCTGTAGCCTACAATAAAGCTAGTATGCCTATAAAATACAAAGCAGGAAAATCAATAGCAAATTGCACGTCCATAAATAAGGCTGTTGACTGCTTCATGCTTTTTTGAACACACAACCTTCTGGAGTCAGATGCACCGTTGAGCCACTGCTTTATGCTTTCTTAACCCGCTATTATTATTGTCAATTAAAGTAGTTAGGGGGTGGGGACATGAATGGGAGGTAGGGGGTAATGGGGGAATAAGGACAACATATGTAATACCTTGATCAATAAAGAAATTAAAAAAATAAAAGTATTGTAGTAACAATAGCCATTGCTATAATAAAATACAAAACTTCTTTTTTCTGGTATTGGTTCTTCTGCATATGTTAAGGGGCCGATACCCTGAGTCTAAATTGGGATGTCCAGTTAAGGGGTTGATACCCTCACTCTACATTGGGATGCCCAATACCACCAGTTACTTTGGACTAAGTGAGGGAGAAGGCGAAGCAAACGAAGTGCTAGGAGCGGGAGCCCGGTTGTAGAGCACGGTCTCCCCGCTGGGATGCATACCTGGGAGATTAACCATTTACACACTCAGGGAAACAGCTCGAGGCGAGGTCCTTGGTAGCCTCCCTGGGAGTCCCACAAGCCCCCCAACATACACGTGCCGGTGTGGCACACCACCGGAAGTCACGAGGCCCGGGCCGCAGGCCAGGGCCCAGGCCACGCCCCCACGCCGCCTCCAGCGCGAGCGACGCCGGCGGGGCGGGTCCAACTCCGGAAGGGGCGGGGCCATCGGGTCGCCTTAGAGCCCTCCACCGCCACCCGCTTCCTTTTCCGTCGGCTGCGAGCGGAGGAGCACACGCGGCTTGCCGCCGGCCATGAGGTTGTTGGCGGCCGGGGGGCAGCGCCCGCGGGCGCGTCGCCAGGCCTTTCCAGGTGGGAGTCTCGGCGATCTCAGTCCCTCCGCTCTTTCCGCGGGGAAGCCGAGCCCTGGTGGCAGCCCACAGCCGCCTCGGGGCCTGCAGCTCTTGGGTCTCTCTCCCGGGGCCTCCGTGCCGGGGGCCTCCGTCCCTCGCCGGGTCTGCGCAGCCTCTGCCCTCGCCCCCAGCTGACGCGGCTACGAGCTTTCTTCCACGACATCTGCTCAGTCGCGTTTTGTGAGTAACAACCGCCTGCGGGTTTTAACGGACCCTTCTCTTAGCCAACGCCGGTTTCGACTGTCCTCAGCTCAGAAACGAGGCCTGTGGCTCAGCTGGATCCACAGGGAAGGCGCGGCCAGTGCGCCCCTGTGGTCGGTGTCCCTGGTGAAGCTGCGTTTCCTCGTGTGCGGCCTGGGAGGTGTCGCGTCTCTGTAATCGGCTGCACGGCCTTAGCGGGAGGGATTCTTCTCTTAGATGTTGAGACCCTTAAATCTGTAAATTTCTTTAAATTGTTGAGAGCACAGTTTACCTATTGACATTAACGGTTATGGTTCGGACACAGTGGAGCTACTTACGCGTTTGTTCTGGATCTTCCATTTCTAAGTAGAACCTAAAAATGGGCATTGAAGCTGGAGAACAATGTGTACCATACAGGGGAGCCTTAGGCCTTAAACGCCTGCTGTATCTTTAGACGCTGGCGTTTACTTAGGATGTCTGTGTCTGCACGTGGTACAGAAACTGGCCAACGGCTAGGAGACCGTGTTGCCTGTTGAAGAAAAGTGAGTTAGAAATGATATCTCATCGGTAGGACCTAGTATAGTTGTCAATGTGGCTTATTTTTCCTCTTCCCGAATTTAAATAATTGTTGCACCCAGAACAATTTTAACAGGACAAGTCCGGTGGCTTACAGTAGTTTCTATTTGGTGTTATCACCCTTACTGAGACCGTGTAGTTGATAGTTCCTATGCATCATTTATTAAACTGAAATTTCCCGAGTCATAATTATTCATAACCAATAGTCTATTCCCAGTATTATGTGAAATGTTTCAGCATTTTAAGACTTGAAAATGATAGATTGTTTTGCAGGGCCCAACATTTCATGTGCTTTCATAAATCATTTCCAATAGCTGTCTGGTTCAACGATTTATCCTCTGCTAGGACAAGATCTGTGGCCCTAGCCGTGCCCTTTGCTGTACCTCAGTGATTTTCCAGGCAACTTGGGACTTAATTCTACAGAACTGTGTCCAATAATGATGCCGACAAAACTTAACTGCTCTAAAACCAGATTTGCCATTGCAATGCTTTTAGTTGGAGGTCTGCCACACTTGATTTAATATATCTGACCTTTAACCTGGCTCATTATCTTATCCTTGTCAAACTCTGAGACAGAAAAGCAATGGCTTGGGTACTCATTAACACCATCATGTCTTAAAATCAATACTGCCACAGTAAAGAATATAAATATACCTGCTATTTTTCCCACCCCTGCTAATGATCCCATTTGCAGCTTGGAATTAAGGTCTATAATCAGACAGAAGGACTAACACATTCTCAAATCATTGTAGAAATTAAACTTTAAATTGATCAGTTTTAACTACCAAAAAGGTAGAATTAAGCAGCAAGTACATTCTTGAGTCCCATTATAGATGTGTTGAACAGCAAATAGAAATTAATTCTACTACATGGTCTCAATATTAGTGTTTTTTTTAATTGGTCAGGAATTTTTTTTTTTTTTTAACTATGGTTATGTTATGGTTCATGATGGGGGGGGGGACTAGAACAGGACCATTCCTGCGTATAGGATGCCAAACATGCAAATACAAATAAAAATTTACCTAAAAATATTAATTTACAGATACAACAGAGACTATGAGTTGAAGATGAATCAAGGTTATTATGAATGTTTTCCAGAAACATAAAGGATGACTAAACCTCCAGGAAGCACAACTGCATGTAACAAGGTACCAAGGGTTACTGTTAAATTGTGGGTTTGTTTTTTTTAATGTATTGTTCTGAAGCACAGCAAAAAGTGTTTGATACATTTTTTGACATAGAAAGGTTTAATAACTGGCACAATGATGACTTAAATTATTTTTGCCGTTTACCCAGCTGATGGTTTCTTTGAAGAAATAATTTATGACTGAGTTGCCAGTTAACTATATTGAGATTATGTGAATTCAGCTAAAATGCAATTTTTTTTTTTTTTACTGAAATCAGTGAAATTTCTTTTCAGCAATATAGGTAACTGCAAGTGAATGGACAAGTTCTTAGCTGTGGTGTTTTAAAATTCTTCATTGCCTCAGGTAATCAATTATGATTGTCAGGCATCTATCGATAATTAAAAAGGGCTGGGACCATTCCTGTTAGTTGCCCTGTTAGGTACAAAACGATTTTTACTATTGGTTTCTGTTTTTCCCCCCCAGGTGTGGCCTGTGACATTTTTGGAAGAAAAAAAAACAAAAGAATTGGTCAAGAAGATAAGAACTGAAGCAAATTATGAAAAGTAATATTTTATTTAACAATGATCAATAAATTATATAGAAAATCACAATAAAGTTATATAGAAAACACATGCTTGAATACTTTTAATTGATGGGCATTAAAACCTGTTTTCTTTAAAACATCAGGTCCTTTAAACCACTCCATTCTCATAGTCATTAGTCAGACTTGTTTTTTACATACTTGAGGAATAGTATGTTAACTCACTTATTTGTGGAAAGTAATTCTTCAGATGGCAGGCAACTGGGGAGATTTCCAGAACCCCCAGTTGTCACAGCCTTTCTTGCCTTAGGGTTATCTGGAGAGGCCCTAACCTGTGTACTAGAGGACCTCCCTTCAGAACCTGTTTATCTGAAATAATACAATCCTGTTATCCATTGCCTCAGTTACCCACAGTCCAAAAGGGTTACATGGAAAAATCCAGAAGTAATTCCTAAGTTTTATAATTGCAAGCAGTTCTAAAGAGTGAGAATCTTTTATTCAGTACATTGTAGGTTAGTAGCTATTAGACCTGTTATTGTGCCTCATTAAGCTTTATTACAGGTACATATAGGAAAAAGTTTGCTACTATTAATGCTTTCAGGGTACCCATGTGGGATCTTGGAATATACCCCATGGATAAGGAGGACGAGTATAGTTGGAAACTCCCTAATGAATTGCCCCTCACAACTAGCTTCACCTGTAACCTATAAGTTTTAATTTGCTTTTATCAAATTATTACAAAAAGTAATCACAATCCTAGCACAAGTAATTAAGGAAAACGGTGGGTGGGCAGTCCAGTCTTCCCAAGACTTTAGAATTTATGAAAATTCTAAGAATGAACTCTGTTCCTACCTTGGTGAAAATCTGCCTTATTTTCCTCTATTGAGTCTCATTGTAATAACTTGTATATTTTCTCATGGTTTCTTTTTTCAGAGAAGGTATCTGCCCTCTCAAAATGAAGACTATTTGTTTCTTTGCCTTCTGGTACCTTATAACCAGTTAGGTTTAAATAGCCAATTACTGCTTAATTTGACTTAAAATTCCTTTTTTTTGTTTAACCTGGCTTATTAAAAAATGGAAACATTTTGAGGCTTTTCCTGACTCCCTAAAACTACATGTGATGGACATGTCAATATTTAGTAAAACAAAAAGTCCTTAAATTTGAGACTTCTGGTTATATAAATTAATTTACTCAAGGTATCAGTTCTCAAGTGCAAGAAAAAACTAATCTGTAGGTATTCTAAAGTGCTATTGCCATCTTGTGACAAATGGAGGGAACTACATAAAAGTTACCATTTTTTTTACATTGCTTAACTTGAAACATTCAGTATTTTTATCTGTTGCCCACTGGTATGCTGGGCTAGCCAGAATTGTTTTTTAAAAGATTCTCCTAAGTTTTAAATTTCTGCTTGTTGGCTTTGAGATTTGAATTACACTAATTATTAGCAATTTCAAAAGAGCATATTTTATATTTCTAAGGTGGCATTCTAAAATACTCCTATACACAATATTACCTGAAGCATTACTTCAATATCACACTTTTTCTACTGCTGAAGTAGGAATGAGGAAAATTCTCAGATTGCCTATTCATCACTAGCGAAAACAGCTGTCCCAGGTCCATATGTGGCAATAAACTGTAGGAGCTGTTGCTGGCACTGAGTCAGATAGATATCCCTTTGTTCTAAATATTCTTCATTATATAGTTCGAATGGAAATACTGCATTTGGAGCAACACAAAATGCAGTAGCCCCTAAGAGAAGAAGGAAAAAAAGCACAAATTGGAAATAACTACTTAAAATGCTAAAAATGAAATAACATTTTCAACAAAATAGTTTCATAAGTTCTGACCTATTTAATAGGGTATTTCAATAATCACTTGAATCTGACTTTTTTGAGACCCAGTTAATGTTCAGTAAATTTACACACTGGTACCAGGGCCAATGGAAGACATGTTTACATTTTAAATTTTGGAAACTAGAAATTTGCCTTATATTGCACTAGTCATTCCACTTTTGAAGCTGACTGGTTATGTAAATAGATAAGGTATTAGAAGGTAGGGAAATACTATATTTGATAAAGTTGAGGATAAAGACATCATTGTACATTTTGCAGTTATTAAGAACTGTTAACAAAGACAAACCTATGCAATAGAATAGGAGTCTAGAAATACCCTCACATATATATCATCAAATTATTTTTAATAAGGATTCAATAGGGAAAGGACAGGCATTCCAGCAAATGGTGCTGGGAAAATTAATATCCACTAGCAAAAGAATGAAGTTGGTCCCTTCCCTTACATATACAAAATTAACTCAATAAATCCAAGGCCTAAATATAAGAACTAAAACTGCAAAACCCTAAGAAGAAAACAGTGAGGAAATGCTTAATAACTTTGATTCAGCAATGTATTCTAAGACAACACCAAAAGCACAGGCAAAAGAAAATAAATTAGACCACATTGAAATAAAAAATTGGTATACTTCAAAAGAAAAGGCAACACTTTTCACTTTAGACATTTCTCCAAAGATACACAAATGGTCAATAAGCACATAAAAAGATGCACAACATCACTAGAAAAATGGAGCCCCTGCCAGTCAGCTCAGTGGTTAGTGTCAATCCTTTACCGGTTTGATTCCCCATCAAGGACACATACCTCGGTTGCAGGTTTGATCCCCAGCGCTGGTTAGTGTGTGTGGAAGTCAACCAATCAATGTGTCTCTCTCACACTAATGTTTCTCTCCTTTCTCCCTTCCACACTCTAAAAATTAATGGAAAATATCCTCCATTGAGGATTAAAAAATAATAAAAATAAAAATGTAAATCAAGCCATAATGTGACATCATGTCATAACTATAAGGATGGCTACTATCAGAAACAAAAAGCTTGGCTGGTGTGGCCCAGTGGTTGAACATCTACGTAAGCACAGGGAGGTTGCTGATTCCATTCTGGTCAAGGCAAATGCCTGGGTTGCAGGCTCCATCCCCAGCTGGGGTTGCTCAGGAGGCAGCTTATTGATGTTGATGTTTCTATATCTCCCTCTCCTTTCCCCTCTCTCTAAAAATAAAAAACATTTTTTAAAAAGAAATTGGAACTCTTGTACATGGTGGGAATGTAAAACGATGCAATCTTTATAGAGAATAGTATGACAGTTCATAAAAATAAATACAGTTACTATACAATCCAACAATTTCTTTTTGGGTATATACCCAAAGGAATTGGAAGCAAGGTCTCAAATATTTGTATACTTATGTTCATAGCAGCATTATTTACAATAGCCAAAGGTAGAGAATAACTTCAGTATCCATTGATGAATGAATGGATAAACAAAATGTGGCAAATTAGGGAGGATCCAAGATGGCTGCTCGGGTAGACACCTAACCGCAGCAGCACACAACAATTTCAATGGAATACAACTAAAATGTAGAGTGGACATCGCCCAGAGCTACAGGTAGTCGACTGACTGAAAATTCTACAACAAGAAGGAAAGAGAAAACCAGAAGGAAAATCAGAGGAGCTGAAAAAAAAAAAGCCTAAGGTACAGAGACATGCTGCGCGCTCAGGTCACAGCCAGAGAAGAGGAGAGGGCTGGGTGCTGCCTGGCGTTCCCTAGCAGCAAGGAAATAAAACCCCCAGCCTGGGCTGAACCCCCGAACCGGCAGCGCTGACCCCCAGTCCTGGACCAGACCCTGGGGACCCAGGCTCGGGCAGGAGGAGACGGGGCTGTGAGGCGGAATCCCAGGGGAGTGGTGAAAAGCAGAGCCCCCAGAGTCGCCCGCACTGCGCACAGAGGAAAGTCTGTTGACTCTGATCCTAGACTCCACTATCGGGAAGGAGAAAAAAAAAGCTCCAGACTGGAGGAATGCGACAGGGAGCAGGAGCCCCTGCCGGACACCAGCCAGCCGGGCGCCGGCAGGGAGCCGGGTGACGGGGCCCCCAGGGAGGGGGGGGTGCCCCTGAGCCATCGACCTCTGAGCACGGGCAACGGAGCCAAGGCCCGGGGCTGCTTCCTGGGCTGCGCCGACCCCGGCAACAGGCTGGAGCAGCGCAGGAGCCCTCGGAGAACAAAGGGGTGCCACAGGCCAACCTGCTGAGCTCCCAGGACAAGGAGGAAGAAACCAAAGTTCTCAATGTGAATAAATCAAGTGAGAGCAAAAGATAGTAAAATTACTTAAGAAAGAATACAAAGAAGATCCTGAAAAATCAAAGACTAAGTCAGAACTCAACTCACCAGCCAACATTGCAACATAAATGCGTTTAAAAAAAAAAAAAAGGACAGAATGTTGGAACAGCGGCGGCCAGGCCTAGAGTGCCCAGGCCCCAGAGCAGCAGCAACCAGAACCAGAGCAACAACAGCCAGCACTGGAGCAGCCAGACCTGGGGCAATGGTAGTCAGGCCTGAGGCGGAGGCAGCCAAGCCCAGGGTGGCCAGTCCAGGAACACCCAGACCCAGAGTGGTCGGGCCCGGAGAAGCCGGGCCCAGAGAAGCCGGGTTGGGAGCAGCCAGGTCCAGAACAGCAGTAGTCAAGCCCGGAGCATCCAGGCTGGGAGCGGCCAGACTCGGAGCGGCCGGGCCCGGGGCAGCCGGGCCCAGAGCAGCCGGGTCTGGTGCAGCCATGCCAGGAGCAACGGCTGCCAGGCTGGGAGCGGCCAGGCCCGGAGCAGCCGGGTCTGGTGCGGCCAGGCCCAGAGCAGCGGCTGCCAGGCTGGGAGCGGCCAGGCCCTGAGCAGCCGGGTCTGGTGCGGCCAGGCCCGGAGCAGCGGCTGCCAGGCTGGGAGCGGCCAGGCCCGGAGCAGCCGGGTCTGGTGCGGCCAGGCCCGGAGCAGCGGCTGCCAGGCTGGGAGCGGCCAGGCCCGGAGCAGCCGGGTCTGGTGCGGCCAGGCCCGGAGCAGCGGCTGCCAGGCTGGGAGCGGCCAGGCCCGGAGCAGCCGGGTCTGCTGCGGCCAGGCCCGGAGCAGCGGCTGCCAGGCTGGGAGCGGTCAGGCCTGGAGCAGCAGCTACCAGGCTGGGAGCGGCCAGGCCCGGAGCGGCCGGGCCCAGAGCAGCCGGGTCAGGTGTGGCCAGGCCCGGAGCAGCAGCAGCCAGGTCCAGAGCAACTAGGTCGGGAGCGGCGGTGACCAGACCCGGAACAACTGGTTGTGGAACGAACCAGAGCAACAGAGGCCAGGCCCGGAGCAGCCAGGCCCGGAACAGCTCGCTCCTCGCCTGCCCCTGCCCCACGGCTGCCTCTCAGACATGGCTGGAAACTTTTGTGGGAACTTGAGGGTCTGCTGAATCAAGTGATGAAGGCTTAGATCTGGATGTGTTGAGTTAGTATATGGCTGGGGTGTTGATCTGTGAGTGCCATGGGTGGGGCCTGGATGAGGCTGGTTGACCTATCTGGAAATGTCTTTTGTGTGAAATGTATCATTGGGCATGTGGTGGTATTATTGATATGAGAAAATGCTAAGTAACTGATTTACTATCTGAAAAGGGATTTACTATCGGGGAAAGGGAGGGAGGAAGAGACTGAACATAAACTGCACCTATGGATGAGGACAATGGGGGATGGGGAGGGGGCCGAGGGTCGGGTGGGAACCTGGTGGAGGGGGGAAGAAATGAGGAACCTTTGTAACAATATGAACAATAAAGATTGATTTAAAAATAAAAATAAAAAATAAAAAAAATAAACAAACAAAAAAAACAAAATGTGGCAAATTAAAAATAAAAATAAATATTTTTTATTGATTTTTTTTACAGAGAGGAAGAGAGAGGGATAGAGAGTTAGAAACATCAATGAGAGAGAAACATTGATCAGCTTCCTCTTGCATACCTCCTACTGGGGATGTGCCTGCAACCAAGGTACATGCCCTTGACTGGAATCAAACCTGGGACCTTTCATTCCACAGGCCGACACTGTATCCACTGAGCCAAACCAGTTTTAGCTGATAATCACATTTTCTTTGGCTATGTGCCAAATTCCACTGGGGGGATTGCATGATTATTTATTATAATGTTGCATTTTGATCCCCAGCGCTTTTATATTAAAAGGAAGATAAATTTAAAATCATTTCATGTATTGCATGAAGTACATTTTTCTAGAATTATTTAAACAATGCAAAAGTTCAAATACAGAAACAATTATGCATAATAAGATAATGATACTACTATAAGCAATTAGTAAATGTTCAAATTTAAAAAGGCTTTACCTAATAGAAATTTATTAATCTGTAAAATATTTGAAATATAACATTTTAATTTAACAGTAAAATATTTGTTTAAATATAATTATTCATACTCATCATTAATAATTTAAAAGGTTACCATATTTCAATGTGAGAGATGTTTCAAATAATAAGACTGCAATTAGTACATCTTCTTTAAGCACTTTATTCCTTATGTTTAGTCGAGCATGGGCTTCAGAAAGGGAAATTCTACAAAAGAAAATTGAAGCCAATCAAAATATGTTGATACCCATGTTTCCCCGAAAATAAGACCTAGCACATGGAAAGATAAGACATCCCCTGAATATAAGACATAGCTCAACTTTGGGAGAAAAAATATAAGACACTGTCTTATTTTCGGGGAAACAGGGTTGTATAAAGATGATATATATTTAGGCAGAAACAAACCAAGATATATGTGACCATAAGCCACACATTAAAAATTAACATATTCTTTCTTTTTTAAAAAATGTAGGCCCCAGCTGGTTTTGCTCAGTGGATAGAGCAAAATGAAGGGTCCCAGGTTTGATTCCGTTCAAGGGCACCTGCCTGGGTTGTGGGTTTAGTCCCCAGTGGGGGTTGTGCAGGAGGTAGCCAATCAATGATTATCGTCATTGGTGTTTCTATTTCTCTCTCCCTCTCCCTTCTTCTCTGAAATCAATAAAAAATATATCTCAAAAAAAAATTTTAGTTTCTTTCCAAAGCATTTTTTCCTACCAAGATGAACAGACTATTCTATAACAAACAATTATCTTGACTTATTTCTACCCTGGCTTATTGTTATTACTAGAGGCCCAGTGCATGAAATTCGTGCATGAGGAGGGAGTGGAGTGTCCCTCAGCCCAGCCTGCACAGTCTCCAATCTGGGACTGCTGGCTCCCAACTGCTCACGTGCCTGCCTGACTGATTGCCCCTAACCACTTCTGCCTGCCAGCCTGATCACTCCCTAACCACTCCCATGCCAGCCTGATTGATGTCTAACTGCTCTCCTGCCAGCCTGTTTGCCCCCAACTTCCCTCCTCTGCCAGCCTCGTCACCCCTAACTGCCCTCCCCTGCAGGGTTGATTGCCTCCAATTGCCCTCCCTTGCAGGCCTGGTCCCTCCAAACTGCCCTCCCTTGCAGGCCTGGTGCCTCCCAACTGCCCTCCCCTGCTGACCATCTTGTGGTGGCCATCTTGTGTCCAAATGGGAACAGGATCTTTGACCACATGGGGGCAGCCATATTGTGTGTTGGAGTGATGGTCAATCTGCATATTACTCTTTTATTAGAAGGATAGAGGCCTGGTGCATGGGTGGGGGCCAGCTAGTTTGCCCTGAAGGGTGTCCTGGATTAGGATGGGGATTCCCTTGGGACACACAGGGTGGCCTGAGGGAGAGGCCTGTGGTGGTTTGCAGGCCAGCCATGCCCTCCGGCAACCCAAGCAAAGGTGCTGGTATCTGGAATTTATTTACCTTCTACAACTGAAACTTTGTAGCCAAGCCCCCTGCTTGCTCCATGACCGCAGCAGCGTTTCTAATTGGGACTTATGTATCTTGTATAATTGAAACTTTGTAGTCTGGAGTGGAGGCTTAGGCCTGCTAGGGCAGGCAGAAAGCTTGGCTTCTTCTGTTGCCAGAGAAACCCAAGCCTCTGTGGCTGCAGCCATTTTGGTTGGGATTAATTTGCATATGCGCTCTGATTGGCTTGTGGGCGTGAATTGCGAAGCAGAGTGATGGTTAATTTGCATATTACTCTTTTATTAGGTAGGATGATTGCTGGACTTGAGAATCAGAAAAACTGGGCTAAATCTCCAGAATTCACTACCTATGTGATATTGTATAAATTATTTAATTTTGAGATTATTTTGAAATTCAGATATAAAATGGGGATAAAATTCACAGGGGTTTTATGATTTCAAAAATAAGGCAATTGAAAATCTTGGGACACCCACAAAGATTATATAAATCTGAGCTGAAACTGGTTTACTGCAATTTCCACCCACTTGTTCCTAGTTCTGTCTTCTGGGATTACAGAAAAAGCCCAATGCTTCTTAAATGTGACAGCTCTTCAAATATTCAAATACAACTTTTCTAACTGGCTCATGCTTTATTTTCTCACGATAAATATCCCTAGTTTCTTTAAAATGTCATAAGACATAATGTTCAGGCCCTTCACTATTCTGGCTAGTGAGCATATTTACACTTGATCTTAGCCAAAAGGCCGAGAAGTGATAGTGAGCATATTTAGATAATATTTCTTTTCAGTATAGAATTATTATAGGTATGATTTGACTAGCAGAATAGAGGAAAGGCAGAACTAACACTTCCTTACTATATTCTTTTTTTTTTTTTTTAATATCTAAAGTGTTACATATGTCTCCTTTTCCCCTGATAGACCCAACCCTTCAGCCATTCCTACCCCTGGCAAGCCCTTACTACCCCAGTATCTATGCCCATTGGTTATGCTAATATGCTTACTATATTCTATTAATGCAACCCAAATCACAGTATTATTAACAACCATGTTATATTGTTTACTCATATAAACCATCAAAAGAATGAAATCTCAAGTCTTTTTCATATTAAGCCATATCATCCTTTTCCATCCATTCACTAGTACTAAGGAAGCTGTGATCTAACTGAGGACATTACATTTATCTTATTAATTTTCTTCTTTCTTAGACTAAGACCATCATTCAAACCTGTGAAGAGCTCTCCAGAGGTGTTTATATAGAAATTTGATTATCATGTTCCTGCTGTCTCACCCAAGCTCCTTCTAAAAATGTTGACCAGGACAGAATATGTATATAGCCTTTCAGGAAAAGAGAAGAAGAGTATTGTTCAGGTCCACTTCTTTGAAAAGTAAGAGTGGTGTTATTAGGTACCTATTAGGTCTAAGTAGGAGAAAAATTAAAAGTTTATGATTATTCTGACTAGTGGTTCATTTACTTTGCTACTTCATAACCCCTATTTCCACCCCTGGGGGTTATTTCTACAATGGGAAAAAGTAGAGCTATCATATTAAAATTAACTCTGTTTTATTTTTGGATCAATACAGTAAACTGAGGCTATCTGAGTTTAAATAAAAAACATTTTTTTACTGCAGAGAAAAAAACATTATGAGAAAACAGAACTTTCAAAGTTTTGAGTACTGATTTGAGTATTTTAAATGTTACTTCAGAAAAAGGAAAGCATTATATAATTATGTTTACCATTTTAAAACATCATAGTTGATTTCTACTTTGTCTTACCTTCAGCATTTTTTTCAGCTCTATGAAGATAAATATACCATTGGAATAAATTAAACATATTTATCTTTTATAGACTCATACTTGACATTTCCTGCCAGCTCCTCACTTGTCTTATTTTATACTGCAGTTATAACAAGATATTTATTTATTTAATGGATTACTTTACTCCTGGTCTTACTTTATAATTTGTTTGAGATTATACTTTAATCTATATCAAATTGTTTAAACTATGATACAGTTACATCACAACACAGTAAAACTGTAATGCAGCAATTAAAACAGAATGAGGTAAATATTTACATACTAATAGTGTGATAGTACAGTATACTATTAATATATATACCATGCATGATTTCATTTGGGTAAAAATAGAGTATTAATATGAATACATATTTATATGTTGTAATATACATGTATATGAATGTTTAAATAACATAGTCATCTAAAATATATAACATTCAAATAAATATGTATTATTATACCTCATATATTTAAATTATATATTTGTATTTGAATGGATAATTTCTGGAAGAATGCACAAACACTGTTAACAGTGATTAAGAAATTTAAATTTGGGGGCCTTGCCCATAATAAGAGTTATTATCAGAGATAACTTTTTACAACCTATCTTCAGGACAGGCAAATACATAATAACTTATTGTCCTGTGAGTGACCTTCCTTCCCCATGAAACTTCAAGGTATCTTACTTATCCTTAATTCAGAATGCCATAAATATTCATTTTAACTTTCCATCCCTGAACCCCTCATGTTGTGGGATTCCCATAAGTACTATGTAATTAACTATGGTTATTTATAAAATAAATGAATAGATAAACAAATATGGTTATTTACTTTTGTTAATCTGTTTTATGTCAATTTAATTATATATTAGACCTGCCAGAAAAACCAAGAAGGGTACAGAAAATTTTCCTTTTTCTGACAAATATCAACAGCCACATTTTAAAAAACAATCATTTGTATTTGAAACCCATATACTTTTCTCAGACACATCTTATAAAGGGAGTCTAATAAAAATTAATTTAGTGAAAATAAATAATTGGAGGTTCAAATGATGTAACAATATAACAAAAGGAATTGTTAATTCACCTTAAATTCTCTTGGAACAAGGTAAATTATAAACCAACCAACCAGCAATTAAACAAAAAGACCCAAATGAAATAAATAAGTTAATTAAGCACATCATTTAAAAGTTAATACTGGCTTTAAAATTTTACAGTGAATACCTACAAATATTTTAATGCAGATGCTGACAGTTTTGATCCACATATAGAATCTGTTCTGATTCTGCGACTTGCTAGATAATAGCCATGAACCATTCTTTCTGCCTCCAAGCTGAATTCTACATTCAAATTCTTTGCAAAAGCCAGCAGCTAAATTAAAAGTGTAAAAAAAATTTAAGAGACTCAGACTTTGTTATATAATCTATATTACAAAAGTGCAAAGTATATTGTCATTTTATTTTTTAAAGCTTACATATTCTATCTACATCAAAATTGATTAAATATCTGGGATCATAAGTTATTGAGCATTTTAAATCAGAGTCTTATATTTGTAAAAATATTAAAGTTCACCCCAAATAACCTCTTCCTCCCTCTTGGTACGGAAATGTGCTGTCCACTGTATTGGAATGACTTCCAAGTCTTTGTTTCTAATGGAATCAAGGTTCACTCAGCCTTTCATTAGGAGGGCTTCTCTCAGAAGCTCATTCCTTTTGAATAGCTTTAATTCTTTGACAGTTTATTTCCTTAGAACTTCCCTCATTGGCCCTAGAGCTTGCTTACTTCCCTTTCTCTCTGTTAAAGAACAACTGAACACTAGCAATGTGGGAGGCATTGTGTTAACGACTATGAATTTGGACCTTGGAGATTCAGTATGATTTTGGGCAGATAATAAGTTTTCATCATGATTATCAATATTTTCTGAGTTTTATGCTTTTTTTCTTTCTGAGTGATTCCCAGTTTTGTAAATCCTTATTCAATGACATAATTTCTAGACTTCTTAACAATTTTAGTTGTTTTCTGCTTTTAAAACTCATAGAAAAATTAACCATAGAAATGTTGCTATTAATTATAATCTTTATATCTTAAAAATAACTTTTTTTTTAAAGGATTTGGATATGTCCTGGGTTGAATATGTCCTGTCTTCTTTATTTTCCTTATACTCCACAGTCCCCTCCGGACCTCCAGAACTGGATAATACTAATAATTCACTACCTCAGTAGCCCTTCTAGGTTTTACCCTTTGGAGGCCCAGTCATGTGCCACCTCTATCCCCTTCAGAAAAAGACTGTTGCTCCTGCTTCTGGGAGTGCTATCAGTATTTGAGCTCTAGTTGTCAACTTCTTCAGAGATTGCCTCAGGATAACCCATACCAAATGATTCACTGAGGTGGAAGTTGAGAGGGTGTTGTAAACCCATATATGTAAAGGACAACTCTGATGGGTCTCTTTAGCTCCAGAGCTCACTGTGGGGCCAGCAAAGGCAATCTTTGGGCCTATATCACAGCTTGACTCCCTCTCTATCCAATCCTGCTTCCTTCTCCCTTCCACGGGTACTGATAGAGGAGCACTCCCTGATAAACAATGGTACACTGAGCTCCATCTCAGTCCACCTTCTGGGGCGCCCAGGCTGCAACATATTCTGTCCAATCTGTTTTGTGTGATAGACAGATTTATCTTTTGGGGAAATCACTTTCACCATTTCACTAGTGAAGTCTATAACTGTTCTTTCCAGTGACAAATCAACTATAAACTCCTTTGCTTGAGCTTTTCAGGGCTTGTAAATTTGCCAAATCCCAATTCCAGTGACTCCATAATATAATTTTTCCTCCAGTCAGGCAAGTCTTATCATAGTTTCCTATCATACTCATTTCTACTCTTCTGTCTTTGCTCCTATTCTTATTTCTGTTTAGCATGCCCATCCTTCCTGTCATCTAAATCTTACCTTTCCTTAAGGCCCTACCAAAGTCTCATCTCTATGAAATGTCCCCAACTCTTACATTCTACTTGCTATCTTCCTTTCTGAAACCCTAAAATACTTATAGTCAGTGCCACTCAGTTTAACATATAAATGATCACTTAATTGTTTCATGTATCTTATTTATACCTCAGATAATGATATTAAAAAAGAAAATTTATGTTTCTATGAGAATTTTAAAAAATCAGAAATAGGTTCATATATATATGTAATTCAATAAGTACATGACTAATTAACCCATAGACATTTTTGGTTTTGTTTTTCACAGAAAAACTGGGAGAAAACTTCTTCAGGTCATTAGTGTATCTATATTAATTCCTAGAAACAAACTACTTTTTCTTCTATACTAAAAACAAAGAGACCTTTATTGTATTATCAATATTGTTCTTTTTCTGTTCTAACCTATGTGAACAAATAATGCCAAAATTCATTTTTAAGCCCACCTTACTTTTCAACATTTTACTCATGCAATATGCCTATAAGGAAGGCAGATAAGAAAATAAAATTTAATTTCCCATGCATTCCCACTTCCCAATATTCCCTGCCTTTTATCTATCCTACTCAGATACTTTAACTCTGCTGTGGACAGATTTCTGAATAGTTACTATTAAAGGGGTTTCACTTATAAATATTTGAGTATCTTTAATAACAATGAAAATCATTACTAAATTTCTATCATCTATTCTCAGGTTCTCTGAATATGCCACAAATGTTTTCATGTCAGAACATTAAAATGAGCTACTGAGTCATGATCGATATTCCCTAAAGTCAGAATTCTGAAGGCACTCATATAAAGAAAATACCTTTGAATAGTCTGTAAAATGTGAATAACAATATATCTATACAGCCTCTCATCATAATTTTCTATAGAAATATTCTATTTTGACTTTTTTCATTGAGATTCCTTAAGCTATAGTGATTTGGAAAGTGGTGCAAAGAACAAACTCAGCTTTTAAAATATCTAAGTCCTTCTACATGATAATATCTAGGATGGGCATGCTAATATCTATGTCCTTTTATTTAACTACTAATGCACTGGGGAGAGGTTTCTTCAGCCTGGCCTGCCCCCGCTCACAGTCTGGGAGCCCTCAGGGATATCCTACGAATTAGGTCCGCTCCCCAGCTGCAGTATGGCCTCCCTCTGTGGGAGGCAATCAGCCCATCAGAAGATGGTGCCACCTTCATCACCCCACTACTGCTGCCACTGCTGGCCACCACAGTTGCCTGCCCTCAGCCCTGCAGCTTTGACCTGAAGGATGTCCAAAAGACATCCTCTCTAATTAGCATATTACCCTTTTATTAGTATAGACTAGAGGCCCAGTGCATGAAATTAAAGCATGGAGAGGGAGGGTATCTCAGCTCGGCCTGCACTCTCTCCAATCCAGGACCTCTTGGGGGATGCCCGACTGCCGATTTAGGTCTGTGGGATTGGGCCTAAACTGGCAGTCGGACACCCTCTTGCAATGTGGGACCACTGGCTCCTAACCACTCACCTGCCTGCTTGATGCCCCTAACTGCTCCCCTGCCAGCCTGATCACCCCTAATTGCTCTCCCCTGCCGGCCTGATCACCCCTAATAATCTCTGCCTTGGCCCCTGCCACCATGACTTTGTCTGGAAGACATCCTATCTAATCAGAATATTACCCTTTTATTAGTAGAGATAATCCTAAATATTTTCTATGCAGCCCTTAAAAAGTTGTAAAGTTAGCAGAAAGTTGGAACAAATGAATCCTAAAAACAGAAAACTGCATGCTCAAAGAGTTGAATTTAAATTGAGAAACATTAGCACAAGTATTCCGGGTAATCATTTTTTCTCTTTTTACCTTTTCAAAATCTTCTGTTGTGAACTGTTTAGAAGCTAAATAAAGCAGCCCTTCAGGATCAATGGCTTTCTTTAAAGTATGATGCACAGTAGGAAGAAATTGGTGACAAGGAGATGATTCATTACAGTTAATCAATAATCCAAATACTTCTACAAGATTAGCTGGAATCAAGCTACAATCCTACATCAAACAAAAACGTAAAAGGCAATCATTAATCAGGCATTTCACAAAGACTTAGGAAATAAATTTTTAAATTATTCACATATTTATGATTTGCTTATATTAAATTATATACTGATAACTATAATAATTATGATTTGCTAATACTAATTATTATTTAAAGCAATTCCTGAATAGCCTGAGAACTTTGTGGTGGCTAATTTTTAAAAAATGTTCTTTATTAAGTATTTTCTAATACTTATTATTACATTATTCATTAAAACCTCCACTAAATTCAAATAAAAATTTCTAATGAGCAGAGACATCTGCATGGCATGACTAAAAGAATTTCACACTAAGTCATTATTTAATGCTAGTAACCAATTAAGTATAGAAATGGGATAATAACAAAACATTAAGATTAAAATATGTTGCTAAATTCCCTGAACAAGAACTCTATAATAATAAAAGTGTAATATGCTAATTAAACTGGACAGCCAAATAACCTTCTGAACATCCTTCTGGACAACTTTCTGGACAAAGCTGGGGCTGTGAAGGCTGAGGTAAGCCGCCGTAGCTGTAAGGGCCAAGAGCCGAGCTCCTTGCACAAATTTCATGCATCAGGCCTCTAATAATAAAATATGCATATATCTTACCATCTGGCCAATTAGAGTATTGGTTTTCTGCATATTTTTCCTTGAAGATGAATCCATATCAACGAAAGACCAAAAACTGCACTGAATGGGAAAGGTGGTTTGTTGATTGCTATCATCCCCAAACTTCTTTCCTGGGATGTATACTGTAATGCTTCTGCTTTCCATAACTAAGTCAAAAGACATTACCCATTTATTAAGTTCATTTTGGTCTATATATCTACAAATCAATAAAAAACATTGTTATATAGTATAGACACAAGCAAATTAGATTGTTTTGCATTATTATACAGATAGTTGTATAATAATGTTCACAGCAGCATTATTCACAATAGTCCCAAATTAACAACAGCCCAAGAGTCCATCACAAGTTGAATACATTTTTAAAAAATTATATATGGCCCTAGCTGGTTTGGCTCAGTGGATAGAGCATCAGCCTGCGAACTGAAAGGTCCCAGATTCTATTCCTGTCAAGAGCACATGCCTGGGTTGTGGGCTCGATCCCCAGTGGGGGGACTTGCCGGAGGCAGCCAATCCATGATTCTTTCTCATCATGGATGTTTCTCTCTTCCTCTTCCTTCCTCTCTGAAATCAATAAAAATAATTTTAAAAAATTGTAAGGTGACCAGACGTCCCACTTTTGGCAGGACAGTCCCGATTTTGAACAATTTGTCCCGCGTCCTGTGGCGTTTTAAAAAAGTCCTGATTTTTTGAAAGATTCTTTTAAATCTTTTGGACTTTTTTAAAATGCCGTGGGACATGGGACAAATTGTTCAAAATCAGGACTGTCCTGCCAAAAGCAGGACGTCCAGTCACCTTAATGTATAGCTCTATCCGGTTTGGATCAATGGATAGAGCATCAGCCCATTGATTGAAGGGTCCAAGATTTGATTCTGGTCAAGGGCACATACCTTGGTTGCAGGTTCCCTGGTCCTGATTGGGGTATACGCAGAGGGCAACCAATCGATATGTCTCTCACATCGATATCTCTCTTTGTCTCTCCCTCTCCTTTCTACTCTCTCTAAAAATCAATGGAGCCCTAGCTCAGTGGATAGAGTATCAGCCTGTGAACTGAAGGATACCGGGTTTGATTCCAGTTGAGGGCACATGCCCCAATTGCAGGCTCGGTCCCCAGTGGAAGACATGCAGGAGGCAGCCAAACAATGATTCTCTTTCATCATTGATGTTTCTATCTCTCTCTTTCTCTCCCTTCCTCTCTGAAATCAATAAAAGTATATATTTTTAAAATCAATGGGAAAATATCCTTGGGTGAGGATTAACAACAAATATATATATATCTCCTTAGGTGAGGATTAACAAAAATAAATGATACACCACAGCCAGGTGGGCTTCATTCTAGGTATGCAAAGCTAGTTCAACATTTGAAAATCAAGTAATGTAATTCATAATATCAACAGGCTAAAGAAGAAAAATTATTACATCAATTGATGTGGAAAAATATTTGATAAAATCCAACTCTCATTCATTAAAAACCAATTCTCAATAGATTAGGAATAGAGGGAACTCCTTCAACTTGAAAGAGAACATCTACAAAAAACTATTGCTGGTATCATAGTTAAATTTCCCATCATATTTGGTGAGAAACAAAGCTTTCTTGCTAAGACCAGGAACAAGACAAAGGTGTCCCTTCTTACTACTGCTTTTCAATATCATATTGTAAGTCTTATCTAATGCAATCAGATAAGAAAAGGAAATAAATCTGTTTCAATACAAACTGCGAGCAAAGGCATTTGCCCATTAAAATTTTCTATTTTTATTTATAAAGATTAAATGAAAACTGCCACTTAGTATAATTCTCAGTTTCTAAAACAAGTATTATATAATACACTCTTAACTGTTAAGTAACTACTTGACAATGATGAGACTATAAGTTAAACAGGTGAAAATTAATTTGAAAAAAATGTTTACCTGCCGAAACCGGTTTGGCTCAGTGGTAGAGCGTCGGTCTGCGGACTGAAAGGTCCCAGGTCCGATTCCCGTCAAGGGCATGAATATTGGTTGCGGGCACAACCCCGGTTAGGGGGTGTGCAAGAGGCAGCTGGTCAATGTTTCTCTCTCATCGACGTTTCTAGCTCTCTATCTCTCTCCCTTCCTCTCTGTAAAAAATCAATAAAATATATTAAAAAAGAAAAAGAAAAAATGTTTACCTGATTGAAGCTGTTCAAGTTTATCTTTTTTGTATGAAGACAAGTCTCCTATAAAGCAGATACCACCTTTAGCTAACAAAGCACTGCCAGCTTGAATGCTAACCGCTCCAGTTCCATAGTTATTCCTGAATAGAGTAGGAAAAATTTCAGTAGAGACTGGATGACGTATACCACGGGGCACGAGGTTTATACTATAATTCAAAAGCCTAGGGGAAAATAAATTATTCATTACTATTATTAACTATTTGGTTTTCAGAAATCATAATGTGTAACAGCTACACAATCAAATTTAATTTGATTTCAGAGAGGAAGGGAGAGGAAGAAACAGAAACATCAATGATGAGAGAGAATCATTGATTGGCTGCCTCCAGCGGAAACCCAGGTATATGCACTGACTCAAAATCGAACTGTGATCTCCCACACTGGCTGGGTTCTAAGGCCCCCTTTTCCTCTGACTTTACAGTGAGCTAAAAGGAACCCTGCCTTGGCTAACTTCTGTAACTGAGGCCTTTACTTCCCTATGAGCTAACAACAGCTCTGATTTGACTCACTTCTAGGGAACCAAAGCAGGGCACCACCTAGGCTCTCCCACTGTGTCTTCTATTCCAAAACCTTCCTTTGTTTCACTGTCCCCAACTTTAATAAATGTACTGTCAAAATCACTTGGAGTAGTGTTGTGAAATCTTTCCTACACGAAGTCAATAAATACTATAGGCTGGTCTGAAGCAGACCTGCTCCAGGCTGGTCCCTGTCAGGTAACAAAATGATTTATACCCAATTCAATATTATAACTAGTTTATATCCAGTTCAATGGCACCAAAGCAATTCAACGGTGGGAGAAAAGTCTTTAAAAAAAAAAAATGGTATGTAAAAATTAGAGAAATACAGAGCAAAAACATTAACATTGACTCCTACCTCAAACCATATACAAAAATTAATTTGCAATAGATAACAGACCTAATGTAAGAATAAAAATTAGCTCCAGCCAGTGTGGCTCAGTTGGCTGGGTGTCCTCCCTTGCACCAAAAAGGTGAGAGCTTGATCCCTAGTAAGGTGCATGCTAGGAGGCAGCCAATTGATGGCATCGATGTTTCTCTTTCGCCCTGTCCCTTCCTCTCTCTCTAAAAGTCAAAGTATTCTATAATGCTTCTAGAAGAAAACATAAAATAATATAATCATGAGCTTGGGATTGCAAACACTTCTTAAACAGAACCGACAAAACATAAACAATAATAAAGTAATAAATTTGATTTCATCAAAACTAAAAAGTCTGTTCATCAAAGATATCTAAGTTTTAGACTGGGAGAAACAGTTCACGATACACACATAAGACAAAGGAAGCAGATCCAAAACAACCCAATTTAAAAGTGAGCAAAGAACTTGAACAGAAACTTCCTCACTTGATCTTAGCCAAAAGGCCAAGAAGAGATGAACAGACACTTCGTAAAAGTATATATGACTAGTCAATACGCACATGAAAAAGAACTCAATCAGTAGTTGTCAGGGAAAGGCAAATTAGAATTATAATGAGATACTATTTCATATCCACTAGAATGGTTAAATTGAGAAAGACTGACAACACCAGAGAAGAAGGGAAAGGGAGAGATAGGAACATCAAAGATGAGATTCAGTGGTAAGAATAGGAACAACTGTAACCTTACATTGTACAAACACTTTAGAAAAATGGCACTGTCTTATAAAGGTAAATATACATCTATCTTATGACACAGCATTTCCACTCTTTAGTATTTATCCAAAATAATGAAAACATATGTCCATAGAAAGACTTGTGCAAGAATGATTACAGCAGCTTTACTTATAATAAAACATGCAAAACCTAAATCTACAACCACCAGAAGACTGGATAAGCAAATTCTGGTATAGTCATATAATGGAACCAATAAAAACAATAAACTATTATACACATAAGTGGGTCAATATCAAAAACATGTTGAGTGAAAGAGACTAGACACAAAAGTATGCACTGTATGATTTTACTTATGTGAAGTTCAAGAACAAGAAATTAATCTATTGTGACAGGAATCACCTATGGATATAGGCACTGTGGAAGGAGTGAAAGAACTTTCTGAGGTGATGGAAATGTTCTATATCTAACTGTGGTGATGGCTATAGGAGTATATGTATTTGTCAAAATTCATCAAATTGTATATTTAAGGTCTGATTATTTTACTATATATAAATGTTACCTAAAAACACTATAAAACAAACAAACAAACAAACAAAAACCCCAAATCTCTTACACAGCCTGAAATGCCACAGGAAAAGTCAAAGGTTAATGACAAAAGGAAAAGAGACAAAGGCTTTAATTTATAAGAGGTATCACAAATCAGTAAGAAATAAACCACTTGCTCTAGTCTGTTTCTGCAGACCGAAAGGTCCCAGATTCAATTTTGGTCAAGGGCACATACCTTGGTTGCAGGCTCATCCCAGCCCTAGCCCTGGTTGGGGCTTGTCAGGAGGCAACCAATCGAAGTGTTTCTCTCACATCAATATTCCTCTCTGTCTTTCCCTATCTCTTCCATGCTCTCTAAAAATCAAAATAAAATTAGATATGATTTGTGAAGATTTGAAAAAAATTAAGTCCTTAAAAAAAGCAATAAAAACTTAATAGAAAAGTGAAAAATGGTCAAGGAGTTTTATAGAAAAATTATAGTAGGATTCGACAAGCTCTAAATGATGCTGAAATTTATTTCTAATTAAATAAATGCAAATTAAAATTAAATTTGTGCAATCTGTAGCACTTAGCCCCATATTTATATTGCAATTTAATTTCAGTAAAAACAATTTGAAGTTTTTATTTGAATTTTTTAAAAATATGTTTTTAAAATTGATTTCAGAGAGAAAGGGAGAGGGAGAGAGAGAAAGATCAATGATGACAGAATCATTGATTGGCTACCTCCTACACACCCCACAATGGGGATCAAGCCTGGAACCCAGGCATGTGCCCTCCTGGTTCATAGGTTGATGCTCAACCACTGAGCAACACCAGCGAGGCTATTTTAATTTTAAATTCATTCTATAGATTTCTTCTTTATAATGGCATATAATATATTAATATAAGAAACATATTCCTAGCTTTCTGAATATTTAAGTAACTTTTAAAAAGGTGTACTTGTTAGTGAGGAGCCCCAAGTAAAGGCTTATTCCAATGTTAGAGTGATACTCCCAAAACAGTAATTTGGGCACTTTTGGAAGCCTTATTTGGGTATAGTGAGTCAGTATTACTGAGTGGAATATTAAAGAAAAATAAGAAAATTGCTTGTTGGCTCTCAGAAGGAAGATTATTTAAAAAAATAAAAACAAAGTACAAAAGCAGAACACTAAGGCAGGGAATGTGGGAGGAAGAAAGCCTGAGAATGATGCATTTATTTGTAAAGGTTTGAATGGGGAAATAGATTGAAACTTTAAATGGTTAGATTCTTAAAACATTGAAAGCAAATACCCCAATTCATATTTTAAAAGTTTTAAACTTCATTGGTAACTACTTTAACAATTATTATATTATATACCATTATAAATTTTTGCCCAGGTAAGTCCTAAATATTTATCTTATAATAATGCTCCTGGGAAAGATTTATGCAAATCTGTGATTAAAAAAAAAAGATTTATGCTACCAATTTATTATGTAAAAAAATTCATATTACATATTTTACCTATCTACAAGTAGAGTATCACTTGTTATAATTAAAATATCCAGGCAATCTTCCAGTTCCTTGTTAGAGTCACTTGTCTGAACTAGACTCATCAGCAAACAGAGCTTGAGAAAATTGTAAGTCCCGGGAGGAACGATGTGTGATGCAAAGACATTGGCAAGTATTGCTGTAAACTTCCAGCATGAGCTGGAAATCAGAGAGAGGAGACATCTGAAATTGTCGCTAATTCCTGAAGGAACTGAAAGTAAATAACATGTTTAAAAGGGCTTTAAAACAAGAAAATGACATTATGTCTACTTTTATTTATCTGAAATATTATCATCAGATTATAGTTATTTTAATGATGCCATATTAAAATTCTTATAGATAATATTATGATTGGAGGTCTCTCTGGTCTATCATTTCTATTCCAGGAAAGGAAGCAGTCACCCTTAGTGTCCCCATAGATTGGTAGTGGGGTGCAAGCAAATTCTTCATTCCTTTCAAGACCTATCTGAGCAAAGCCAGATCACAGGGCTTCTGTATTATAGTGTTTGCTTCTGTACTTCTATTTTTTACTATAAAACAGAATGGGAAATATTTAACTGTTGCTGTTAAAGGGGCAGATTTATACTCTCTAGTATTTTGAAAGCATTATACTATATGGTAACAGTATAGACCTCCACTTCCTCACTCTGTCCAACTCCTGAAAGTTGGACAAGATCAGTGACTTAATTAAATTGGTCAGTTTTAGAAGAAAAACTGTGCATGTGTAACCTAGTCACTTTCTCCTTCCTCTTGGGCTATGTGGGAACCATGCCAGAGTCACAGAATAGCCAAGGCTAATTAGAGTGTGGAGGCCTTGTTGATAGTATGCTGGATGGCCAAGGCCACTCTACACATGGGAACCTTAATCAGAATGTTCAAGACTAAGATACCATATGCAGGTGCGAGGCCACAGCGATCTCACGGTACACTGTGTATGTGCGCCTTTCTGTAGCCAAAATGATTGATGTAACTGTTGACTAGAGGCCTCTTTTGTCTAAATGATATAATGCATCTTAACCAGCCAGTCACAGTGTACTGGGAGAAGCTGAGGCAGGCTCAGAGGATGTAGCTCCTATGAGTGCAGGAAAGCCTGGAGAGGTTGGGGAAGCTGCTGAGGCAGAGAGCTCAGGTGCCCTGGTGAGTCTAGGGGCAGCGTGCAGCTGCTCAAATAACCGTGGGTACAGAGATTGATGGTTTGTGAGAAAGATGTATTTGGTTTATCACCAGTGTATGGCTACCTGTATGGGACTTTGCTGTGAAGGACTGTTTTGTCTGATGGCTATATGGCCACTGGCTTCTATACGAAAGACTCATTCTTATACACCCACAGCTTCTCATGGCTTCTCCATCTAATACCTGGTGTCTTAAGAAGGTCCAGTCCCTGTCAGAGGGTTTGGCCCCAACAGTTAGTGCAATGGGCAGGGCTTGAGAAGGAACCTGCCCACACAGTTGGCATAGTCAAGCAGAATTTAGAATATATGAACTCAGAGTACCTGTGCTGAACTGTGTTCTAGCTGTGCTCTGACAGGTTACCATCATAGAGCAATTATTTCTTTTACTTACCCCTGACCACGGACCAAGGAAGGCTGCCTTAGTGTAGCATTTACCACATTTGAGTGGTTAAATTTGCCTAATTTCGGAGTTCAGCATGAGAAAGCATACTTTTCCACCTACATATAAGTCATGTTCTGCTACTAAATCAATAAATCTTGAAACACCTTATAGCAGAAAACATTTAAAAGATCACTAAAATGTCTACTGAGCATTAATGCCTTTCTTTCTTTAACATTTTAATTTTGTTAAGAAACTTTCTCTTCAAGATATCTTGAAGAGGTATCTAGAATCAACTTGCATTTCAAGACTACTTAGGCCTCAATTATTGCAGATGGACAATAATATTGAGGGATTCTTTAAAAAATCTAACTCTATTAAAAATTTAACTAACTCTTGCTGCATTTAAATATTTGTGTGCCAAGTTAAAAGAGTAGGTCTCACCGAGACCCGTTTGGCTTAGTGGATAGAGCGTTAGCCTGCGGACTGAAAGGTCCCGGGTTCGATTCCAGACAAGGGCATGTACCTTGGTTGCGGGCACATCCCGGTGGGGGTGGTGCAAGAGGCAGCTGATCGATGATTCTCTCTCATCGATGTTTCTAACTCTCTATCCCTCTCTCTTCCTCTCTGTAAAACAAAAAATCAATAAAATATATTAAAAAAAACAACAACAGTAGGTCTGCTCTCCACTTTTGTTTACCTAATGCTTAATTATATTGAAGTTGTTAAAGAAATTATTAGTAAGAAAGCTGATATTTTGGCCCCCATCTGTCTTTCTCTTTTGTCTTATATTTCAATTGGTTCAGAATTCAAATGAGGAAAAGGATGATATTTTATTGGGCTCTCTTTCTCAGATCACAGTGTAAGATCAAGTTAAGGCTAAAAAAAAAAAAAAGCAAAATAAGATTTATCTAAAAAAAAATTTCTTATGGGAAAGGTTCTACATTATCCCATTTTATCTCCTTCATAGCATTTATTATCTGAAATTGTCTTATTGATTAGTTTACAGGTTTCCTGTCTACCATCGATTTCTTAACTGTCCTATCACAACTATATCCCTAGTGCTTAGAAGAATGCCCAGCACACAGGCAGCCAATACTTATTTCCTAAACAAATGGATTTAAATTTAAATATTTGTTAATATATAATACTACATTTTCCTTACCTTTTGGATTGCAAAAAGTGATGCTGTTTGCCTCTATACAGACAGAAGTTTGTAAACTTTTTACACAGGTTGGAATTCCAATAATTTTATACTCATTTCCAATACTCATTTTATTCACCAATTCATCTAAAATTATTAAACACAAAAAAAATATGTATTCACTAAAGGAAACATGTACATGATCATATGGTTCAAAGATTTAGAACTAGTAACAATTTAGTAGTTGAATTAGTTGGAAAATATTTATTATTGTTTAGTATAATATCCATACAGAGTGGCATTAATTATGCAAATTTAGGCAATTTTATTGCTGATAAATTTTGACACTTATAGGCAATGATGAATTAACTTCAAGAAGCATGATACATAGTAACTAGGTAGTCTCTTATATATGGTCAAAAGGAACAACAAGATCATTCTACTTAAGACAAAATATTTTAATGTTAAATGACAAGAAATGTTAATAAAAATGACCTGATAATACTTTTAGTAGGGGAGAAAATAATTTTAAAAGGTATTATTACTGTCTATAGTAGGGGTGTTGAACTCAATCAGAGAAGGGGCCAAAATCTAAAATCCAGCCTAAATCACGGGCCGAATGGTTTACTGAACAGTCATAAACTGTCATTGTGATGGAAACGCAGCGGAGTGCAGTGATGACAGCGCGGTGCGGGCCACATTGCAAGGCCTGGCGGGACGGATTTGGCCCGCGGGCCTTGTGTTTGACACACGTGGTCTATAGTATAGGCAAGGTACTTTTTTATACATTACCTAACTGTAAAGTGTAAGATTGATATTGTTATCCCCACTTTATATATGAAGAAACTAAGAGGTTAAGTGCCTTGCACAAAGCTAAAATCATTCTTCTTAAAGGATAGAGTTCTAAAATTACCAAAACTGAAATTCACATCTAGGTCTGCCTATCTCCAAAGTCTACCCTCTTGCATTATACTAGATTCCTCTTTCACACCTACATATTGGGCAAAATTTTTGCAAAAGTTCAAAAAAGTTATAAAAAAACAAAACAAAACTTGATCTTCCATTATATATTAATAGTTAGAAGTTGGGTAGCTGTAAAGATAGGAAAGACAGGTTTATAAGGCAAAACAAGGGTTAACTTCTCTCTGTGAGGAAGATCAGATAGTGGTCATCATTTTTTATCCTTCTCTCTCTCTCTCTCTCTCTCTCTCTCTCTCTCTCTCTCTCTCTCTCTCTCTCTCTCTCTTTCTCTTTCTCTTTCTCTTTCTCTCTCTAAGTTCCAGAGAACATACTGGTGTACCCTGTATACCTAGAAGAGAAAACTCAGGCTCAAGAATTGAGAAAATAAAAACCTAAAATCAACCAATCAAACTAGCAACAACTAAATGATACAGAATGAACTGCAAAGGAAGAATAAAATGAATAGTTTTTCAATTGTTTTATGGAATCTTAGAGTTTGATGGATGTGTTCTGAAATCAAGGAAAGGTCAAGAGGAAGGCAAGGAGTCTGGGAAGTGATTATCTCTTCTGATTTGAACCCCAAAAGGTCAAATTTTATTCAAGTAATTTTAAAAAATTTATTTGGGTTCTATGTAAGAGTTTATTTGAAGAAAGAGTTTTCTACTAAAATGTAAGTTGGATAGCCACTTATATTTATATATTGTAATATATGGGTATATTATAATAGAATGAAGTGTTATAAGCATATATTTTGAAACTGTAATGCCTGAGTTTGAATCACAGCTGTGTCATGTACTAGCTGTATGACCTTATGTGCAGTAAAAAACCAAAGTCCCTACCCTCATGAAGCCTATATTCTGAAATAATAACTCCAATATTTACATAGGACACACACACACAATAATGGGAGATCATTCCCATAAATGAAATAATCATAACCTTGAGCTTAGTATAGTGCTTGAGACATAGCAAGTCCTAATATCTTTTTAAGTGAATGTTATATAACTAAATGAATAATTGACACAAAGCTAAATATGACTCTTTAAAACACTCAAGAATAAGATGACCTATCGTTTTTAATCTATAGCAGTCTCCCCTTGTCTGTGGGGTACACATTCCAAGATCCCCCAGGGGATGCCTAGAAGTATAGACAATACCAAACCCTATATATACTGTTTTTTCCTATATATACATAACTATGATAAAGTTTAATTTATGAATTATTCTCAGTAAGAGATTAATAATACTAACAATAAAATAGAACAATTATAACAATAAAAGAAAAGTTAACTGAATGTAAAATAAGGGTTACTTACTTGAACACAAGCACTGTGATACCTTGACAGGTGATATGATAACCTAGATGGCAACTAAGTGACAAACAGGCAGGGAGCATGTACAACATGGAGACACTGGACAAAGGGATTGATTTACCTCCCGGGAGATTTCATCATGCTACTCAGAATGGGTGTGCAATTTAAAACTTATGAATTGTTTATTTCTGGAATTTTCCATTTAATATTTTCAGACATAGGTAACTGAAACCATGGAAAGTGAAACCATGGATAAAGGGGGACAACTGTGTAGAAGTACCATTCATAAAATAAAAGTGTAAGTAACTCAATTATGTATTTTATATATCTTATAGCAGCCTGCTTTTAGTTCAAAGATAACTTACCTCTTAGGAAAATTGTAAAAGATTGAAACCTAAAAGGCTGATTATTAGAATGTCCTTGAAAAGCATGAAGTGCCTTTGCAGTAATTATTTCAACTATCTGTTTATCTTAATGCAAAGAGAAAAAAAAAGAATGTTATTAGAATACGTACTTAATTTCCACATTAAAATATTAGACACAACATTTAAAATTACAAATGTAAAAGCATTTTTACCACCAAGCACTCTAAATTTTCTGTCTTCTTGAAGTGAAGAAGAACACAGATTGCACAAAAAGTCATTTCTTACTGTTGCAGATTCTGTAGCACCAGGAGCATGTACTCTTATATACTGAAATCCTAAAAAGAAGGAACAGAAGTAAGCTAAATTTGCTTTTGGATTTAGCTATTCATTTTCAGTCCTTTAAAATTAATCTAATTCAAAGTATAATTAATTCAATTTTGTGTGTGAGTTCAGAACAGTTCAACTAACATTTTTGATGGTCATTTCTTGCCAAACACTGTGCTAAGACACTGGTGTACAGATACTTAAACACAATTTCAATAGGGAGCATTAAGAAACATAGTTTCAGTATGTAGTATTCATTTACAGAGAGAAGAAAGGAGGGCATCCAACCTAATGAGAGATGAGGATGGATAGGAAAGATGTCCTGGAGAAGGACTAGCAGGCATCTTCAAACTACGGCCCGCGGGCCACATGCGGCCCACAGAGGAGTCTGATCCGGCCCGCCAGGTTTTTTGGGCAGTGAGCGCAGCCGAGGTGTTACAGTAGGAATTAGTAGTTCATATAGTCTGGCCCTCCAGCTCTCTGAGGGACCGTGATCTGGCCCCCACTTTAAAAAGTTTGAGGACCCCTGGACTAAAGAGAAGTTAAACCAAAGGGCTGAGAGAGAATCCTGCATGGAGTGGGAACAGCATGAACAAACACTTATGGAACAATGTGAGAACAAGTACTTCAGCAATACAAGAGCACCTGTTAAGTTGATATAAGAGGAAGGGGAAAATGAATGCATTTCAACTTATAAACACTGAGAGATACCATATTTTCTAACATTCTTTCTACTCTGTGAATGTTTTAGAACTAATTGTAAACATGATTTGGGATTAAACAATAAATTGCTTAATGTTTTTGATTTTACATTTTAATATTTACCTTCTGAAAGAGGGCATGCGTCATCTGAACAAAGAAATCTTGCTCCTTGTGTATACTTGGTTACAGTTGTCATTGCAATCACAATCCCTTGCATCATATAAAATCTTTGAGATGTATAATCAAGTGGAAACTCACAAAAATTAAGACTATAACTTGGCAGAGCAGGTAAATGTGTTAACTTCAGCACTATATTAATCTAATAAGAACATAAAAATTGTATTAATAAAAACTGCAGATCCAACTGGACTGGCATTATAATATATGTATATTTGTAGGGTAAAACAAGTAAATGACTTGTTAGTGTTATTAGAAACCAAAAATTTAAACATAAAAGATACTTAAATATAGAATTAAAGATAAAAAACCTTTAAAATTTTACATTTTAATTGAAAATATAATTTTTAACTAATAATTTTCCCTAAAAAATACACATTTCCTGGAATATAGCCAGTGAAAAGATATGACACTTCTACTGCCAAGATTGGGATTGCTAAATATAATGTCTCACTAAAAGGAACCAGAGTTCCTTGGGAGAAATGGCTGATTTCAGGTCTGGGGCAGAAAATACACCAGATGGACCTGGTACATCTCCCTATGCTAGAAACCAAGGGGAGCTATAAAAAACTAATGTGTCCTAGCTGGTTTGGCTCAGTGCATAGATCATCGACCTACAGACTGAAGGGTCCCAGGTTTGATGCTAGTCAAGGGCACATGCCCAGGTTGCGAGCTCAATCCCTGGTAGGAGGAATGCAGGAGGCAGCCAATCAATGATTCTTTTATCATTGATGTTTCTATCTCTCTCTCTTTCCATTTCTCTCTAAAAATCAATAAAATATATTTTAAAACATACTTACACAAAAACAAAAACAAAATAACTAATGGGATGGCCCTGGCCAGGTAGCTCAGTTGGTTTGAGCATTGTGCTGATATGCCAAGGCTGCAGGTTTGATCCCTGGTCAGGGCACATATAACAACCAACCAATTTCTGCATAAGTAAGTGGAACAACAAATCAATGTTTCTCTCTCCTCATCCACATTTCTTCTCTCTCTAAAATCAATCAATTAAAAACAACAACAACAACTAATGGGATGGGCCCAAAGGGGACAGGAACAAACTTTAAGGGATACCCAAAGACCAAAGGTAGGATAATAAAAGCATAAGAAACAATGACAGCCGAAACCGGTTTGGCTCGGTGGTAGAGTATTGGTCTGCGGACTGAAAGGTCCCAGGTTCGATTCCAGTCAAGGGCATGTGCATTGGTTGTGGGCACATCCCCAGTAGGTCGATGTTTCTCTCTCATCAACGTTTCTAACTCTCTCTCCCTCTCCCTTCCTCTCTGTAAAAAATCAATAAAATATATTAAAAAAAAATGACAAAGATTCATTGAAACATATCAGATATACTTAAAAATTCATGAGTTCCTCATAATTATTTTCAAAAAAAGAACAAAAAAACAAAATAATTATTGGTCATCATTAGAGGTTAGATTTCAAACTTGTTTCTCTGAAAATCCATAAATGGGAAATAATCAAACATTTATTCTACCTTTTTGTACAAATTGTATTGCAGGGTAATCAAATATTAGATGATGAAAGAAAACTTATAGAATGATTTCAGTTAATACATTCTGAAAGGATGCTAAAGTTAGAAAAATCACAATTTTGCAATCCTAATGAAATAATAGATTCTAGGCAACTGTCATCAATGGCTGCAAAAACCTTAAGGTGGAAGGTGATAGGGAGGGAAACTGTATATTGAAGGGATCTGGCTGACATTACCTAAACTCACTGATGAATTGTGGCATCACTAAAATTGGGAGAACAGGTAGTTCTCCTAATGAAGTGTAATATGAACTATGAAACTAACTATGATGTACTGTTGTCAAAATGAGTTGAATCTCAATCTAAGCAAGTCTTTAGAGCCAACTTCTATTTTCCAGAAATCTGGGGTATAGGGGGAAAGATAAATTACCATAAGAACATATCAGTAAAACATAGGTTATGTGACATTTTATAGAACAACTAACTAGTTTCTTAAAAAAATCAATGGTATAAAAAGGGAGGGGGAGAAAAATGGCTCTAGACTAAGAGATTTAATGAGATGTAAAAATCAATTATAATGTATAGCCTGTACTTCGACCCTGTTTTGAACAAATTAACCATGAGACATTCTTGAGGGCCCAACTGGGTAAATTTAAATACACACCGACTATTGTAATGTACCAAGAAGTTATTGTTATTTATATAAGGGTGGTAATGTCACTGTGGTTACTAGTATATAAGAAAAACGTCCACAATTTTTAGAGGTTGATACTAAACTATGTAGGGTTGAAATAAGAGTATCTGGGATTTGTTTTAAAATATATATATTTTTTTCATGTTTGGGGCTAATGTCACAGGAAAGTCATGGTATCCTGCCACCTGTGAAGAATAGGCCCAAGTTGCTGTTGGTGTGTTATTCACAGAGGAGCCATTCTTCAGGCGCTCTGCTCTCTTCACACCCTGTTTTAAAATATTTTTAAAAAATGCTGATGATACAGACATGGCAAAAATATTATAAACGATTACATCTGAGTGATAGATATATGCAGTTTGTCATGTTAGTCCCTTTATTTGAGGGAATGTTTGAAATATTTTATTATAAAAATGTTTAATGTTATAAGTGATAATACAGGAAACAAAGAAGTGTATATAAGATATTCCATTGAACTTAGAAAATTTTATTTTAATAAACAAAAAATAAAATACTTAAGTTATCTTAAAGGTATTGTATATTTGTTTTCTTTGTTCAATTTAACTAAAACTTACTTGAGTTTCAGTCTGTAATTGTCCAATTAATGACAGAGTCTTAACAGCAATAAAACAGACCTGTGATTTCAAACAAACAAAAAAGTTACCAAAAATTTCATGTGGCATAAAATGATTGCTTTCTTTAACTTACTGATTGAAAAACTTCAGCAGCTTTTACAGGATGATGTAAAATGTGATTTCCAAGTTCAGCATCTAATTCAACAATATCAGAAGGGTTTATTAAAATATTGAATCGATAGACAGCATAACTTTGTTTTGAATCTGTAAAATACACAAATACAAAAATGAAGATAGTCATATGTAGGTATTTAATTTTAAAGTTTCTAAAATAAAGTTACTTTGCTGAACATACCATTGTAGTATTTGCAATCATTTATAAACTTTTGGAGCCCTCCACTTCTGTCAAGATAGACAAGGGCTGCCTCTTTCATTTTTAGATTTGACATTTTCTCCTATTTAATGATTCTTCTCTGTTACTAATTGATTGAACCACAATGGCTGGTAAAGACTACAGATGAGAATACCTAGAAATAAAATTAATTAAAATGTAAATTGAAGACCTCTAATAAAACTTTACAAGCTATGCAACTTAAAATTGACAGTGATATAAAACAAAATACAATTCCCAACTTTAAGAAATCCCTATCCAAAGGGAAACAAAACTGTTTTCTTTTGCTAAATTACATGTTTATCAACACTAATTTATAAGGGTCTCTACAAGATTGCAAACTTAAGAATAGCAGCCTCGGAAACCAAGATGGCGGCATAGGGTAGACACTCGAATGCAGCCTACCACAACAAATTTGAATTTAGAACTGAAAAACAGGGGAGGCATTGCCCTGAAGAGCCAGACGGCTGGCTGAGAGGAGGCTCTGCCATCTGGGAAGGAGAGAGAAGACACGCTGAACCTCAGAAACTGTGAAGCAGCTTCAGTTCCAGACTGGCACTCCCTGAGGCTGGATACAAGGAAAGCCCCTTCTCAGATCTTCACAGAGACACAGAGACGGGAATGCTCAGGAGGCCAAGATAATAAAAACCTAAGGACTCAAAAGCTGGGGCCCATGTCGCCAGGGCCCGCTCAGCCCCAGCTGGCCAGCAAAGCCCCTTTGCTGGGGCAAGATCGCAGGGGGCAGGCCGAGGGGTGGGGGAGGCCGGCCAGAGGCCTCCTGTGACTGTTTGCACACATGTAATTAGCTCTAATTACCCAGGGCTTTCATTTCGTGGAGGACTCTGGGCCTGGCCCCACGGAGCCCGCTGCTCAGCCAAATGAGCCTCTCACCTTTCAGCAGCCCTCCTTTGCTCCTCCCCGCCTTCCACGCCCCCCCCTAACTCCCCCCTGCCCCCACAAAGGATTGGAGCACATCTACATATATAAAAGAGTAATGTGCAAATTGAATGAATAGCAAAACAACCAGAATGACCACTTGACCAGTTGCTATGAGGCGCACTGACCACCTCCCAGTCCTTCGCCCAGGTCTGCAGACTCTGAACCCCCTATGGCAAATGGGGAACTGGGGAGAGTGGCAGCAGGGGGCTGGGCCGGCTGCTGGCAGCTGGGGAAGATGGCCCTGGTCCCAGGCCAGGCCTAGGGCCCGTACCTGTGCACGAGTTTCGTGTGCCAGGCCTCTAGTATTATAATAAAGAAGAAGTAATAAACCCAGATTCAGAATGGCTGTTATCCTGTGTCTGGGAAGAAAGGAATGTCATCAGGAAGATGAAATAGGGGTCCTGACACTATTATCGATGTTCTATATTTTAAGCTCAATGGTGGCTGCCTCGATGTTCATTTCATTATTTTTATGCCTATATTTACATTATGCATTGGATTTTGTATTGTGGAATATTTAATAACTTAAAAAGCTACTAATACAAGTTGATTGTCTGCATATACTGTGGAACCTTGCTTCTCAAACTTAATTCATTCCTGAAGGCTGTTCAAGAAATAATTTGTTTGAAAACCTTATTTTCTCCCAACTAAGAAGGTATATATGTCTTCATCATCATTATCATCATCATCATCATCACTCCTAATAAAACATAATTAATTTTGTTCACTTTAAAAAAAAAAAAAAGAATAGCGGCCTCAAATATCTCTTTACAGAGTATATATTAAAAAAATGCTGCCTGAAATAAATATTGGATAATGAGGTCCAATTACAGGTGTTTTAAAAAAAGTGGCAAAAGTTATTTCATAAATTCAATGTAAGTTACAAAGTGTAGTTAACCTACAATCTGAGAACTTGGTACTAGACCCAGCATTTCCTAGTTGCTAGGGGGAAAATCAAATGAAAGAATTCTTTCAGATGATAAAACCTCTTTTGTCTTTAAATCTTCAATACTGATCAACATAAAACATTAAACCATAGTAACAAGGGTGGAATATGTAAAATTCATTTAAAGAACAGCAAACATAATTGGAAACAATATCTGCCAATACTTATGTTAGGTGGTAGGGGTAAAATGATTAAGAATGGATCCTGTGTTCAAAGAATTGTCAATTTAGAGAAGTCAAAAATAATGATCACCACATTTAGTAATTACTAAATATTTACTGGGTATTTGCTATTTATTGGATACCAAATTGTCCTAGGCACTAGGGACACAAATGAGTAAAATGTTCTTAGACCTACTACTTGGGATTTAGGTCACTTTTCAAAGAAAAGTAATTGAGACTGTCCCTTCCACTATTACATGGGGGAAACTTCAGCGTCCATTTCTCTGTGGCCATAAGTTCCTACATCTTAAAGTGTATGCTGTGTTCAGGGCAATACATGTGTGCTTCATTAGGACATACGATTTCTGGGGCTGAAAGAAGGGAGGCTATCTATAATAATTCTATAATAATAAAAGCATAATATCCAAATTGACCAAATAGCCAAACAGTGGGACAGATGACCTTCTTGCTAAAGTTGGGGCTGCTAGGGCCAGGGCAGCCAGGTCCAAGCTCCTTACACAAATTTTGTCCTATATCATAAAAGCCTAATGTGCTAAGTGTCTGGTCATCCATTCAACCAATCAAAGCATAATATGCTAATGATATGCTAAGGCCACTCAACCGCTTGCTATCTGCACCAGAGGGCAGATGCTCTGACTGGTAGGTTAGCTTGCTGCTGGGGTCTGACTGATGGGGACTGAACAAGATGGGCTGGACACCCCCTGGAGTCCTCCCCCGGTCCCTCCCCTGCTGGCCAACCTCCCACATCCCTCCCCAGCCCTGATCATGCACCAGTGGGGTCCCTTGGTCTACCCTTGCCCCCTCACACTGAAGAGAACCCCTCCCCCCCCTCCAGTACACAAATTTCATGCACCAGGCCTCTAGGCGATAATGAAATGATTTGTTCATTTCATTATGAAAGCTTTTAAAGCCCATGATCATTACACAGGCAAAGAAAAGCCAGGGACATTTTTTACCAAGCAATATAGTCAAATTATTTTGGGAACCAGTGCCTGCTGTCCATGTGGGAAATGGGTTGGGATAGAGGAAGAGTGACAACGAGTTTCTAGCTATTGAAACAGTCCTGACAGATGGACGGCCCAATCTATGGCATCAGAAATGAGATGGCAGTGAGGCGATGGATTCTAGACTTTTACAGTTTCACGTTGGACCTGGTGACCAGCCTCCGTGTGAATTTTCAACACGGGTGCGGGTGGATGCTCCTGCTGCTCTAACGCAAATACTGAATCTCAGAGAAGAGTAGGAAAATGTTCCAGTTCAGTGGTCTGCAAACTGCAGCTCAAGAGCCACATGCGGCTCTTTGGCCCCTGGAATGTGGCTCTTCCACAAAATACCGTGGCCCTGAGGGAGTCTATTTAGAAGAAGTGGTGTTCGAAGAAGTTTAAGTTTAAAAAATTTGGCTCTCAAAAAGAAATTATGGCCGAAACCGGTTTGGCTCAGTGATAGAGCGTCGGCCTGCAGACTGCAGGGTCCCAGGTTCCATTCCTGTCAAGGGCATGTACCTTGGTTGCGGGCACATCCCCAGTAGGGGGTGTGCAAGTGGCAGCTGGTCGGTGATTCTCTCTCATTGATGTTTCGAACTCTCTATCCCTCTCTTCCTCTCTGTAAAAAATCAATAAAAAAAAATTTTTTTTTTAAAGAAGAAATTTCCGTCCTTGTACTGTTGCTATTTGGCTCTGCTGACTAATGAGTTTGCCCACCACTGTTCCAGTTCAGTGGAGATAGGATGTGCCGGGCTCCTGGGACAGGCACGCAGATAACCAGCATCAGGGCCGGATTCAGTAGCTGTGGATTCAGTAGCTTAAAAAGGCGTGTCAAGCAGCGGGCCTGGGTGCAGGCGGGGAAAGTGGAGAAAAAGGCTTCCAAGCCCGAGGGAAACATTAATTAAGCGAACGCGGGTCAAATTCCAGCCGCCGCCTCACAGTGTAAAGAACCCAAGTGCCGGTTCCCTGGGACCCGAGCGGGTCTTCGCTGCCGGCACGTCAGAAGGAAAACACCTCACACCCAACGCCCCCCAAAGCGAACCCGGCCTCGCACCCCGGGGTCCAGACCCCTCCCATGCACAGCGCCCACCTCCGGTCGGCGCGGGCCCAGCCTGGCAACGCGGGACACCCGCCGCGGCGCACACAGACCTCCGCGGCCGCGCGCCGCCCGAGCCGGCCACCCAGGGAGGCCCCACCGCGCACGCGCGCAGCTTCCGTCCGTTGGCGGCGGCGCGGGGGCTGCCGGGACAGCGCCGCCCGGTCACCATGGCAACCGGGCCCACCGGCGTCCCGCCCCGTCCATCACTCCCGCTCCCTTCCCGCAAAGCAAAGCTAAGCGGATAGAAACCGTTGGTTGTGTTATCACAGGCCAGCAGTGCCCATGTTTGTTTAAAAAAAAAAAAAATAAAACTTTCCCAATGGGATGCAAAATGGGGCAGTCCATTTGGAAACCATTCCGGGGACTACCTTAAAAGACTAAACAGAGCTACTAGGTGACCCAACAATCCCAAACCACATTAGATAGATAGATAGATATAGATATAGATAATGAGAGAATAGCAACACACGTTTACACAACAATTTATACAAGAATGTTCATCTGATTATTAGTAGTAAAAAAAAAAGTGGATAAAGTGTGGTATATCCGTAAATGGAGTCAATTGGCCATAAAGAGATGAGGTGCTAATACGTGCTACAACAGGGATGAGCCTTGAAAACACTATGCAAAGCGCATATCACTTTAAAGTATTCAAGTCACCTGAAACTCACCTGCATACACTTCAGGGTTTCAAATAAAAGAATAATCACCTTGCCATATGGAATAATCTAGTAATTTTTACATGTTCAACTACTTTGTTAAAATTTTACTTGTCACATATATATATATGCATCAGTAAACAAAATTTTATATATATAATTCATTTTGTAATGATACTATCACCAATTTTAATGTATTTATATAATTCATTTTGTAATGATACTATCACCAATTTTAATGTAAAGTAATGACAAGCATTAGATGATCATTAATCTTTTTGCTAATTTTATTACACTCTTAAGATTTGTATTTTTTTGAGATAAAAAAAAGCAACATTCTATTTAAAATTTTAAAAAAATATACAATATTGCACTTGAATTTTTGGCAGTTTAATTAAGGAGTGATTGAGTAAAAAAAAATCATACAAGAAACTAGTCTTTATTTTGCTTTATAAGCAAAGAGCTTTGTATAAAAGAACTTACAGTAGTACCAAATAAACCAAATATTTACAGTGTTGTTACTAAAGTTTTACTTCTAAAGGAAGATTCAGTGTATTGAATGCAAATATTATCATATCTAAGAAAAGCATAGTTCTTTCCCCCCATTCTGCTGAACATTCTTAAACCAAAGGGTATTGGTGTGAAATGCTTTTGTGATTTTTTTTCTCTCAAGAGAAAATACATGAAAAGAATGCTTATTTTTGAAGCATCTAAACTGGGTCACTAAATTCTTTCCCAATGTTTCCTACATGACTTACAAAATCTCTAAACTAAACATCAGAATTCCAAAGATAAGCATTCTTTTACAATTACAAGTACACCAGTTAGCTGGTTTTCAGTATGAAAACTTTAAGGCCAATTTCCCATACAGTCTCTAAGATACATAAGATGCTAGGCATCTTTCTGAATTATTTTAACTTCTGTTACACAATAGTAAAACTATACACATTTATATTAATCCTGAATTTGCTACTCTACTTTTAAATTCCCAATTAGGTAAATATTCTAGAAAGCTCAATATTTTTCACTTAACAACCAATTAGGGAGACAGTTTTAAAAACTATTTGCAAAACGAAATATCAAGATTTAGGCCTACTTAACAGTATATTAAACATTCAAAAGACCAACAAGAACATAAATAGAATGCATTTGTAATATAAATACATGAGACAGATACATTCATTTTGGCACCACCTTAAAAAAAAATAAATCCAGCAGTACTGTACTTTATTACTTTTCAGATGTTTGGGAATATTTAAAATGTCAACTATTAAATATTTACTTTCATTCCAGAAGAAAAAAAAATTCATGAATTTAAATTGGTATTTCAAAAGCAAAGGATTTCCTTTTGTTACCTTTCTTTTTACTGACTTGAGAGAGAGAGAGAGAGAGAGAGAGAGAGAGAGAGAGAGACTTGTTGATCCACTTATTTATGCATTCATTGGTTGATTCTTGTATGTACCCATGACCTTGGTGTATCAGGACAATGCCCTACCCAATTGAACTATCCTGCAAGAGCCTCCTTTCGTTAATTTTTAATTTGACCTGCAGAATGAACAGTTACTCAAAGTGTTAATTAGCAGCCAATGTGTTAACTATGCTTTTACACTTTAATCCTACCAAGACTGATTATGGCAAGCAGCGATATATTATGGACAGACATGGTTTCTGCTTAAACAACCACATACAAATTGCATAGTTCTTATCTGAGAACAAAGATCAAAGTAGAGAGTTACAAAGGCATTAATAGATGTTAACTGAACTGAAATAGGTTGTTGAAAAACAGTCCATCTTGGGTAGGTGTTAGTGTAAACTTGGAGGGGAAAAACAGTCATTAGCAAAAAAGTTTTCTTTAAAAATAGGTTAATGCTAAGAACAATAGCTTTTAAAATTTCTGTTTAAAAATAAGCTTAATAAACAAGAATACAAATTTTAATTCCAAACGTAGCTTTTTGAAATGCACTATTTTCTTACATACAGCAGAAAATACATTTTTTTTTCATAGTTGTTAACATTATTTGTAAAAAAAAGGCACTAAACATATTTGAATATATTCACACAAAGAGGAATTCCAGTCTCATCTGTACATAGGCTTCTATTTGCTCCATGGTCCCCGGATGGCAAAATGTTCACAAAAATAAGTCCTCTGAAGGAGGCGCGTAAGAGAAACCAACGAATGCATCATCAGCCTCCAGTACGCTGGCGTTCACTATAGAATAGTCAGTAGACACACACACGGAATATGGAACCGTTTCTTCCGTAAACGCTGCATCGAAGTTCCTAATATCATCTGGTCCTGCCTAAAACATCAAAAGAACACTATTATTCACCTTTGTTTCTTCATTAATGTAGTTCTTCATTAAACCCTTCATGGGGTTTGTATATTGATTCCTGGCAAGTTTTTTTTTTTTTTTTTTAATATATTTTATTGATTTTTTACAGAGAGGAAGGTAGAGAGATAGAGAGCTAGAAACGTCGATGAGAGAGAAACACCAACCAGCTGCCTCTTGCACACCCCCCACCAGGGATGTGCCCGCAACCAATGTACATGCCCTTGACTGGAATCGAACCCGGGACCCCTCAGTCCGCAGACCGATGCTCTACCACTGAGCCAAACCGGTTTTGGCTGATTCCTGTTAAGTTTAGATGTCTCCTTACTTCATCGTTGCTTTGGAACATCTTCTGCTTTTATTCCTTAACTGAGGTCCTTCTAATGGGCAAGGTTCTTGTTGTTGGGTGGGGCGAGGAGAGAGAAGGGTAAGGAGAGCTAGCATAACAGAGTCCTTACCAGTGTTAATATGAATCTCAGTCCCTGCTTATGACCCCCCCTCCCCGTTCTCTCTACTCATCACCTCTAAGTTTGGAAAAAGGGTTCAGGTAGGTTTTCAGAACAGCATTTTGCATTTGAGCTTCCAACAAGTGCCTGCCCATCCAGCTTCTCAACTTCGGGCAAATGAATGAAGCATTTTAACGAAGGGATGAAGGGGCTGTACGGAAAATTGTGAAAGGTGACTCTTGTGCCACAGAGGTCACTAAGCATTCAGTGATGAGACCCTTAGCTCAAAAGGCCTAAAGGGACCAGGAAACTCGGAAATGAAACACGGTGTCTGCTTAGGCTCACAGGCAATGGTTCTTAATCGTCTTTTACAAATTTGATACAAGTGAACGGCCTTTCCCCTTTCAGTGTACGTACGAATAAAACTGTGTTGCAAAATCAGGTGATTCACCGTTAAAGCCCATCCCTGAAGCTCTAGTTAGCTCTGCACTAAGAGAAAGGGAAGCTTTAAAATGTTCAATTCATACCCAAACCGGTTTGGCTCAGTGGAGAGATCCTCGGCCTGAAGAGTCCCGGTTTTTATTCTGGTCAAAGGCACATGCCTGGGTTGCAAACTCGATCCCCAGTAGGGGGCATGCAGGAGGCAGCCAATCAATGATTCTCATCATTGATGTTTCTATCTCTATCTTCCTCTCTGAAATCAATTTTAAAAAAATCCTATATAATAAAAAGCTAATATGCAAATCGACCAAACGGTGGAATGACTGGTTGCTATGATGTACACTGACCACCAGGGGGCAGACCCTCAATGAAGGAGCTGCCCACTGATGGTCAGTGCGCTCCCACAGGGGGAGTGCTGCTCAGCCAGAAACCAGGCTCATAGCTGGTGAGCGCAGGGGAGGTGTTGGGAGCTTCTCCCACCTTTGCGGCAGAGCTAAGGATATATAAACTACCCTGTCTTTTCTATAAGAGGAAAGCTTGCCTCCTCTTCTGTAAAATAAGAATCCTGCCACCTGTCTGTTAAAGTTGTGAGGATTTGATGCATTAATACATAAAATTTGCAGAATCTGACACGTAGAAGGTGCTTAATAAATGATGATAAATGTTCTCTTCCCTGACTTTATAAATATTTTGAGAATGCTCTTATGACTCGTGGCTAGTACTGTCAGGGACAATACCGTATTTCTTATGTTAAAAGTGAGGGAAGGCTCTGTCTTCAAACTAGTTCTGCAACTTTAATTAAATTGTGGGCAAGTTACTTACCCTTTTCTGTGCCTAAGTTCACTCATCAGAAGTATGGTGTAAAATAACAGTACTATTTCATAGGATTGTTGTCAGGGTTAAGTAAAAGGATACAAGTATTAAGAATAGTGAATGAGAATATCTATCTTGCCAAAACCGGTTTGGCTCAGTGGATAGAGCGTCAGCCTGAGGACTGGAAGGTCCTGGGTTTGATTTTGGTCAAGGGCATGTACGTTGGTTGTGGGCACATCCCCAGTAGGGGGTGTGCAGAAGGCAGCTGATCGATGATTCTCTCTCATTGATGTTTCTAACTTTCTATCCTTCTCTCTTCCTCTCTGTAAAAAATCAATAAAATATATATTTTTTAAAAAGAATATCTATCTTATTCTAGTATAGCGAACTTTTTGATCTTTGTTAATTTATTAGGTGAAAAAAACCTGTAAGGGTTTTATTTTGCATTCCTTCAACATCTTTTCATATATTTAAAAGCTACCTGTATTTTTAAAAAAATATATTTTATTGATTTTTTACAGAGAGGAAGGGGGAGAGAGAGAGAGAGAGAGAGAGAGAAAGAGAGAGAGAGAGCTAGAAACATCAATGAGAGTCGATGAGAGAGAAACATCAACCTGCTGCCTCTTGCACACTCCCTACAGGGGATATGCCTGCAACCAATGCACATGCCCTTGACCGAAATCGAACCTGGGACCCTTCAGTCCGCAGATCAACACTCTACCGCTGAATCAAACCAGCAAAAGCTACCTGTATTTATTTTTTAAAATTGTCCTTTGTCCATGTTTGGTCTTTTGTTTTTCTTTTCTTTTTTTTTCTTTTTTTCTCATAAGAATGCTTTATGTACTAAGGAAATTTCCCCCAATTTGTTATTTGCAGTTTTTCCCCCCCATGCAGATATTTCTAAATTTTATGTGGCAAAATTTACCAATTTTTTTTGGTATGGCTTTTGAGTTGTGGGTCTTACTTTAAAAATTTAATTAATTAGTCAAACAGAGTTCCAAACCTGGAGGTGCCTAACTCTGATGTCAACACTGTGCCATTTCTAGGGTTGCTGAGGAGGAATCCCTAACTCTTTAATGTACCTGATGACAAATTTATTTGCAAATAACTAAACTCAGTGGACTCTCAATTTAAAGAGAAAAATTAAATTAATCTTAAAGATCCAAGGTTCTTATTGCAAACGCTAGAAATTAGGAGCAGAAACGGAACCATGTCTGAAACAGTCACTCCTGAATGAGCTAAATGAAATAAGTCAATCTACAAATACTTCACAATTTTTGTACTGGAAGGTATTTCTTATCAGTCTAATAAAACTATCATCTTGCCAAAACCGGTTTGGCTCTGTGGATAGAGCCTGCGGACTGATAGGTCCCAGGTTCGATTCCAGTCAAGGGCATGTACCTTGGCTGCAGGCACGTCCCCAGTAGGGGGTATGCAAGAGGCAGCTGATCGATGTTTACTCTCATTGATGTTTCTAACTTTCTATCCCTCTCTCTTTCTCTCTGTAAAAAATCAATAAAATATATAACTAAAAAAACCCCAAACAAATTATCATCTTACCGGTCATCCTTAAGTGACATATTTTGCATACATTTACGTACTGATTTCAGTTTTACTCAGGTTAGATTTTGAGATATTTGCTGAAATTATGATGAGCTACAGTTCTACATTTCACTATTTTAGAAGGAAGGACCTGGATATATACTTACCACATTAGGGTTAAACGGTGGTGGAATCTTCTTTTGTACAAGGTCTGTCCAACTGAGTGATTCAAAAAAGGGATGATTCTGAATTTCAAGCTAGAATATTAAAGGAAAAAAATACATTTTAAACTAATGCTGAAGAATATATTAAGTACTCACTGAAGAATTTTATGGAACCAAACCATTACCATTTTGTTTCTCAATAACTCTTTTTAGATACATGCTTATGTTATTTATGTGGCAAAGTGGTATAGCAGAAAGACTATCTGAGTATACACTTTATTCTCTTCACTATCCTAGTTTCTTCATAGGTAAAACAGAGTTAACATTTTTGCCTTAGATACTTAGCAGGCTGTTTTAAGGATAAATGGTGCCAAAACCCGTTTGGCTCAGTGGATAGAGCGTCGGTCTGCAGACTGAAAGGTCCCAGGTTCGATTCTGGTCAAGGGCATGTACATTGGTTGCGGGCACATCCTCAGTAAGGGGTGTGCAAGAGGCAGTTGGTTGATGTTTCTCTCTCATTGATGTTTCTAGCTCTCTATCCCTCTCCCTTCCTCTCTGTAAAAAATCAATGAGATATATTTATTTAAAAAAAAAAATTAGTACCAGAAACTCTTTCATGTTAATGCTGGTTTCAGTAGCAAATGCTTCAGAGTAAAGAACACTTAACGTAGACATACTTACCAAGCTTCCCTCCACTGTATTAAGTTCTAATGTGTGTGGTAAGTTTTACCTCACAAAATGCTTCCTCCTATTTGGTTCTTTTTAAACACTCATTGAAATCTTGTTGTATAATAATTCCTGCTGGAATCACAGACATCTGCTCCTCCATGTCTCCTCCCCAAAAGACCAAAAAGGCCTTGTGAGTGGCTACAAACATCTCAATATAAACACTTACTTAAAAACTGTGTCACCTTTACTGGTGTCCAAAAATGTCTAGTTAGTGTAGACACACACACACACACACACACACACACACACACACACACACTGGAAGTTTAGCCCAGTTGTGCAACTTTCTTCAGCAATGAGCAGCAGCCCAGAGATGATAGTTGAATTCATCCAGGGTTGCAATTTCTGAATTCAAGAAAAGGACCCGCCGAAACCGGTTTGGCTCAGTGGTAGAGTGTCAGTCTGTGGACTGGAAGGTCCCAGGTTTGATTCCGGTCAGGGGCATGTACGTTGGTTGTGGGCACATCCCCAGTGGGGGGTGTGCAAGAGGCAGCTGGTCGATGTTTCTCTCTCATCGACGTTTCTACCTCTCTATCTCTCTCCCTTCCTCTCTGTGAAAAATCAATAAAATATATTTTAAAAAAAAAAGAAGAAAGAAAGAAAAGGACCCAGGGGCATGGAGGTGTGAAGTATTAGCAAAACTGACTGAAACAACAGACTGGAATCAAAACTGGATAGAGAATTGTTGAAAGAGCCATCTGCTGTACTGGGACGTGTAGGAGGAGAAAGTCAGTAGCAGATAAGTTTGTTATTCACAGCTCAAGTTCAAGTTGGCCAACAGCCCCAAAGAATTTCTGAGAAATTTAAACGAACTTAAAAGTTCTTATCCCTCAATAGTTCATAAATACTAACACACTAAGATAACAACTTACACTAGTAATGTAATTATCCTTCTTTTAAAAAGCACACCAAACCCACAGGTTCCATAACTATCTCAAGGAGATATCACCAAAGTCTCAGGGGGAAAAAGTGGTTTCATGTTGGTTCAAGATAAAATGCATTGCCTCATGCAGTCAGGAAGCACTTAAATTCTTGTTAAACAACATGATCTAAAAGTTCAGGTAGTCAAACTTTTTTTAAAAAAAGTAGGGAGAGGAGAGAAATTTTAATTAATAAAAATCAAATAAATAATAACAGTGTGATGGCTGGATGTGACAGACAAAGGGGATAGGATAGGACCGTTACAGAGATCAACAGAAAGGATGCAAGTACTCAAACCCTGTGTAGTTCTGTACATGTAAACACCGGTGAAAGCTGTTGGGACTGGTTACGGGTTCTCATGGTGCTCTTCTTTAAGAGCTGTATCCATCCCGTTAAGTACCACATAAAAGAAGGCTTTATCTTCACATGATAAATAAGCTTAGATACAGTGGGAGAGAGATACATACAAAGTCTTCTTTGGCACCAAGCCGGTTCTGCCTGTCTTTTTCTAGGAGTTCTTCCAGAATGGACCAGGCTGTGAGGCTCACTCCCGGCCTCAGATTGAGGGGCTTGTGCAGAATGTTGTCATACATTTCAGCAACATCTCGGCAGTAAAAAGGAGGCTGGGGGAGAAAAAAAAAAAAGTAAAATAAAGTTAGTGTTAACTGAACGATGCCAAAATGTTTGGGTTAAAATAGTTGGATTTGGCCTTGATCTGTAAGGAGCAGACTGGGACTGGACAAAAGACATACACAGCCGTGTTTGGGTGCAGTGTGGCCTTCTAATGCAAAGAGACTCCACAACCCAGCGCACAGACAGCTTAATGCATGTGCACTGAATGAGTTAGGGCCAATCTGTTCAATAACACAGGTGCCAATTGTATAAAGTTACAACAGTATCTGTTTTAAAGAAAACCACCACCAACCTCATCATGGCATAACGGTAGCATTATTGGAAACAGAGATCCAACATGAAATAATTTCTCGAGACTTGGGAATAAATAAATTAAAACAGAGACTGCCCGAAAAGACGAAGACCTGAAGACCATGCTCCTTCCTAAGTACTGCGGCATGATGGGTATACTCTGCAGGAAGAAACACTTTCTTTTTTACTTTTAAAAATCTAGCTTGATTCTAATATCATTCATATAAGTTAGTTAATGAAGTATATGTTTCAAATGTTCCCGTTCGAATCAACTGCGCTTTATACACAACAATAATATTTTATGCTTTCAAAGTCGTCTAAAGAAATGAAAAGGATATCTGAATGGCAAGTATCCAACACTTAAAGGTATAGAGTGGATGTGAGGTGTCCTAAGTCACTGGTATAACCAGAAAACTAGATCTTTCAACGAGTGGATCTTAGACAAGGGCAAAGAAGAGACAGTGTTGGAGGTCATGAGAATCTATCATTCAAAGTGAGCAACATGAAACAAATGCTCCTAAATGTACTGAGAGCTCCCCCATTTGGGGGGGGGGGGTTGGGGGATGGGGTAGAGGGTGGGAGAATACAAAACAAAAAGCAGAACAAAATAACAAGCCCCAGCTCAGGTCTCAGATGACGGTGTTATTTAGCTTAGTGGAGGCAGATGACGGTGTTATTTAGCTTAGTGGAGGCAGTACCAGGGGGGATGAGTGGATGGTTCCCAGCCTGAGGCTGGGGGACACTCTTGGGACCACAAAGGGAACCTAGGAAAGATTCCAACTGTTCCCAAAAGGCTAAACAAAAGCATACATTATTGCTCCAAGGATATGTAAACCCACTCAAATGCCTAACTTGTTTGCTTTAGGTTGGAGTATTAACTCAATGTAGCAAAACAAATGTACTCATGTTAATCAGAAGCTCTAGCTGGGGAAACATTACATAGTAAACATTCTTTTTCTTTTTTTTTTTTTTTAAAAGAAATCTTAATGTTATGGGGTCGAACCCTGGGTTCAAAATAAGACCACCAGAGGCTGATGATTTATTAAAAAAAAAGCAGGCAAAGATTTATTGAAATATCTGGCCAGGACAGCCGCAAGAGCACCACACACAGGCAGACTCGACACGACTGCGCGGCTTTAGGGGCAGGTAATTATTTTTAAAGTTCTGAGAAGGAAAACCCCTATTTTGCAACAAACTGTTGTTTGGAATTTTCTGCTGTTCTTCCTAGATAAAATGTTGCTTTCTAGTTTGCTTTAGCCCGTTTGAAGAATGATGAAGATAAACTTAGCTGTCTGACATTGTAGGACAGAGACCAGATATGCCCACAATTTCAATACCATGCCAGGTGCACTTTTTTAAAATTGGATAGAACTGTATTGTTTTCAAGGCCAGCATCGAGATAACCACTAAGTGTACATAGGGCTGGCTCTTTAATTTAAAAAAAAGGAAGTTCTGCCTGTAACCTTGCTTAGAATTTGAATTCATCCTCCCTAAGCCCATCGTGCAATGAACAAAGCAAGTAAGTGAAGGTCGAAGTCAGAACAGTAGGGTTAAAACTCAAACAGCATTTTCCACCCAAGTATGATTGCAACCATATTTCATTAAGACATGGTATATACAATATATATGGTGAATGCATGAGATGGTTCTCAGTGATGGAAAAACCAGTGTATTAATTTAATCCTATAAAAAACAAAATGCAAGAAAAACCCAAAGGCATTATCTTCTAATAAATACAAACATCTTTTTTTAACTTCCATCTTTCTGAAATTAGGCAGAATGATGACTAGGATAAACTGAATAAAAGTGGCTAATTTTAATATTCAACTATGTGTCAATTTCAACAAAATGAGAGAGGGAGGAGAATACCTGAAGCAGTAATTACTCTGATAGAAAAATTACATTTAAAAATTATTAACAAAATGAAGTTTTTCTTTTTTGTGCATACATGGTTTTGGACTCCTTTTTACCATGTTACTACTACTCTGTTAATGTTATCTAAGTGTCCACAGGATTATTGAAAGAGAAAGAGAAAGAGAAAATGCAAATCAGTTATAATATACTGGGAAAACAATGAAAGAGTAGGAATACATACCAGCCCATACAGCATTTCATACAGTACAGCACCAAGGCACCACCAATCTACAGTATTGTCATAGGGCTGCTTTCTGATCACTTCAGGTGCTAGGTACTACAGAAAAGATGAAATATTAGTGCAACTCAATAAACAAGACAAAGTTTGGAAATAACTGAGAAATTTAACGAGCTTTAGGTATTACTATTATGCTAAAAAAAAATCTAGATTTTTAAATTGGTTGTGTATTTTCTTTTTTCTTTTTTTTAATATATTTTATTGATTTTTTTTTTGCCCCCCTGGTTGTGTATTTTCATCTTATACCAGTGATTCTTCAAAACCAAGTGGGACATTTTTCAAAATACACATAACTCAAACACTTCCCCATAAACTGTGATGCAGTTAAGACAAACAGAAAAGGGCAGCGAATGTAGAAACTGTAATCCAAAGTAGGTATTTTGTGTATGTGGGAGAAGGGAAAGAGGAGGAAACCTTTTATAAGGTTAATTTATCTTAAAAATTCCTCTGGTCATTACTCATAATTGTTCCTCCCAAAGAAAGGATTCCTAATATGGCAATTATGATTCTTTTTTTTTTCCATGAAAGAAAAGAATGAATTACATTCTTCTTAGGAAATTACAACTGTAATTCTCTAACATATTATTTACAAATGTTTGTTATTACACAGCTATTTACACTTTAACATATAAAATACTTAAACTCATCACCATTTCACAAATGTTAAGATGGTTAATTTGAATTTCAGGTTCCAAAAAATATGTTTTCCTTTTCCATATGAAATAGGGAAATGATTTCTTAAGTTTTTTTATAGGCTCAAAAAAATGGCAAAATAAATTAAAGGATTTAATAATTTGACCACATTTAGACTTAGATGACAAAAGAACTTGTTCCTTTCTAAAACCTACAGGACTTAAAAGATTTTGTTGACTATGACATCAATATACATTCATAAAAAATGTTTCTTCAGACATAAACCAAAATAGAATGGTTACAAGAACAAGGTTAGATTAGACAAAGGAAGAAAAAAAATACATTTTAAAGTAAATATTGTTGCTTACAGCTACTTTTAATTACATTTCTGATCTTGATTAGAGGTGTCATGTGAGCCAGTATATCACACATTTTCAACAATATCTGTTGTTATTGGGCAATAATGATGAAATACTACTTGGCATCTAAGATCACCATAAATAACATTAAAGAGTGTGTGTGGGTGTGTGTCAGAGAGAGAGAGAGAGAGAGAGAGAGAGAGAGAGAGAGAGAGAGAGAGAGAGAGAGAGAGAGAGAGAGAGAGAGAGAGAGAGAATAAGAAGTCTTTAACAGCTGAAACCGGTTTGGCTCAATGGATAGAGCGTCGGCCTGTGGACTGAGAGGTCCTGGGTTCAATTCCAGTCAAGGGCATGTATCTTGGTTGCGGGCACATCCCCGGTAGGGGGTGTGCAAGAGGCAGCTGATGGATGATTCTCTCTCATCGATGTTTCTAACTCTCTATCCCTCTCTCTTCCTCTCTGTAAAAAATCAATTATATATATTTGATTTAACATAAATTGTAAGGACTATTATCTCAAATAGAAATATACACTTCTGTTTAGAGAATGGGATATTTGGGTTTGTAAATTCTGATTTGTGAATTTCCCCCCACATCCTCTGTCTTATTTTCTTCTGTTAAATAAACACTTAATTTACTATAAAATATTTTAACCAAACATAACAATAGTAAAATATAATAAAACCCAATAAAGCTGCCAATATAGGCAATGCCAATCACTTGCCATATTTTCTTCAGCTTATTTTTAGAGGCGCTTTATTAAGAAGAATGCAATTCCCCCGTTTAAAGTGTGCAATTCAGTGGTTTTTAGAGTTGTTTTATATTTAGAGCTGTGCAAACATTATCACAAATTTCGGATATTTTCATCACTGATTTGTGATTTTATTTTGAAGCACTAGAACTAAAGTCAAATGCTTAAAGAAGTCTTAGGTAGCCCTAGCCGGTTTGACCCAGTGGATTGAGCATCAGCCTGTGGACCAAAGGGTTCCAGGCTCGATTCCAGTCAAGGGCACATACCTTGGTTGCAGGTTCCTTCAAGGCCCGGGCCCTGGTCGGGGCACATGGAGGAGGCAGCCAATCAATGTGTTTCTCTCACATGGATGTTTCTCTCTGCCTTTCCCTCTCTCTTCCACTCTCCCTAAAAATCAATGGAAAATATCCTCGGGTGAGGATTAACAAAAAAAATAAATAAATAAAGGGGAAGTCTAAGGTTAACAATAAAAATAAGCCTAATTTACATCTTTGGTGGGTTATCTAGTGGTGGTACCCCACTATCGCAGTTAAAAATACCAACTATCAATAAACTTTATTCAGAAGGAATGATTATTAGATATTTCCAATTGGCAGAAGCTAGGTTTTATTCTAGTTTTCTGATGTCAAATTTTGGATATGCAATTTGTGATTCATTTCTTCATTTTACACATGATTATGTGAATGACAAACGAGACATACTTCTTACCTCTGGTGTTCCACAAAATGTTGTTGTTGTATCAGAAATAGCAATTCCTTCTTTACAAAGCCCAAAATCTGTTAAGACAACATGTCCCTGAGAAATAGAGGGGCAATAAGATAAAACAATGCATGAACATAAACTGATAATTTCAAAAATCCATTTTATTTTGAAATAATGATAGACCCACAGGCAAACTGAAAAAATAATAAACCGAGTTCCATTACCCCTCATCCAGCTCCCCCCAATGCTGGCACCTCATATAACTGCAGCACAATATCAAAACTGGGAAACTGGTATTGACGTATTGTTAGCCAGACAGCCAAACCTATTCAGTTTTCACTATTTTGTAATGCATGCATTTGTGTACGTGTAAGTATGTGTAGTTCCACGTAACAGATTCATGTATCCACCACCACAATCAAGCATCCATCAATCCCAAAGAAACAAAAGAATCCCTGGTGCTATTCCTTTATGTTTGTACTCCACTATTTCCTCGATCCCTGTGCCCTTGTAACCACCAATGTTATCTCCATCTCTATAGTTTTGTCATTGCAAACATGTTATATAAAATAAAATCAAGCAGTGTCGAATCTTTGAGGCTGGCTTTTTCCCACTAAACACAACCACAACAAAAACAGAGGAATAGCAGATTTTTAAAAGACAGTACTTACTACAGAATCCAAAAGAATATTTTCCGGTTTCAAGTCTCTATCAAAGCAAAAGGAAAGAAAAGCAAACGTGAATATTAGCTGAAATAAAACAAGAAGACATTTTTTTTTACAAGTAATATTTAAAAAAAAACTTACCTGTACACTATTTTGATGGAGTGCAAGTAACCTAATGCGCTGGCGATTTCAGCAGCATAGAACCTCGCTCTGTGCTCGGGAAAGGACCGCTCTCTTTGTAAGTGAAAAAACAGCTGTAAAATTAAGATCATTCACAGAGTGAAACAAATATATTCTACAAATATAAAAATAGGGCTGGTTGGTGTTAACTTTGCACCAAAGCATGGAACTGTCTCTCTCCCTTGTCTGGGTCCCCAACTTGGCAATCACGGTCTCTCTTCAACCACACATCTTTCATTACCCTTGCTAACTTACTCATCTCCCATTTACCCTTCAGTCCTCAATGTGGCACTGACCTCACCACTCCGGGCACCCACTCTGGAAAAAAAACCACCAGTGCAGGCCAATGATCTTGACATTGCCATGTGCTTACAGTATCTTACTGGACCCATTTTGATGGTTCATTCCTTTGGAAAAACATCAAACACTATTCAGAGATTGGGAACTAGTGGTTAGCAGGCCAAATATAACCCACAGATATAATTTGCTTGAGCCAAATACTATTTTTAGAAAAAAAATCTACATTAAATAGTAACATATAAAAACTAGAAAAAGGTTTTGGTAAAAATTGGTTTCTTTTGGGGGGGAAAAAAAAGGCAGGGGGAAGCTCTGCATCATGGAGCCTAAATTCCAATGTGACAGCAAATGGCTAGAGCTAAGCAGGAGCTGCACTCTCCAGTTCATTTCTTACACTTCCGAATTCTGAATTTACTTCTTACAACCTGTCTGTCCTTTACGCATTAGGTGAAGTTTGCTCAACTTACTCTACGTTTCTTGGCCTCTAAGATAACAATCTGAAAAATAATTATTTCTGCCTAGATCTTCTACCTCTTGGAGAGCTCTATTTCCTCTCCTTTCTGCTCCTGACACTGCAGGGATTAGCAAGGTTTCTCTGTCCTGGGTTTCTCCTGTTATTCTTTGTATGCATACCATCCAGGTTACCAAATGCAATCGAATGACTAACCACCACCTCTATGCTGATGTCTTTCACGTGGACATCTCTAGTCCAGACCTATGCTTGGAGCTCGAACTGCAAAGACATGCTGCTCTTTTTTTTTTAGTATTTCATAAGCCAATAAATTCAACTTGTCTTCTCTTACAGACTACCGGTAACTGCTCCTGCGGTATCTCTCCTTTAATGACATCGCTTTCCACCCAGCCCTCTACGCCATGGGAGGTAACAAGATGTGGCAGAAAGAGTCAGATTTCACAGCTGATCAGATTTGGGCTCAAATTCTGATTCTTCCCTTTGGGTGTGTTTCTCTGATTTTCAAAGATTGTCCAAAAATTTTTTCTTAAACTCTTCTGAAAGGTGAAGATCAGTGCCAGATCCTGACAGAATTGAGCTCAAGGACCCTTCTGTCCGCAGGCTGATGTTCTATCCTCTGAGCCAAACTAGCTAAGGCTCTCCATGTCTTTATTCCTCTTCTACCTACTGCCCCACTCAACTCCTCCTCCACCCACTCCAACATTCTGTTTCATTCTCTTCCCCCTCTGGCTTATCTCAGATAAGGGTACCTTTCAGAAGACAAACACACCTCTAAATTTATGAGCAATCATTGTGTAAAAGGAACTCAGAAGCAAAGTCTTAAAGCAGCATGAAGAAACCACAGACAAAGCAGGAAACCTGCAATAGGATCTCATCTGCGATTAGAGGCCTCACATGACATTTCAAAAACCTATGTCTATGCTAAATCCAGGGTCTGACACTGACTAGAACATTGTGACACTGACAAAGTGACTTAGCTCCTCTGAGCCTTAATTCCCTTATCTACACGCTGGGTGTAAGAGTGTGCATCTCAAAGAGTTGTGATAAGCTCTACTGGGTAACTCAGTTGGTGACAGCATTGTTCCCATAGGCCAAGGCTGTGGGTTCTATCCCTGGTTAGGGCACATACAAGAATCAACCAATGAATGCATCAATAAGTGAAACAAACAAACAAACAAAATCTGTGTTTCTTTCTCAAAAATCAATTTAAAAGGAGTTGTGATGATTAATTTAAATAATGCATGTAAAATAATTACCAAGTACCAGGCCCTCAATAAACTCTCACTATATGTTGGCATGCGCACACCCACCCACCCACCCACACACACACACACACACACACACACACACTAAAATGACAACTTTTTAGGTGGGAACAATGTGGGGGCACCTTTATCTCTGAATCAGGGTGCCTGGGGCATTCTATAATTTTGCTCTACACTGAGAAGTTACAAGGCATTTTTGTCATGGAGGCAGGGGGTTGAATAATAATTCTTTTCATGATCTTACCCTCAAATGATCTATCCAATAGCTGTGTTTGATCACATGACAGTTTGTAGAATAGAAATTGGTCTTTTCTCTTGTTCCTTTATTCTACAGTTATGTGTACTATAGTAAGGATAAAATATTCTCTCTCCTCTCTCTCTCTCTCTCTCCCTCTCTCTCTCTCTCTCTCTATCTCTCTCTCTCTGCTTTGAGATGAGGGGATGGAAGATCCCTTTGTAAAGATATGAAAATACCTGCCGGTTAAAATAATTTTTAGAGATATTCACAGGTCAGAGATCAAAATCAATCAGAATGACATGAGAATTGAGAAGCAGAGAAATATGGGGTGGTCAGCTGCCTAGGTCCTGGAATCAGAAGGCCTGAGTTCAATTCCTGGCTCCAGTACTTACTAACCATACAACCTGAGCAGGTTAGCCAGCTTCTCTGTGCTCAGATTCTTTGTTTTACATAATAAAACTCTTGTTGAAGATAAAATAATACATACAAAGAATCAGAGTGCTGGGCCTATAAGTACTCAATGCACATTAGCTATTACTGTAACTGCTTTAATAACAGCAGCATTTCCCAAAATGTATTTCAATAACCCTTTAACCCAGAGTTTTGGGGAAAATTATTAACAGATTTGGTTCAAACAAACAAGGGGACTATGTGGTAAAAAAAAGTATTTTTATAGAATCCTGGCTAGCCCTCATCAGTTTGGCTCAGAGATTAGAGTGTTGGCCCGCAGACTTATTGGTCTCGTGTTCAATTCCGTCAGGGCGCGTTCACGAGGCAACCAATTGATATCTCTCTCACATCGATATTTCTCCATCTCTCTTCCTCCCTTCTACTTTATCCAGAAATCAATGGAAAAATATCCTCAGGTGAGGATTAACAACAATAATAATAAAAAGACATCCTGACTTTGTTTAAGGCAAATTGCTCAAAGTCTTTAACATGCTGAAACACACTGCGAATCCCCCAAAAACATACTATTAATAGTATGGGATAAAACAGTAGTCGGCAAACCATGACTCGCGAGCCACATGTGGCTCTTTGGACCCTTGAGTGTGGCTCTTCCACAAAATACCATGGCCAGTCTATTTTGAAGAAGTGGCATTAGAAGAAGTTTAAGTTTAAAAAATTTGGCTCTCCATCGGCCTGCGCGGCCTGCGGACTGAAAGGTCCCAGGTTCAATTCAGGTCAAGGGCACATACCTTGGATGCAGGCACATCCCCAGTGAGGGGGTGTACAGGAGGCAGCTGATCGATGTTTCTAACTCTCTGTCCCTCTCTCTTCATCTCTGTAAAAACTCAATAAAATATATATATTTTTAAAAATTTGCCTCTCAAAAGAAATTTCCATCGTTGTACTGTTGTTATTTGGCTCTGTTGACTAATGAGTTTGCCGACCACTGGGATATAACATGAAACTGACTTCACCACAGAACCCTTTATTAGAGGCTCATCTCATCTGATTAATAGTTTGAACACTTTAGAACATGACAGGCTAATATTATTTGACTTATATGTGGAATCCAATGAACAAAATAAACTGACAAACAAAATAGAATCAAAGGCATGGATGGTTATATGGGACAGACTGACGGCTGTCAGCAGAGAGCGGGTTTGGGGAGCTGGAAGGAAGAAGGTGAAGAGATTAAGCAAAGAAAAACAAAAACACACACATATAAAACACACAGACAAAGACAACAGTATGGTGACAGCCAGAGACAAAGGGGGCTGCGGGGAGGAGGAGGTGAGTAAAGCGGGGTAAGTGGAGATGGAAAGAGACTGTACTGGGCCATGGGCATGTAATGCAGTGTGCCCAGATGATAGTTTGCTGAGTTGTACACTTGAAACCTGTGTGACTTTGTGAACAATGTCACCTCAATATATCCAATAAAAATAAAAATAAATTTTTAAAAAGAAGAAGAAAATGACAGGGTATAGTAGTATTTATATACAAGTATTAAAGCAATAATTATCTAAATTATAAGTCATGTTTTACTCTGTTTCAGTATATTATTCTTGCTATATAGTAGTGCCAAAACTATCCATGAAGACTGTAACTTCATGTTAAGTTCCTTTTATGACCCTCCCCACCTACACCATAAGCTGATTTATAAAGAGCTTTGCGCTTATGTCATGTTTATTAGCCGCACCTTAAATACTGTTGCTACTCGACAAACAGAAGTTGATGCTGGACTAACCTTCCAAACATGTATAAGGAAAGAAAAGCTTTGACTTTATTCTATTTTTTTTCTAAACAGTGCCAATATTGTAAAACTAATAAAATAAAAGAAACTCACCTCCCCTCCATTAACAAAATCCAGAACAAAATAAAGCTTTTCAGTTGTTTGGAAGGAATAATGTAATCCAACCAAAAATGGATGCTTCACATTTTTCAAGAGCACGTTACGTTCAGCCATAATATGTTTTTGCTGTTAAAAAAAAAAAAAAAAAAAGTAAAGGATCAACTTGAATGATTCGCAGTAAAACAGTTTTGTTAACTGAAAAGAGGAGAAACAAAGCTCTTTCATGTCACCTCTCTTCTGTTGAGGACGATTTTTTTCTGTAACACTTTGACAGCATAGAATTTTCCATCCAGTTTCCGTTTTGCAAGAAGAACCTGTTTTAATTAAAGATTGTGCATACTATTAGAAATGTCAATACTAATTTACAGCAATAACTCGCTTGTAAATAAATCAATACTTAAATTGCATTAAAAAATCTACAAAAGACCTAGATAATATGAGGTTGTTTTGAAAAAATGCTAAATTTACTTCTATAAATCCACTTTTCCTTAAGCATTTTAATAAAACAAAAAAAGGATGTTGATCATTTGAATAGCCAGGCACCATTTCTTTGTGTGCTAATGTTTGAGATTCTTACTAAATTTAAGTACCAGAATCTATATCTATACTGCTGGAGATCTTTATGCGTGTGTGTGTGTGTGTGTGTGTGTGTGTGTGTAACCATGAGTCGAAGAGTGTCCTTAGAAAATACTGAGGCTATGCTGAAACCGGTTTGGCTGTGAATAGAGTGTCAGCCTGAGGACTGAAAGGTCCTGGGTTTGACTCCGGTCAAGGGCATGTACCTTGGTTGCGGGCACATCCCCAGTAGGGGGTGTACAGGAGGCAGCTGATCAATGTTTCTCTCTCATCGATACTTCTAACTCTCTATCCCTCTCTCTTCCTCTCTGTAAAAAAATCAATAAAATATATATATATTTTTTTAAATACTGAGGCTATAAGCTTCATGGCTACCTAGGAAAAAAAGGAGAAGAAAAAGGTTTCTAGATGATCAAAATAACTTTTTGTTTTAACTTTTAGGTTTCTCTTAGAGGCTTCAAATTCAGAAGCGTGGAGAGGAAGAGGCACCGTGGAGAGCTGAGTTGGGGGGCATGCACTTTCAAGGACCTGAAGAAGTGGAAGAGGATTTGGCCTCAGAACACAGGGAGACATACACTCAAGATTTGCAAGTACTTTTAAGGAATTCAAGATGACTCACAAGTTGTGCAACTAGTCAGTGATACATTCCCAAGCTTTCTAAGATGATCTGGCACAACAGTGACATTTCCGGGCCTTCCTTCCCTTCTCATACATCTGTCGTCATCCTCATCCAACCTGTAACCCAGTCTACGCATGAGAAACATCTGACACATCCCAACAGAGGGGCCTCTTCAATATCCCTAACTAAAGCTCCTCAAACCCATCAGTCCTCAAAACCAAGGAAAGTCTGAGGAACTGTCACAGCTAAGAGGAACTTAAGGAGCACACAACTAAATGTAATGTGGTATGGTGGATGAGATCTGAAATAGAAAAAGGTCAAAACTAAGGAAATCTAAATAAATAATGAACTTTAGTTAATAATAATGCATCAGCATTGGTTCATTAACAGGAACAAATGTGCCATACCTATGTAAGATGTTGATAAAAGGGCAACCTGTGGGTGTAGACTAGGGGACGGATTGGGAATTCTCTGAACTTTCTGTATTTTTCTCTTCATTCAATTTTTCTGTAAATCTAAAACTGTTCTAAAAAATGAAGTCTATTGATTTGGAAAAAAAAAAAAAAATGATTGTTATTCAAAGATGTAGTCAAAACATCTTTAGGGTGAAAATGGCCCGTGCTCAGCTGGTGGCATTCTTCTCATGCCCCATTCTTTTGTTCTCGGCACTATCTGACTCTGTTGAACGCTCTTTCCTTCTTACACTTTTCCTTTTCTCAGCACCTCACCCCTGCCTGACTTATCCGTCTCTATTTTCATTGGTTCATCTTCAAGTACATTCGGAGATAGTAAATCAAATAATGTGGCAACTAGGAAGTACTGATTTCCTTCAAGTAGGTATTTCCCCCCCACCCCAACCACAAATGGTTAACAAACAAATATGTAGGCCTAGCCAGTTTTGCTCAGTGGATAGAGCACCAGCCTGTGGACTCAAGGGTCCCAGGTTCGATTCTGGTCAAGGGCAAGTACCTCGGTTGCAAGCAAGATCCAAACCCCACTAGTTGGGCCAAGCGAGGAAAGCAACCAATCAATATATCTCTCTCACATCGATGTTTCTCTCTCTCTCTCCCTACTCCCTTACACTATGAAAATCAATAGAAAAATATCCTTAGGTTAGAACTAACAACAACAACAAAAAAAACACCACACACACAAATGCGCAAATGAAAAAATGAAACCAAGACCACTCGCTGGGGAAAAGGTAAGAATAAATGTTAGATTGCCATTATTTATTTTAGCTTATCATGCATATTTTTCTGTTTTTCAAACACATTGTGAATTTGCATTTTTCTGCTTTTCCTTCTTTTTGTGTATTCTGTTTCTCTTTGTTTTATTGCTCTTTGTTGGTTTCTAACCATTTTGCAAGATTTTTAATTTTTATTAAACAACATATAAGTAAAATAGCTCACAAATTATTATAATTCATTGAACACAATGAACACATTATGAACACATTATGTAACCACTATCCAGGTCAAAAGGTAAAACATTTTGGGTAGCATGAATTCCCTGCTTTAGCCCCATTCCAGAAACTACTCATCCCTGTCTTTCTCAAAGGTAACCACTATCTCAACTCATAATAACACAGTAATTTGATATTATCATTTACAATTTTTTTTTAATTAAAATCATGTAGTGTTGTCTCTGCCTAACTTCTTTCTCTCTAAATTATCTAATACCCATTCAAGTTGTGGCATGTCCTATAGTTTTTAAAATGTTTATTGCTATGTAGACTACTGCATTATGCAATTTAATCCACTTTGTTGACAGACATTTAAATTGTTGATTAATAACGATGCTATAAATATTCTGGCACATGCCTTTCCTAGTGCATATGTGCATGCATTTTTAAAAAAATATTTTTTATTGATTTTTTATAGAGAGGAAGGGAGAGAGATAGAGAGCTAGAAACGTCGATGAAAGAGAAACATCGACCAGCTGTCTCTTGCCCACAACCAACGTACATGCCCTTGACCGGAATCGAACCTGGGACCTTTCAGTCCGTAGACCGACGCTCTACCGCTGAGCCAAACCGGTTTCGGCTGTGCATGCGTTTCTGTTGGATGTATAGCTAGGAGTAGAACCAATGTGAATGTACTGCATACATTCAACTTCAATAAGTAACAAGTTTCAATCAGCATAAAAAAACACAATGTAGAGCAGTAAATATCTAATTAAAGATGTGTAAATAGGTCCTTGAATGTACATGCAATCCAGCCCAATATAGAACACTATGAAACAGTCCTGAGAAAAAAATAAAGATGAACTAAATTAACAGAAGGATATACCATGGTCATTGACTAGAAGACTCCGTAATGTAAAGATGACAATTCTTCCCCAATTGATCTACAGACTCAATGCAATCCCAATCAAAATCCAACAGAGACTTGTGGAAACTGGCTTGCTAATTTCTAACATTTATATAGATATGCAAAGAGCTAAGAGTAACCTCATGAAGAAGAGTAAGGAGGGAGGACTGGTTCTGTCAGAAATCAAGCTACATTTGTCAAGACAATGCGGTATTGGTGCAAGGATAGACAGACTACTGAAACACAATACACAATCTAGAAACAAATATAAAACGTAAAATCTACAAGTAGATCCAAGCACATATGGACACTGGAGATGTGATGAAGGCCACCCTACAGATCCATGGGGAAAGAACAGTCTTTGCAATAAATTATGTGGGATACATTAGCTATCCACAGGGAACAAAATAAACTGTGACCCTACTCCTCCTATTGTAGGCAAGAACCCACAACTGGTAGGCCCTAAACATGAAGTTTCCAAAAGATAATGTTTTTTGGTATTAATCACCGAGTATCTCTAACATCTCAAGGAACTGTGAGCATTTTGAGAGCACATCTATTTCTATTGCCCAGCATATAGCAGGTGGTCAAAATATAAATTTGCTGAATTAATGAACACACATGGATTTAGTTGCATGGCCACACTTTCTGGTATCTAGGGAACTCAGAAAACAAGCCAGAGATACAGAGAGCTATGAATACAGCAAACTATAATTAAATACATACATATTTATTTTGACTGCAGATTCAAGTATAATGCAAAAAAAAGCATTTAAATGTATTTTATGATTCTGATAACACCATCTATGACCCTTCTGGCCTTCTGGCCTTAAGTGATTGTCTTCCCCTGGTGGCCACACTGTCAAGTTAAATGATTCCATTGACACTCACTTCTGAGAAGTAGGGTCTTCACAGAACCTTTCCCCCCCAACTATTATTTACACAGCTGCTCACTGTTGTCCTTCTGCCTCAGCTTCAATAGCACTTCTTCAGAGAAGCAAATACTGACCCACCCATCTAAGCAGGGACGCCTCCCCAATCCCCATCCCACCTCCCACCGCCACTGCCTTCAGTTTTCTTTGCTCTATTCTTCAATTCCTTCACAGCCCCATTACTACTTACAATTATCTATTTGATTGCATATTTTTAATTGACTATTCCCACCCAGTAGGCTGAAAGCATCACAAACGCAGTAACTATGTCAGTTTTGTTCAGTATTATCTAAACAGGGCCCAGAACAGTGCATGGCACAGAGTAGCCACTCAACAGAAACTTTTTGAACAAATGAACTTTATGTTATAATTTAAGTAGGTGCCTTCCATCCCTAATTATTCTGTCTGTACTTTGAAGGTACAGAAAGGATCTTAACTCCATATCCTGCATATCAACAGGCATTGGGGCCTGGCAAGTATATAAGGCCTGCATTCCGTAAGTACTTATTTACTAAAGGAGAAAATTTCTTACCTTGCCAAAGCTGCCTTTTCCAATAACTTTTAAGAAGTCAAAGTCTGTTGGTTTAGCACTGAAATAAATGAACAACAAGAATGAGCCTCCTAGAAATCGGACAAATGTTAACTCTTAAACATTTCTCAGCACACTCTTTGACAAGTAAATTGTTGGGTACAAAACACTTCAGCATGATGACTTCACTTTCACACTAGTGGCAACTCATTTTTAATACAAATGAGGCAATACTAAGTAATAATATCTATTTTCTGATTTGATATTTTATAACATTATGCCTTGTTAAGTTCTGCTTACAAGAAACTTCAATAATAGCCCCATTAGAAGAAAATGGTACATCTAGCTTTGAACTCCAGGTAGCTTCTGTCTAACCCAATTTTATTAACTATAAACCTCACCAATATTGTTAATGAAACAACAAATAACTGTATAAATTAGTAATACATTCCAAGAACTCTCCAGTTTGGTAATTCTTCCAAAAAGGAAGTTAATGCTGAAAACACCTGGTAAAGTCACTAAGAAAAATTTCTGATAGAGGAAAAAAAAGTCATCACAGTGCTTTGCATACATATCACTTACTATGCATTACAGATAAAGACCTCTCTCTGCTTATTCTCAAAAGTGGTAATGTAGGAAAGCCAGGAGTAGAGAAGCCAGTGGGAATACTAATATTGTCCTAGTTCTACTATCCTGTCAGTAAAAAAAGCACTGGCTGAATGCAGACAAAAGCATAAAGTAGCAGAAAGTTGAGCATAAGCAGCCAGCAGAGCTCTTTCCTTCAACACGGTCCAAACTGCCAAGTTGTACAATACTAAGGAAAGGAGAATGACTCCAGTTAAGAGCCTAAATTTCCTTCAATTCATCATTGAAAGAGATAATAATATTCAAACATGAGAGTAACACCACGTCTAGGTTAAATAATAACAGGTGAAGGTTAGGGAAATAAATACTTAACTAAGCTTAGATGTTTTTTTCTTCTTCAAGAACGTGCTCTTTGGACTAGTTATTTTGTTCTTTAATGATATGCCGAGATACTGAAATAATTTTTTAAACAAATAGAATAGTGAAAAAAACATGTAAATCCCTCAGGTTAAACACACTAACTGAGGCCCCACTGTTAACTGCTGGTGATAAACCCTAATTGAAAGCAAATTTCCGTTTTTGTGCTGCCTGACCAGCTCAGTGGTATGATGGCAGTAAAACGCTCAAAACCAAACTTCCTCTTTTAGTTACCATCCCACTCCCGTGCTTCCTTTGGCAGCAAAACTCAAGTGAGTGGTTTCATCTCCTTGTCTATACCTGCTGTCCTCTCCTCCAGTTCTGTCTTGAACCCTTTCCTGTCGGGGTCTTTGTACCTGCCACACTGCTCATAACAGTCGCCAGTGACTGATCGGAGCCAGTGGTCGGTTCTCAATCTTCATCTTACTTGCCCTGTTAGCACTATTAACTGAGTCAATGACTTTCTTCACCTGATCGTGTGACACTGCATTCCTTGTCTTCCTCCTTTCTCACCACTTCCTCCTTCTTTAGTGCCCCTTACTGGCTCCTCCCTGACCTCCCTATAATGCTGACGTGTCCCGTGACCCAGTCCTTGGACCATGTCCCTTATCTGTCTATACTCACTGTTTAAGAGGACCAAAAGGGTGAGGGAAGCGTAGCATCCTGGGATAAAAGACAGAATACTTTAGAATTAGTCCAATAAGGCTGTAAAAATTATTTACAAGAAAGGATAGCAACAGTCCTTCTCTAACCAGGGCAGACATGATGAAACTGTTCAGGGCACTCCTCACACTGAGCCAAGAAGTGGCCTTGGAATCCTTTGTATCCGGTGTTCTGGGCATTCCCTTCCAATGAATTGCTACAGTTGACACTCAAGATGGAGTCTATAGTTTTCACTCCTGGGGTTCCTCTAAATGTTCCTCCCGTTTTATATTTGTTTCTAGATTGTATATTGTGTTTAAATACGGGAGCACCTGCATAAAGAATGTTGCGCAGCCTTTAATGAACTACTAGGAGAATACCAATTAGGCCTGCACGGATGCTTCTGTCAAACACTTCCCAAGTACCCCCAGGTCTTATGGTCCCCTGGGAAATACAGTCTACTGATTTTACACACACACACACACGCACACACACAGAGTCACAGAAAGAGAGTGAGAAAAAGACAAAGAGTGGGAAGTAACAAAAGTGAAATAGAAGCAGATTAATAATTTATGGGTTAAAAATGCCTTAGAGCTCTACTAAAGCAATAAAGCTAGAGCGATAAATTAGGCAAGCATAGGACTGTATTATATGCACTGTAGCTAGGGTTCTATCTCTCAGCCTTCCAGTTAAACTGGTCAAATTGTATCTGAACATTCACATAAAATATATATATATATATATATATATATAAAGGATTGTTTGAAAGGAATCAAACCTACTGAGGATTTCCAGACGGTCCCAGGTTGATGTTCTGTGAGGTAGAGTGTAGCTGTTGGAATGGGAGGGGGGGAGAAACACACATTAAAGTTCATAATGGAGCTTCAACGGTCAATGAATGTTTTCATAGCTGCACCAGATACGTGGTGTAGTGCCATGTGAAAGAAACCTAAAGCCCTAATCCTAAATAAACATACAGACTTACTTGGTACCATCCATAATCATTTTTATGATATATTTCAAGAGCAGCTACAAGGAAAAGGGTAAGGCAGAAATCAAGCTCCAAGTGGACAAAGAATGCAGTAAACTGGGGGAAGCTCTGTGAAAGAGGTGGGCACTGAAACCACAATTTAAGAGGGATCGTTTTCACATTTAAAGACCTGGTTGGGGGTGGGGGGAGATTATCTGGCGAACTTACACGCATGTATGCATGTCTCATGGACACAAACCAGAGTCTGGTGAAGGCCTGGGAGGGGTGTGTGCAGGGTGCAGGGGGTCAGTGGGGAAAAGAAAACAAAACAACAAAACAAAGGGGACATCGGTAAAACTGTCAACAATAAAGATTAAAAAAAATTAACCTGATTACAAATGGCTTTTGGTTTTCAAATTTTCCAACAAAGATGGATACTTTTACTAGAGCCTTATGTAATTACTAGAGGCCCGATGCATGAAATTCGTACTAGAGTCGGCCTTCCTTCCCCACCCCGGCTGCTGGCGCTGGCTTCCCTCCGGCACCCGGGACCCGGGCTTCGTCCAGAAGGTCATCCAGGAGGACGCCGGTCTAATTAGCATACTACGCTCTTATTATTATAGAAGATTTTTCATAATAAGCTCTAGGTATGAAACAAGCTTTGAAAAACTTCTTTACGTTAATCATAACCAATGAATTTTATCTGAGCAATTTCAATTTTAGAGACAAATATTATATGCATTTCGCTTAAATTCATCTGAAACTTAGGGCAATCTCCAGAATATAAGCTATTTTAAAAAATAAAGGACAAAAGTTCTGATGTATAATAATATGTTTCTTATGAAACAACATTGGCACCAAATGCATTTCCTAACAATACCTTTATGTGAAAAATCTTTCTGTAATAAAAGGTCAATCCCCAGAACACAAAAATATAAGGAACCATAATAGTCTAGCACAAGACAAAAGAAAATGGTTCATGAAATGAGAATTACCTTATTGTGGCATCATTATAACACAGAGTAATCTCCCCTCCCCAATTTTATTGAGATATAATTGGCAAGCAGCACTGTATAAATTTAGTTTAAGGTTTAGAGCATAATAATCTGACTTAATACCTAGATTATGTTTATATATTATAGTGTTCCATAGAATGTGATAACATAATCCAAATTACATAGTAATTTCAATATACTTATTCTTTTAATGACATGCAGAGAATTGGATCATGTTTCCATTCAATAAATTTTTCTTGTATAGATGAGAGAAGTGAATTCAAATAAGCATGAATTAAATAATAACATGAACAACTTGTCCCCTGAATTACATTAGCATGTAGTATGATTTTATTATTTGGCAATAATTTTTCCAGTAGAGCACATTTCTTTTTCTTTCTTTTTTTAAACATATTTTTATTGATTTTTTACAGAGAGAGGAATTGAAAGGGATAGAGTTAGAAACATCGATGAGAGGGAAACATCGATCAGCTGCCTCCTGCACACCTCCCACCGGTGATGTGCCCACAACCAAGGTATGTGCCCTTGACCGGAATCAAACCACGGACCCTTCAGTCCGCAGGCCGATGTTCTATCTACTGAGCCAAACCGGTTTTGGCAAGTAGAGCACATTTCTGAAATAATAATGAAAATTACTGGAGTACGTAATTAGGTAACTTTTAACTCTACCTACTATTTTTCTTTAACCAACACCATTTATCCCCTCCACCCTCCTCCACCTTCACCCACCCCCCCTCCTCTCTGCAATGACCACACTGTTGTCCAAATAAATGAGTTCTCTCTTTCCCGCTCCCTTCCATCCCCCAGCTATTTTTAAATATTACTTCAAATCACTAAACTGAAGATGAGGAATAATTTATTAACAGAGTGAACACTAATCAAGAACATATTTATTTACTTCTCTTGACCTCTAGTTTTCTCTCTATAAATAAGGGGTAGGTCCATATGCCTTCTAAGATATTATCTGGCTATTAACTTCATAGAGCTATTAACTTAAAAGTCCTAACTTGTAACTATTAATAAGTAATTAGTACAAGTATAGCTTGTTCCCTTTTTAAAAGAGATTATTTTTATCAGTATTTTAAAACTGCAAGATATCCTAATCTAAGTTTCAGATTTTATGGATGAAAAAAGAAAAAAGAAAGAAAATTCAGATCTAAAGCTATTAGTGACAGAATAGAAGCCTGGAGCCAGGAATCTTTCAGTTGGTTCTTTCTTTTATTCTTTTTTTTTTTTTTTTTTTTTTTTTTTTAAGAGAGAGAGAGAGGAAGGGAGGAGAGAGAAACACTGATGTGAGAGCAAAACACTGATCAGCTGCCTCCTGCATGTCCCTACCAGGGACCCTGCCCACAACCAGGCATGTGCCCTGACAGGGAATCAAAACAGCAACCTTTCGGTGCACAGGACAACACCCAACCAAGGGCTCAGTTTGGTTCTTTCACGGCCAGCTGTCTCGTATAGCAAGGTAAGGCATTCTCTAATTGACCTAAATCTATATATTCTCAATATGATTAGTAAGTAAAACATGGAAAACCATGGTTATATAGGTTCTTGTCCTTTAAAATATTTTTAAACAGTTTCATCTTTTCCACTTAATAACATATACTCATAGTTGAAAAATATGGAAAGAACTAGGAAGAAGACTTCTTTTAAAAAAAAATCCATAACTTTACCAACTGATAATTTTGTAAAACTTTAACAGTAATTTCATATACTGCAGTCTTTGCATAACTTTTCAAAACTGGCTGTAATCACACTATGTAAATATGCATATAAAATGTTATACCTTGATTTTGTATGTCAAAACTTAAAATACATCTCCAAAAATACTTTTTAAAAAATATATATTTTTTATTGATTTTTTACAGAGAGGGAGGGAGAGAGATAGAGAGCTAGAAACGTTGATAAGAGAGAAACATCGACCAGCTGCCTCTTGCACACCCCCTACTGGGGATGTGCCTGCAACCAATGTACATGCCCTTGACCGGAATCGAACCTGGGACCTTTCAGTCAGCAGACCGACGCTCTACCACTAAGCCAAACCGGTTTCGGCCAAAAATACTTTTTAAATGTATAGAGTCATACTATTTGATTGATGAATGTTTAACGTGATTTTACTTTTTCATTATAAATCACACGAAACCGAACATCTTTGTCTTTTCTCCATAGGAAGGATCTTTTCCTTTGCCTCAGCTCCCAAAGGACATGAAGTTATGTCTGCCTCAGATTGCCAAATTGTTTTCCAAAAGAGCTGCATAAGTTTATGACACCAGTAATGCCCACGGGTGCCCACTGCACCTTACCTTCTCAGTCCTACAGCATTTTATTTACGTTACATTTAGTTAACGTGGTAGAGGGAGGGGAAAAAAATCTCACTTAAAAATGTAGTCTTCTATTGGTACCAAGGCCGAATATGTTTCCATACATTTATTTAGAAACAATATTTCTTCATGTTGCTTTTCTTTTTTCTTTTTTTTTTTAAATCTACTGGGATCTTAAATACCATTCTTTTGAAAAATCCATTTATATGAGCTTTTTACATAGACACTATACCCTCTACCTCATTGGTTACAAATGCTTTTCCAGCTTCTCTTTGGACTAGTCGCAGAAGAATAAGATAAAAGCATTCTTCTGCGTTGTCCTAGGAGCAACCATGTCACGATGGAAAAGTTAAACCTGTTCTCTTAACTGAGAATCCCCTTGGGGCCTCAGAAAACATTACTACTTCCCAGCAGTTGCAAAAAAGGAATACATCTATTATCAAAGGAAGGTTTTAGCTGTGGGACAATCATGTTCCAACTCTTAATACGTATTATCTTTTAAGTTACAAAAAGAGAACCATGACACAATTAAAAGACATTATAAAAACAAAAATGCCCTTCAACCCCAAACCTCTGATTTGCATGTATATATTTTAATAATCAATTTTGAATTATAAAGGTATTATCATATTTATAACACTTGTAATTATTATTTGAATTGCTAACTAATAACCTGTCTAGTGAAATTATTATAATTTACCTTTCCCAGATAATTTTTAGAGTAAATATAGAAAATAGCTTCATAATAAGGCATGAGCTTATTATATTTATCTTATTTTAAAAAATAAAAATATCCGCCCAGCCGGTGTGGCTCAATGACTGAGCACTGACTTTTCAACCAGGAGGTCACGGTTCGATTCCTGGTCAGAGCACATGCCTGGGTTTTGGGCCCAATATCCAGTAGGGGGTATGCAGGAGGCAGCTAACCAAGATTCTCTTTCATCACTGATGTTTCTATCTCTCTTTCCCTCTCCTTTCCTCTCTAATATCAATAAAAATATATTTAAAAATTAAATCAAAATAAATAAAAATTAAAATATCCTATTCAAGTATAATGATGAAGATGCAGTCACAGTGACAAAAAAAGAGATGTAAAATGAAGAGAGTGGAATACAAAACTGTATACACTATATTATTAGAATTAGATAATTTGAAAAATCACTATATGTTAAGAGAAGATTAGAAAGAAAAATCACTAAAGTGTTAAAAATTACTTGGGTTCTGATCATATGGGTGTTTCCCTTCTTACTATTTTCAAAACTAATTAACATGTATTACTTTTTATTATAAAATGTGCTCATTTATAAATTTTATAATAGTGATCAGTAAGAAGTATGCACTTTTGTTTTTATGTATTCTACAGAACAGAAAATTTACAATGGATAAAATGGCTTTGTTTTAACTATATGTCCTAAAGTTGCCAATAACTTCATCTTTGGGTAATGGTATTTTTTTTCTGTTAAAAAATACATTCCATTTTAACTACCTTCTCAGTACTTCTTTCATCCTCATCTTCAGATGGATCTGACTGGTGTTTCGGACTGTCCATTTGAAGGAATGCTCTGACATCTGGACTAAAAACAAAAATTAACTTTGTTAATAATATTCATTATTATAAAAGGAATAAGCAATTTATTTTAAAAAAATGGAGAACCTAACATGGGCAAAGGCATAAATAGTCAGTTCATAGAAGACAAAACCCAAACGGTAAGAAAATTTATCAAGATGCCTAACTTCGCCGAAACCGGTTTGGCTCAGTGGTAGAGCGTCAGTCTGCAGACTGAAAAGTCCCAGGTTTGATTCCGGTCAAGGGCATGTACATTGGTTGCGGGCACATCCCTGGCAGGGGGTGTGCAAGAGGCAGCTGATCGATGTTTCTCTCTCATCGACGTTTCTAGCTCTCTATCCCTCTCTCTTCCTCTCTGTAAAAAATCAATAAAATATATTAAAAAAAAAAAAAAAAAAAAAAAGAAAAAAAGATGCCTAACTTCACTAAAAGTACAAGAAATACAAATTAAAATAACAATGAGATAATGAGATGCCACTTTATGTCCATTAAATGGCAAAAATTAGAAAGATAGATAGTATCAAAAGTTGGTAGGCATATAGGGAAAGAGATATCCTCATGTATTACTGGTGAGAATGTAAAATAGGCACGTTTTCTGAAAAGCAATCTGGCAGAACTTGGTGAGTCTGTGTATGCATTTCCCTGACCCAGAAATTCCAGTTCTAGGAACAAACCACAGAAAAAAAAAATATGCCCGGGTTCAATGAAAGGCCCATAACTAGAATACTCATTGCAACACTCCTTATAGCAGTGAATCAGAAGCAAAACAGCCATCTACCTCTAGAGAAATGAGAAGGCAAGCTTAGAAATTGCCTACAGCAGGCAGACACAAGGAACTACAGCACAGTACCATTTATGTGTGTACGTACGTATATTAAATACTTAGGAACACAAAGCAACAGTCAGTTAACAGGTATTCAAAGACATGTAACAAACACATTCATGTGGGCATCAATAGAGGAATGAAGAATTGTGAGTGAAGATCAAAGATGGAGAGAGAAAAATGGACTAAAATAAAAGAGGGGCTTTGTGTGGACGAACGACAATCCCAACAATCCTGAGCAATGATTCAATCTCTGTATCAGAGGAACCATCTACCAAATTGTTCTCCTCCTCCTCTTCTTTTTAACATGGAACCGCTTCATGAATTTGCGTGTCATCCTTGCACAGGGGCCATGCTAATCTTCTCTGTATCGTTCCAATTTTAGTTATACGTGCTGCCGAAGTGAGCACATCTTTTTTTCTTCTTGAGATATATCTGATTATTTGTATGTATTGTAAAATGATCACAAGTCTAATTAATATCCATCACAGTTACAATTTTTTTTTCTTGTGGTGAGAATCTTTAAGATCTACACTCTTAGCAAGTTTAAATACAGTGGTGCAAAAGTAGGCTTACAGCTGTGAGTGCGCAGAACAGAGACTATTCTTGTACAATTATTTATTAACTAGAGGCCCAGTGCACGAAATTCGTGCATGGGCAGGGTCCCTAGGCCTGGCCGGCCATCTCCAGCTCTGGTTCCTGTGCATGCAGGAGGCAACCGATCAATGTTTCCCTCTCTCATCAATGTCTCTTTCTCTTGATCTCTCACTTCTACTCTTTCTAAAAATCAATGGAAAAATAATCTTGGATGAGGATTAACAATGCAAAAAACAAAATAAAACAAAACAAAACCCAAAAAACAAAACACCAGGGGGAAATGATTGAGGAATATTTTACAAACACACACGCACACACACACACACACACACACACACGTGTGTAGCACAATGACATTCCACAGAACATATAAAATCTGCACCAGTAACTTAATTCAATAGTCTTAGGTTTGGTTTCAGTGCCTCTTCAGAACACAATGAAAATTACTTACTGGTTGTAAAGCTCTGGATGCCTAACTAAGTTCTGAATGAATTCATTTAGTCCTGCTCTTCTTTGTTTGATAAAATCTGTTAAGAGAGATATCCGCTATTAGGATTATTTATGTCAGACCATGTAATTATCAATACAGTTATGTAAGAACAGATAAGAGCCATTTCTTAATTTATGTTTCTTGATTTACAATTAAAAAAAAAAACAGCCGAAACCAGTTTGGCTCAGTGGATAGAACGTCGGTCTGCGGACTGAAAGGTCCCAGGTTCGATTCCGGACAAGAGCATGTACTTTGGGTGTGGGCACATCCCCGGTAGGAGGCAGCTGGTCAATGTTTCTCTCTCATCGATGTTTCTAGCTCTCTATCCATCTTCCTTCCTCTCTGTAAAAAATCAATAAAATATATTTAAAAAAAAAACACACAAAAAATAAAAAACCAAATACTTAGAAATATATATTTTAAAATCCATAATAAAATGATTATAAAAATAAAGTAAAGCAGATAGCATATCTCCCAAAAGAAAATTCTCCAAAAAGAGAGACTATTTTAGGTTCTAAACAGATTCACTACAAAAACTGGGAGCATTTGCTTTTTGTCCTATGCTACCAAGTAAGAAATAAAAATTAACACTATGACACTGGTGACTGAAAAAAAAAACAAACATGCTAATTAAAAAGAAAACAAGAATTACAGGAAATCCTTGCAACTGGGGAATGATTAATCGGTTACTTGAGTTTCATAAAAACTTTGATGCTAAAAAACAAACTCACCCTTAAAAATACACCAGAACACTAACAAATAATTGTCCTAACAAATAACTGTCCAGTATCTTCAAAGTGTTTTGACTTTCATGCAACAGCAGTTTAGCAATAAAGGGTAAGCACAAGGTTTCTTAGAATTTGAAAACTGTATTCAAGTATCTTGTCTCTGCTACTTATTAGCTAACTGACCTTGAACCTTTCTAAGATTTAAATCCTTATAAAATGGGAACAAGAACAATAATATTGTTATCATATTATTGTTACAGGATTAAATATGATTGCATATAATTTTACAGTAGAATGCCTGGTAGAAAAGAGCACAATCTTCAGCTATTACTATTTTTGTTGTTTTTGAATCAAAAAGCCATCTTCCTAAACTCAAATTCTTAAGAAATACAAATGGTCCCTGACTTAAAAGGTTTGACTTAGGATTTTTCAACTTTACAGTGGTGTGAAAGAAGAAATCATACTTTGTATTTTGATCTTTCCCCAGGCTAGCAATATGCAGTATGATATTCTCTATGGCAACAAGATGATTTTGTCAACAACAGACTAATGTAAGTGTTCTGAACATATTTAAGGTCAAGGCTGGTCTAAGCTAGATGTATTCAACTGGGTGTATTCAATGCATTTTCAACTTACGATATTTTCAACATACAATGGGTTTATCAGAATGTAATATAAGTCAAGGAGTACCTGTATATTCTAAAAATTGAAGCAATAGGAGACTTGAGAGAGTATCTTAAAATAGTGAATGTCTCCATAAAAACCTACAAACAACATTCAACTTAACAGTGAGTTTTGTTTTGTTTTTTTTGTTTTTGTTTTAAATATATTTTATTGGCCAAAACCGGTTTGGCTCAATGGATAGAGCATTGGCTTGGGGACTGAAGGGACTGGGTTCGATTCCGGTCAAGGGCATGTACCTTGGTTGCGGGCATATCCCCAGTAGGAGGTGTGCAAGAGGCAGCTGATCGATGACTCTCATTGATGTTTCTAGCTCTCTATCTCTCCCTTCCTCTCTGTACAAAAATCAATAAAATATATATTTTAAAAAAAACAATAAAAAAATTAAAAATTAAAAAAAATATATATATTTTATTGATTTTTTACAGAGAGGAAGAGAGAGGGATAGAGAGTTAGAAACATCAATGAGAGAGAATCATCGATCAGCTGCCTCCTGCACACTCCCTACTGGGGATGTGCCCGCAACTAAGGTACATGCTCTTGAACGGAATCGAACCCGGGACCTTTCGATCTGCAGGCCGACGCTCTATCCACCGAGCCAAACCGGTTTTGGCTAAATAAAATGATTTCTACTCAACAAAGTTTTAATATAGTGTTTTTCACCCCAATTATGGGTTGCTTCTAGTCATGTAGGTTTTATTTCCATGTAAGGTTGGATATAAAAGAACAAATATAAATTAGATCTGGTCTCTTAGATACAAATGCACGTGGCAGCTTTTTCTTGTTCAACTACGGATTTCTTGAAGAATTGAGGAAGGTATCTTGTAAAACTCTTCCAAGGGCATTCTTTATATCACCGGACATAAGGCATATGTGAGGTTTTCATTAAAAACTATACTTTAGCCAGTGTGGCTCAGTGGTTGAGAGTCCTATCAACTAGGAGGTCACAGTTCGATTCCTGGTCAGGTCACATGCCCAGATTTCGGGCTTGATCCCTAGGGAGGGGAGGGGGGCGTTGGTGCAGAAGCCAATCAATGATTCTCATCACTGATGTTTCTTCTCTCTCTCTCTCTCTCTCTCTCTCTCTCTCTCTCATTCTCTCTCTTTCCCTCCTTCCCTCTCCTTCTTCCCCTCCCTCTCCCTCTCCCTCTCTCCCTTCCTCTCTGAAATAAAAAATATATTTAAAAACCTATACTTGAAAGACAATATGTTTTCAGAAACTGGATTTAGTAACATAGAGGGAGATCTGAAATGAATGACTATATTTGAGATATCTAAGTAAAATCTAGTGATTACATGGAAGCACCTCTGAATTGCTGTGTGGACTTTCCCTGACGGTACATTTGATCCTGGGAGATGGGCTGGGATAAGAGAAAGTGATTTGCTTTCTTCAGGGAGCTGTACCCCCTGCTGCACTAACAGCTACTTGTCTCTCCACTTCATTATTGACTTCAAACAGCTTTGAAAGCCCTATAGGAGATAAATAGAAGAAGTCAGTAATGAAAAACGAAGGTCAGTAGTAGTCAGAATGTAGGGGCAATTCCAAGTTTTTAAAAAAGCTGCAGGCATTGTATAAGGAATAAAAGGAGAATGTTCTAGATCTAGAAGAAAGGAAGAAGGCTACTACTATATATCTCCAGGCCTAGTAGACGGGAGAGTGATGATAACAATGGCCTAGAGAATCCAGGCTTCAGATTAAGGGTATAGAGAGTAATAAATAGACACAATAAAAATAAAAAATAAAGCAATTATAGTTGGAGCCCTGGCTAGGCGTCTCAGTTGGTTGGAGCGTCGTCCCAGGCACCAAAAGGTTGTGGGTTCGACCCCCAGTAGAGGTGGGTATGTGAGGCAACCGGTTGATGTTCCTCTCTCACATTCATGTTTCTTTCTCTTCTTTCCTCTCGCTCTAAAATCATATCCTCGGATGAGGATTACAAAAAAAAAAAAAAAAAAGGAATTATTGTTAGAGATAATATATTTTTAAAAATCTCTCCAATTAAAAATGTATGTAAAACATACTTAGAATTTTACTGTATTTTTCTTATACTATTGAGAACAATAAAATGTATTTTAAATAAAATTTAATAATATTCCATTTAAAATAAATTTAACTTAAATTATTAAAAAAAAAGAATTTATGTGAATGTATCTGTTGTTATTCAAGAGTTTTCATTAGAGGTCCAAAAGAATATAGTGCTTAGATAATAAAATGAAAGCTTTTGTCTCCCCAGAATAAGTATTAAACTGACCTATAAAAGATTTCTTTGTCATTTTAGTGCTTCTAGAAAAGTCATCCAAGAGGAGAGACAATCTCTCACCACTGTGGAACGGGAGGTAAAAAAACAAACAAAAAAAAGAGACCTTGGGTTTTTTTGTCCTAACACCATACTTATGGTCAGAGTGACCTGGTTATAGTCACGATCAAAGGATTTTGAGAGCCCGCAGGGACCACAAAGATCCTTCATCCCTAACGCACACATTTCAGACCCGGAAACAAGGTCCGAGTTCTGTAATGTTCCAAACAAGTAACTTTGAAAGAAAACGCACAGTTTATGAATTTTGTTTCTAAAGGCACCGTGTTTTAAGCAGAGAATATAGACCAAGGGAATAAGAGAGACAAAAAATCTGGATGAGTAATTCCCCACATATTAGCCGTGAGGCTTGGAGAGTGGCTTAGCCTCTAGTTTCCTGTGAATGATGTAGTTACAAATGGGAATAAAAATTTTACATTTAGCTGAAACCGGTTTGGCTCAGCAGATAGAGCGCTGGCCTGCGGACTGAAAGGTCCCAGGTTCGATTCCGGTTTAAGGGCATGTACCTTGACTGTGGGCACATCCCCTGTTAGGGGGTGTGCAGGAGGCAGCTGATCAATGTTTCTCTCTCATCGATGTTTCTAGCTATCACTCTCTCTTCCTCTCTGTAAAAAGTCAATAAAATATATTTTTTAAAAATTTTTTTTTAATTTACATATACTAGGGCAGTGTTCGGCAAACTCATTAGTCAACAGAGCCAAACATCAACAGTACAACAATACAACAACAGTATAAGAACTGAAATCTCTTTTGACAGAAAAAAATTTTTTAAACTTCTTCTAATGCCACTTCTTCAAAACAGACTCGCCCAGGCCGTGGCATTTTGTGGAAGAGCCACGCTCAGTGGGCCAAAGAGCCGCATGTGGCTCGAGAGCCGCAGTTTGCCGACCACGGTACTAGGGGAAGTGAGAAGCCTCACCAATCCTGAGCTTCATACAGTGTAAAATAAATAAACAAATAAATAAGAGCTTCCAGTTGAGAGGGTTACAAGGGATCAGCCCGCACGCATGCAGCCTCGGGGGGAACACTAAGTTTTAACTAAAGCAGGAAGGTGAGAGCAATATGGAAACGATGACGGACGAAGAGAAGGTTGTTCGTTGTCGGCAGAATTCCACACAGTACACTGGAAAGGTTGGGGAGGGAAAGAATGGGGAAAAGTGCGATAAAGATAAGCAACTCGAGAGCAATTTGACCTAGAGCGGACATGTCGGGAACCACGGGTTCAATGGGCTACAGGGTTACAAGCAGATTAACGGAGGAAGTGAGACGGTGCGGAGGGAGGGCTCCCTGGTTTGTCAGGATTCACCCGCTATGCAGGTAGATGACTTTTCTGGGAGGATGCCTGCTAGAAAAGCAGACTCTGTCTCTCTGTAAGCAGCCACTTGTGACCTGGCCTGATTTCTCGGATTCTAGCGAAAAGCTCCGGGCTTGGGGCTCCAGATTCCTGAGGTCCTTTGTGACATTACACTCCCCAAGGGTGAGCAATAGGGCATTTTTTTTTTTAACATATGTTTTATTGATTTTTTTACAGAGAGGAAGAGAGAGGGACAGAGAGTTAGAAACATGGATAAGAGAATCATCGATCAGCTGCCTCCTGCACACCCCCTACTGGGCATGTGCCCGCAACCAAGGCACATGTCCTTGACCGGAATCGAACCCGGGACCTTTCAGTCCACAGGCCGACACTCTATCCACTGAGCTAAACCGGTTTCGGCAATAAGGCATTTTTTAGTATCCCATTCAGAGGCTTGTAGAGGGGCTAGTACAGAGTACACTTTCAATAAATGCTTCTCGATGTAACAAAGAACGCCCTTCGTGGTTATCCAAGTACTCAAAAAATCCTTCATGACAAAAAAAAAAAAAAAAAAATGTCTCTGAAACCAGACTGGTTAAATTTAACTTCCAAAACTGACATTTACTAGATGTCTGTGACCCTAACTATGCTTCTGTGCTTCTGTTTCCTTATCTATAAAATAGTGATGATAATAATACCCAACTCAAAGGGCTGTTGTGAGGACTCAATGAATGACAACACGTGACATGTTTAAAACAGTAAGCACCTTCCTGAGACATTCTTTTCCTGGAGCCTGAGACTAATAAGCTTGGTAAGCTTTTGTATTAGTATACAGTGCACAGTGAGTGAGTTAACTATGTCTTCAAACTTCAACCATCACTGATGTCTGGGTCTATGAAATTACTGCTTACCGGGATCAAAATTATCACCAAATATCCGCTTGGCAGGAATCTTCAGGGCCATAGTGGGAAACTGTTTCTTCAACTAGGGTTTTAAAAAGTAACATCACGTGAAGTTAATTTCGCAAGTCTTCCAGTTATGCACGCAGCAAAATAAAATACAATCTATTTGCAAGCAAGTCCTCTGTAAGACATACTTTTAACTATGTCATGACCCAATGTACAGTATTAAGTTATACCAGTAAAATACGATAGTCGGTCTAATCATCTTATTTTGTGCCAATAGGACACGTAGCAGCTCTGTGACCTTGATAACTTACTTCACATCCCTGTACCTCTGGGTTCTTGCCTGAAAAATAAGGGATAATTGTAGCACTCACCTTACAGACCTTGTTGGGAGGCTTGAAGGAAACCATTCACGTTAAGTGCTTAGACTAGAATCTAGGATGTAGATTTTGAATACATATTACTCACCATTTATTACCTCAGGGGAAGATGTGATCTTTTGTGTTCTCTCTATATGAACAAATTGATAATTGTTTTCTAAGAAAGCTGATGAATTTTGCTTTTTAACGTTCTCTACTTCAGCTGTTCTATTATAGAACATTTATGGGATTTGTTTATCCCCAGAGAAGGAACTAGGCCCTTTGTAGCAGTAAAAGTCATAAATAAGGGTTAATGCTTATTTTTATTATAACCTTCAGGTAAAGAGTCCTCCCTCCCCCCCCTCTCTCTCACACACACACACACACACACACAGAAACTATGTCTCTAACTACCAACGGACAGGAAATAGAAAGAACAGAAGAATGTATTAATCACTCTGCACCACTGGCATGCTATCAGGAAAATCCAGAATGAAAAGTCTGTAGACAAATGACACTGCTTTTTCCACAAAAAGCTGTAAAGGAAAGATAAGAGAGGTGGACGATTAAAAGACACTCAATAGACCTATCAACCAGTCACATGAATACTGAGTGATTATTTGATGGTAAGACATCACCACTCATTTAGTTTTAGATGTGACAATATTATGTGTGTGTGTGTGTTTCTAAGGACTTTTATCTTTTTTTAGAGATGATACTAAAATATTGCAGATGAAATGATATGATGAATGAATTTTTTAAAACTATATTTTATTGATTTTTTACAGAAAGGAAGGGAGAGGGATAGAGAGTTAGAAACATCTATGAGAGAGAATCATCCATCAGCTGCCTCTTGCATACCCGCCACTGGGGATGTGCCTGCAAACAAGGTACAAGCCTTTGACCGGAATCAAACCTGGGACCTTTCAGTCCACAGGCTGACGCTCTATCCACTGAGCCAAACTGGTTTTGGCTGATGAATGAAATTTGCTTCAGAATTACAGTGGGCCGGCTAGGGCCAGAGATGAAACAAGAATGGCCATTTAATTGTTGAAGCTGGATGGTACATTATATTATTTCTGTGTTTGTACGAGTCGTTCTACCTCTATAGTATTCAGCAATTTCTACAATAAAAAGTTTAAAAATGTAAACAGTCATAAAAGCACATTTAACTGATAATTAAAATGCTCAGAGATTGGCAATTATATTTTTGTCTTTTATTGTAAAAGAACCATAAGAATTTGTATTTTCAAACTTAGGGAAATCAAGCTTAGTTTAAACTCACTCCTGTAGTGAGTTTAAACTAATACCATTCCCCTGTTTTTGTCTTTCCCCCTCCCCTCAGGAGGCAGAATTGAAAGGGGTTATATAAATGAGAAAGGCAGACACAAAAAACGAGGAAACGAGAAGAAGAAAAAAACAGAACAAAAAAGGAGAAATATAGGAAAAATGAGGAAGATGGATAATAAAAACTCAACTACAGACTGAGAAAATTGTCTACAAAAATACTTGAAATGGGATGTTTGATGGAAAAAGAGAAAAAACATGATCATGGTGGGGAAATGCCCAAAAGAAACATTCCTACTTTACGAAAAGATACTCAAATAAAGATAATCCACCCAATTAATCACCAGATGTTTAAAAAGAAACCATCCCAAGGATGCTAAGCTTTGAACTCATGCAGACTCTTTACTGGTCAGTTTTTGGATGACATCCCCTATAGTTCTACAAAAGGAGACATGTTTAGAAGTTAAATCTGGCCTATGTGATCTTTTAAGCAAAATACATAAAGAAATCTCAAATTAGTAGCTCACTGAACAAAATCTGGTCTCATCTAAATTCATATAAACTCTCTGTGTTTATGGGTGTTGGGTGTATGGGTGTTGTTACCATCATGCTATTTTTACCTGAGTATAACTCAGCTATCCTGATAGGCAGATGTAAAAAAAAAAAAGAAAAAAAAAAGCTAGTCATGTACATTATGGTATCCAAGAATTTCAAATAGAACTAGCAATTCAACCCTCACCCAGCCTCTAATATACACTTTTTTTTTTTAATCACTGAAAAAGATTACAGAAGAATATTCTCATGTATAAACTCTCTGGCTTTTAGTCTGTTTAAAAAATGTGACTTCACTTCGAGTAAAAAAAAAAATGACTCCCTTAATATGTTAAATATTGACTAAGTAATATTAAAATTATATACAGTAAGTTTCAGTTGCATATGCATTAAAGAAAAACTAAGTAACAAAAAAAAGCACAATAAATTTAACCAGAAATACCATGATGATTAGCAATTATTAGAGAGGTAGATGTAAAGGATTTATTTCTAATATCCTATAACATTAAAATATATTTTAAGTTAGAATATTTTAAACTACATCTGGTTTCCATACTTTCAATACTTTATTTGGAACTTGTCAATGGTACCCTCTCCATTCTTTTGTGTAAAAATTCCAAAGTTAGAATGCTTTTGAAGAATCTCTTACTCTTTTCCGCTTCTCTGATATATCTGAATATTATTTAATCACTCAAGTAAAATCTCTTATTTTTGAGTTTTCTCAGGTGTTTTAAATAAAAACCTCGTAAACTGACCATTACTTACCGTATTGTAAAGCTTATCAAATTCTGCATATCTTCTGAAGACAAACCACTCGCTCCTGCCCACTGAGACTAGAACTTTATAAACCTGTGAAAACAAAAAAATAATAAAAACAACATATTTGATTACAAAAAAAAATTAACTATTTAAATATGTGAATGTTTTCATACTCATGAAACTAATATTATACATAAATGTTTATATATGATTCTCCAAGATACACAAACCCATACCAACTGAAATACTTTATCTTGTTGAAAGGTGACCTTATATTTTTAAAATGCTATGAAATAGGTCTATAATTTTCAAAGAATAGCACAGTGAATACTGAGTACTCATTATTTAGATGAATTCTATTTCGCCTTTCTTGTTTCAGATTTTCCTGCCAAGAATAAGACATCATAGATTCAACTGAAGATATTCTCTATTCTCCAGCTAGTCATGTACTGAACCTATAAAGTATTTTCAAAAGTGATGCCTGGCACATAGGAAATGCTGTTCTTAGCTCTCCTTCTCCCAGGTCATCTTTTACATGGTAGTTTTCAAACTAAGAATTTATCCTCAGATTTCCTCCTACTACCTTAGTATTTTCATATATACGTAACTGCATACAATCATAGTCAACAACCCTATGAAGTAAGCAGAACAAATATTAACCCCTCCCCCCACGGTACAGATGAGTAAATGATGGCCAAAAAAAGTTACACAACTTGCCCAAGTACACAGACTTGTGAGACTAAGATCTAAATCTTCGAACACCCACGGTGTGTCAGAATCAGTATCAAATCATCAACAGTTAAATTATAGAATCAACTCTCACAATTCATCCCATGGGTACTCTCAGATTATAATTTAATATACCAATGTAAGGAAAACTGTTTGGGACCCCAAAATATCATATCATTTCAAGAGGAAAAATATCAGGAGTCCAGGTTTATGAGAAAAGACTCGCTGACAGATGGCTTGTGTTACCAGTCTCATCATTTTACAGCGTAAGACTAGGGGAAAGAGATATGAGCTGCTTTGGGGTTTATAATACAATTGCCCACAATCTGTTAGATGAGTTAAAGTAAACCAGGTTCATTTTGGAAGAAGGGTAGACACTTATAAACTATCCTTTCCTAAGAAAGACTGGCAAGCTATACTCACAAGTTCATAGTTGGATGATACTGTGAGGAAAGGAACTCCCTGATGTATGTGATTATACTGTACGAATTCTGTAGTATCGTTTAAGATATAATCACACTAACTGGCCAACAGTGGGAGGAGTCAAGTGTTCACCTGGAAAGTGAAACAGTCGCTAGGATCAGACACCTAAGGGATGAACCACCTAGAGCAGGGGCGGGGAATCTTTTTTCTGCCAACGGCCTTTTGGATATTTATAACATCATTTGCAGGCCATACGAAATTACCAACTTAGAAATTAGCCTGCTGTATTTAGTCAAACATTTAATTAACTCACCCCGAATGCCTTGGCAAGGTTAGGCCGAACGATTTTGAGGAGCTTATACGGCCTGCAGGCTGGACGTTCCCCACCCCTGATCTAGACTGACAGAAAAGAGCACCCTCCAGGAGCCATAGGTTGGTGATATGGCTCTTCTGGTCCTAACCAAGGTGTCACGCTGTCTTAGAGGAAGCTACTGGCTGTAAGATGTCAGAATTGTTTGTAAGATGACACTGCTTGCCAAAACCGGTTTGGCTCAATGGATGGAGCGTCGGTCTGCGAATTGAAAGGTCCCGGGTTCGATTCCGGTCAAGGGCATGTACCTTGGTTGCAGGTATATCCCCAGTGTGGGGTGTGCAACAGGCAGCGATCAATGATTCTCATCGATGTTTCTAATTCTCTATCCCTCTCTCTTCCTCTCTGTAAAAAATCAATAAAATTAAAAAAAATTTTAAAAAAGATGACACTGCTCACATGGAGAGTGTGCAGAAGTAGAGGATCAAGAACCTGGTCAAGGTGCCAGTGAAGGTGAGGCATGCTTCTAAGACGAGACTACATATTTACCTCATACATCATTCAGGATTGAACAGGCCCAGTGCAGGACTGCTACAAGAGGATCGGAAACTTGGGTTTCTCCGATGTCAAGCTTCTTGAATTACTTGTGCCAATTCCTGGTGTGGTAAGCGGCTTCCCATCACTACCCCAGTACAGCCAAACTAGAACCCAAGACTGGCTTCCAGGCTGAAGCAGTTCTGCTACAGATATATTTACAGGAGCTGAGATAAAGCCCTGTGAATTGTTAATTAGCAGTAGGATTTATTAACAAAGATTTATTAAGTTCTAATTTTAAAAATCAATAAACCGAAACTGGTTTGGCTCAGTGGATAGAGCGTCGGTTTGTGGCCTGAAGGGTCCCGGATTCGATTCCGGTCAAGGGCATGTACATTGGTTGTGGGCACATCCCCAGTAGGGGGTGTGCAGGAGGCGGCTGGTCGATGTTTCTCATCGGCATTTCTAGCTCTCTATCCCTCTCCCTTTCTCTCTGTGGAAAATCAATAAAATATATATTTATTTTAAAAATCAATAGACAACAAAAACTTCAAATTAAAAAAAATACTTTAATTTACCAAAAAAATCACAAGATTTCACAGAAAGCAGTATAATACCTAATACAATATGAAATGATCTTACTGAATTTTAAAAATATTTCCTAACTGTTTGCCTTGCCCCACCATAGAATGTAAGTTCCTTGAGAACAAGGGCTGTGTCATTCTTGCTAACTGCTATACCCCAGTGCCTAGAACAGTGTTTGGCATAACAAAGAAACTCAATGACAATTGATTGAGTAGATAAATGAAAGTATAATTTAGACTTGGTTTAAGTCAAGACATCCTAGGATGCAATTCTGTTAGAAGCTTCACAGTGTAGAGCTATATAAAAGGCGTATGAGAATTACCTCGACCATGAAAATTAGGAGGATACCTGAGATAACCTACTGACAATATTTGCTAAGTATGAACTTCCCTCAAACTTGGCGAGAGGTTATGCCCTCGAAGGAGAGAATGGCCTGAAGGTAAAAGTAAGGATGGGAAAGGAAGGAAAACCTGCACACATTTCACTATTTCATCCAAAGTACACCGACCTCTTTTTACCATCCATGTGTTACTTCTAAATGTTGCTGATACAAAAGTGGATTAAATGCACACTGCTTGTTAAGATATTACTACCACACAGAGACTGAGGGGGAGCACATGGTCAGGCACACAGTATAATAGTATCTCAGCTCTGGGCTTCGGTGCAGAGTGTGGAGGTGTTAAGGGAGGGAGCAGAGAGGGTAGAGGGGCTGTTTCTAGCTTCTTATCTGGGATTTCGAGAGAAAACCACCATGGGGGAGGGGGGGTCCCCCAGCGCCACTTATTTAAAAAGGCAGAGGGAAGTGGTCAAAGAGTTTAACTTCTCAGCTTTCCTCAACTCCCATGTGAAATGGACTGAGCTGAAAGTCGCTTTGTCACAGGGCATCTTTAGCAGGCCAGAGGCTGGGGTAGATCACTTGATTCAAGAGCAGGCAAAGGGCACGCCAGAGCCTCAGTGGACTCTATAGCCTTTGAGAGCCAAGGGGAAGCAGTGAGTCCCACGATCTGGCCAACCCAAGCGAAGAACAGACAAGTCAGTTCGTCAACTACAGATGCCAGCAATGGATGCCACCGAAATGCCCAGGGCTGGGTCAAGTCAAGCATAGCCGGGTGTTTGCCAAACCAGTCACTCCACACTTAGAGTGGCAAAGATCTAGAAGGATGATAACAATGGAAGAGCCTTCACTCAGGCCACCAATACCGTGAGGCAGTCATCAACTCAACAAACACAGTGAAAGGGACCCTGCTTGTCCCATAAACCATGATGCTGAGGTGGAGGAGTGTGTGTTCAGTAAGAGCGTGAGCAGAATGGAGACAGCCTGGGCACTCTACTTAAAATAACTGCTTAAATTTTAGCTCAAACAGAATTGGGTTAAATGAATCCCTCCAGATCACTCAGTGGGTAGGGGTTTATGAGGAAGATCAGATCAGTTGTAGATAAGATAAATGACATTTTTTTCTCCCATGAGGAGGAGAATAATAAATCTCTGTAAATACTAACAGAACGAAATACAGTATTATATGTTTCATGACAATAATTAGGAAAGTAACCCTTTTCCAATAATATTTGTTCTTCAACAAATATTCAGTGTTTCTTCTTTTTTTTTCTTCTTTTTTTAAACTGTTTTTATTGATTTCAGAGAGGCATGGAGAGGGAGAGAGAAATGGAAACATCAATGCACACCCCCCTCCTGGAATACAAGGTTGGGAAGATTTGATGTAAAATCTGGATTTGTGGGCATGGGAAGAGGATGTTCTAGGTTAAGAAAGAACAAAAGCGGAAGTGGAAACACTCTCTGTATCCCGTTTTCCCCATAGGCTGTGCCCCGTCTACTTACAGTGAACCTCTTCTTCTTCTCTCTGTGCTCATCAGAGCTGGGGATGCTGACACTGGGGCAGCTCTCCTTGCAGTCCATGGTATAAGGCCTCTGGGGTTTGGGCCTCAAAAGGACCCCGGAAAACGAGTCGGAAAGCAACGGTCAGCAGAGGACAAACGCAATCAGCTACTCCAAAACATGGAACCTCTTGAGGTGATGTTCACATTCCATCACGCAATCTTAACCAACAGAAAAACAAACAAACCAATTAGCCAGACAATTTTTAAAGTACCATTCATTTACTAATTTGATCGTAAGTCTCAGTCCAGGTTAAGAGATTTAATTTCTGTTACGTCCATTTCAAGAGTTAAAACCACAATCAGACATGTGCATCCCATCCACCTTCCTTGCGGCTGAGAAATTCCGGGAGCTCCTATACCACAGTTCACGTGGTCTAAGGGCTACCTCGCACCCAAAAGACCCCTGGTTGGATGGATTCAAAGCAGGGTTTTTCCAGGGATGGTTTTCAGAGTTTTTGCATCAGGTCAAACAGGTGGAGCTTGCTTCCGCGTGGGATCCTATTTAGTAGGTAACCATTTATGCCCATTTTACAAACGAGGCAACTGAGACACAGAGAGGTTAAATAACTCTTGGGTCCAGTATTTGAACCCCGGCTGTTTGGCTCCAGAGACCTGACAACAAGTGTGGATCCTTCTGATGCACTGGACCCCTGATCAGAGATGTTACAATAGAACTTAATTCAGAAAAAAACACAATTATATTAATATTATCATTCCACCGATGGACAAAAGGCTCAAGATGTCACACTGATATCACCTTTGCTACACACAGCAGCCCGGACTCACCACTGACACGAAATAATACTTTTTAAAGGGTCTCTCTCCATGATTAATTTCAGGAAGTCACTCTGACAGATCTGATCATTGTCAATAAATTACATTCAAGTAATGATTTCAAGTATCTACCTGCAGGCATTGAATAGTCAAGGTATAGTGAACTTGAACTGATTAGAAGGGGGCCTCCTTTAAGATCACTCAAAACCTACTTTGGCCCTAGCCGGTTTGAGGCTCAGTGAGTGGACAGTGCGTCAGCCCACGACTGAAGGGTCCCAGGTTTGATTCCGGTCAAGGGCATGCACCTCGGCTGCAGGCTCACCCAGTCAGGGCCCATGCAGGAGGCAACCGATCGATGTTTCTCTCTGTCTCTCCCCCTCTCCTCCACTCTCTCTAAAAATCAATGCAAAAATATCATGGGGTGAGGATGAACAACAACAAAAAACAAAAACAGCCAAAAAATTAAACACACACACACACACACACACACACACACACACACATAAAACCTATTTTGTTGGATTTGCTGCTGGAAATGCAGTCAGGAGGATTTATACGGAACTAAATTTGTTGTTAGAAAACATGGAAATGTCACTGGCCCCCTCCTAAGCCTCGAGTGCACATCTGTCTGAGTTAGGTGACCCTATAACCCCATAAAAGCAGCATTTGCCTAAATTACGAGCACTCTGTAACTCCTTCTGTTACTTTTGAGTGTCATGTGTCTGATGCAGTAATTGGGACCAAGAATGACCTCAGGAAACAGACCCTCAAAAATGGGATGCATGTTTGATGAATGCCCTGATCACCTTCCTGTGGAAGGAGGAGGGGGGAACTAGTCACTGGGCACACAGAGATGGCATCAAACTGCCTCCCACGGTGCCACAGGACAGAATATAGACGGTGGGCAAGGAGCTGGAAGGCCACATGGATGATGGAAATGCTGTTTCAAAGCCTGGGACCTGGGCTGGGCTGCTTCCGCTTGTCTTTGAGAGTATGCACAAAGACGGCAAATTGAAAGTCATGAATTCCCAAACAGGTGGGTGGGAAATCTACGACTTTTAGATTTTTTAATTTAATTTTATTTGTCTTATATAGGAATAGGATCAAGCCCAGAGTTCAATGGTTAAGTGTTGCAGAGCCAATTAAACATGCAACCCTGCAGTCTCTCATGCTGACACATGGGCGTTGGCTGGGAAGGAAAATGATCCTGAATCACAGATGCAGGTGAGTGGGCAAACACAATAAGGGTAAGAATGTCGAACTCCACATTGAGCTGAACATCCATCCCCACTGAAAGCGGAGACCTACACCTCTCTCCGGAGTCCCAGCCTCCCAAACCCTGCCTGCATGAACCCTTTCAAGTTGTTTCGCACGGGAATGCCAAGTCTCCTCACTACATACTCCCATCACCCCTCACTCATGGCCTCAAAACGGTAGTTAGAGCCCAAGAGAACTTAGAAAGAAGTTCAGAGCCTACTCTGAAAGGGGACTGCCCTTATACTAAAACCAGAGGCCCAGTGCACGAAAATCCCCCCAGCCGCCTGCCGCCCCCGCCCTGCTGCGGAGGGAGGGGGGAGAGTAACCCTCCCTTCCCCCTGGTCAAACTTCTGATCAAACTCCTGGTGGAGGGAACAGTTTGCTTTTATTACATAGGAAGTTTGCAGAATCTCAACAATTTTTACCAGCAGGAGTCTGAGGAGCACATATGGAAGAACATTCAAAGGATGTTAGACAGGAGAGCTGAAACTGGTTTGGCTCAGTGGATAGAGCGTCGGTCTGAGGACTGAAAGGTCCCAGGTTCGATTCCGGTCAAGGGCATGTACATTGGTTGCGGGCACATCCCCGGTAGGGGGTGTGCAGGAGGCAGCTGATTGATGTTCCTCTCTCATTGTTATTTCTAGCTTTCTATCCATCTGTAAAAATAAATAAATAAATAAATAGATAAATAAAAAATATATATTTTAAAAAAGGATGTTAGACAGGGGAATGTTAGACTATATATAAGATTACTGTGACCCTATACAGGGCCACAATGTATCCCATCAACCTTTCTCCAGACCTCCCTCAAGAGAGACCCTCATCCATTCACACGAGTGACCATCCACTGGGAAATGGGAAATTCATAATCCTTCCGAGAGTCACTGGGCACCAGCTCTGAACTGATGCCAACCTCTGGAGACCCAAAAACATGGTCCGCTAGTCAGAACACCCATCTTAGTCTGGAAAAATGTAGAAAGACAAAAATCACCTCTCCAGGCCAGGATCCAGCTGACAGGCAGTAGAGCGAGGATTCTAATCCAAATCTGTCCGACTCCAAAACCTCTGTGGACTTGTTTGCTACACTGCACACCTCTCCTTCAGTAAATTCTCTCTCTCCTTCAAGCTTAATCAAACTGGCAACCTCGCAATGTTTAATACTTAGTGGCTAAGCTTCTTAGATGCCGAGCCTGTGCTTTGTGGTGCCTTAATCGGGTTGCTGCTCACAACAGCCTACCCATTGACAGGAAACCGAGGAGAAACAGAGGCACAAAGAGAGGACGCTGCCTGCCCCAGGCGGTGGGGAGAGAATGCGGGCCCCGGTGGTCAGTGTTTGGGTCCTTTTCCCATGGCGCCACCCTGCCTCTAAAGAGTCCTCTGGGAAGCCATGAAGGAGGTTCATAAACTTGTTTTCCAGCGGTTACAACTGATGTTGTGAAAAAAGCAACCCTGTTATTACTGTACATTTAGTGTATGATTATTCTATAAAACCGAAGCCATTTAAATTAGACAAAATCATCGAATGGCCAGGGAGCCAAATAAAACAGACTGAGGAGAGGGCTGATAGAAGAACCCCCACAGCTAAAAAAAAAAAAAAAAAAAAAAAATGGGACAAGAAGGTATGTCGTTCATGTGGGATTAAACGCTGGAGCTTTGGTGGGGGTTCAGAGGGAGGTCAGGCTTTCCAAAGGAGACTCACGCGAAGCATCTGCCTTCGCTCCGCTGGGGAGTCACGAGAGGATCCTGCAGGCTGGCTCCCGGGGGCAGCCGGCTTGCCTAGGAGGTCCCAGGTCTCTGAGGGGACCAAGGTGAGGTACTCTCCCAGCATGGAAGAACTAACTCTAACATCCAGCTAGCGAATCAACTCAGACAAGCCCCAAAAGACATATAGAAGCGGGTCTGATGGGCACAGAGCTTTCGAAGGCCAGCTGGATCTCAGGAGGGGCAGCGATTTGCAAGGGTAATGGAATAGCTGGTAAGGACTATATTTACAGTAATTCTCCTCAGGGGGACATCTGGCCATGTCTGGAGACATTTTTGGTTGCCACAACTGGGAGGACTGCTATTGGCCACTGGCCATGGAGGATGCTAGACATCCTACAGTGCACAGGACAGCCCCCACAACAGAACATCATCTGTGAATCGTGCTGGCAGAGTTGGAATGCTGCTTTCCTTCTGTGTGGTTTGCTGTCCGTAACCCTATTGCCAATGGACACTCGGCGCTCCCTTCTCCTCACTCTGTATCTCCAAAGGGGATACAGGCATCCTCAAACTTTTTAAAGTGGGGGCCAGATCACGGTCCCTCAGAGAGCTGGAGGGCCGGACTATATGAACTACTAATTCCTACTGTAACACCTCGGCTGCGCTCACTGCCCAAAAAACCTGGCGGGCTGGATCAGACTCCTCTGCGGGCCGCATGTGGCCCGCGGGCCGTAGTTTGAAGACCCCATTGTAGAAGAAGGGGATATGCATGCAGCGATATCATAGGAAATCTGTGCAAGGCAGACTCTTAGGTCAGAGCTCTGTTCAGATCACAGTGCTGCCGCCAAAACTGTGTGACTATGAGGAAGTACTTTATTTTATTTGTTTTTTAATATATTTTATTGATTTTTTACAGAGAGGAAGGGAGAAGGATAGAGAGTTAGAAACATTGACCAGCTGCCTCCTGCACACTCCTTACTGGGAAGGTGCCCACAACCAAGGTACATGCCCTTGACCAGAATCGAACCTGGGACCCTTCATTCCGCAGGATGACACTCTATCCACTGAGCCAAACCGGTTTTGGCGCATGTGGAAGTACTTCTCATCACCTCGGTTTCTTCGTTTGTAAAACCAGGGTAAGATACTCCATGAGTTGTTGTGACGATTAAGTGATGTGTTAGGTGTTAGTTCGCAGAAACAGTGATTTTCAACCGGTGTGCCTCAAGAATTTTTAAAACGTGCAATCACTGACTAGTCAGGGGCACTGGCCTCTTTTCCCTCTTCCTCTGGTGCGTGATTCACACTAAAGCATGAAGGGAAATTAAGAACAAGCCTGTCCCAAGGGGAAGGAATTAGGCTTGGAAGAGTCACACGTTTTCTTCAGCAGGGGAACAGGACTGGCGCTGGGGGTTTGGGTACAAGAATCC